GGGAATGCATTGTAGACAGCTGCACCCTAACAATATATGTATTATAATACTCCCCCTCCGTCCCAAAACTATAGTTTTAATTGGGTTGGGTACGAGATTTAAGAAATATTGATATTCTATTGGTAATTGTGTAATAAAACAAATGAAAAAGTAAAGGTAATTTTAGAGTGATATGGTTATTTATGGAAATAAGACTACTGTTTTGGGACATAAAAAAAAAATGGTAAACAAGACTATTGTATTGGAACGGAGGGAGTATTATATTTATTTATCGTAATTTTTTCTTTCTTTAATAATATCGAAATTCGTAATTGTTATTTATTTATTTATTTTTTTCCAGTATACATGTACTGAAAATTTGAACTATGTGTAATAGTCTGAAAATTATAATGTTAAGTTAAACAAGTTATGTCTGACGGGCAAATCCATCTACGCACCAATATAGAATATATACAATTAATATATATATATATATAAATAATATGTGTAATATAAAATTGATTGAAATGCATGGAAGCACAAGAGTGAGCTGGTATTGCACATGTAGTGTGTACAAGAGTGAACTATTTCAAGTATAATAATTTATATCATCAACTATATATACAACTTTAGCTATATATATATATATGCATGCATGCTCAACTTTATATATATATATGTTATATTTAAGTGGATGATTGAAGAATGTCTGGTTTACATTTTATAATTATGTTAACATGCTTGGCACTTGCATTTCTACCTGGCTACAGGTACCTATATTTAATTGTTTAGGTTTCCCTTGTATAATCTTCGTCTACTTATTATAATTATATATTTATTATTTGAACATATATTAAATTTAATACTATTGTTTTTTAATTTATATATTATTATAAATTTGTGAAAAGATTAAAACATATTTAGGTTGTATCACACATAATTTGTGTAATATTTGATAAGATATATAGAAATGCATGTGCATTTTGATATATTTATATAAAGTGAAAATATTTTATTAAAACAGATAGTCATTCGTGTTTGAACAATCATGCGTTGAATTTAATTTAATTTTTTTTTTTTTCTTATTTGTGGACAAAAGAAAATTAATGAGAGTGAAACCTCTTATATAACTTACCGGGTGAAAATGTTGGAATTTTTTTTTTTTTCTTTTTTTATGATGTATATGGTTGATTAATACATATTATTATAATTTACATAATTAATTGTGATTTATTATTATTAAAAAAAAAAAAAGTATGCATTCATAGATCCTCTAGATCAAATTGGATGTCTATTGTCTTTTATTTTCAATTTAAAAATACATCACCTTATATGTCACATGGTGTGTGGATTTCAAATGTTATATGCATCACGCTATATATATCTGGGCCGACTGCCAAATTTTTAATAGTAATTGGGCTGTAAAAATGTCAAAAGCCCATTCATCATTTTTTTCTTTTTTTGCAATCTTGGCCAAGATTTTATGGGGGATTTGGAATTCCATAATTATTATTCTCTTTCGTCCCCAAAAATTTAGTTTTATATTTAAAATACAAATAAATAAATTTAGTCTTCTAATTACAATTTGTATAAACCATCGACTCCCAAATCTTGGAGTAGATATATACATATATATATATATATATATTATTGGAGATGAATGGTTTAGGGTAGGTTGGGGTTGGGTGAGATTGGATTGGACCCATGAAAGATCCAGCTGCAATATCTTTCCCTGTTCCCTCCTCAGCATTACTTTGAAAGAGGAAATATTCCCCAACGTACACAGAATAATTACATCACACAAACATATGCATATATACATACATACACGCATCTCTGTATGTATATATATGTATATGTAAGTATGATAATAGTAATAATTAAAATAAGAATATATAATAGGATATCCATAATGCAGACTGCAGCAATATTTCGATACGAAATAATTATGTTGGTCGCCTTTGCACTTTTTTAGGTACGCTTTGCTGACACGCTTACAAAAATTCCTCCATTAATGTTACAAGTACATATTAAGGTGCATGTATTGCATTGCATGCACATGCACCACCACGACGTCGTTTTGCGTGACAGAGAAAGAGAAAGAGGCTATACATCAATATAATAATAATAATTGGCACACGGCAGACAATCTGTAACAGAGGGACGTCCATTCCGTCGTCCTCGACACCACCATTAATGAATATACCAATACACATACATATTATATATATATATATATATACTACAAAAAAAAATAGTATATTTGTAACGGAATTCCGTCCCTAAAGATCACGTAGCTAACGTAATTTCATCATTAATTCCGTCTCTAATATCATTAGTAACAAAAAAAGTAAATTTAAAGACGAAAAAATCTCGTTACAAAAATGATATTTTCTTATAGTAATATATATATATATATATGTATATATAGAGGGAGAGAGAGAGAGATGATTGAAAGCGGTTTGAGTTGGAAATGATGATGATAATAATATTGTGGGCTGAGTCCACGGGTTTCGTATATTGGATTGATGTTTTTTGGGGTTATAATAATGATATTTTAATAATTAATAGTATAATATCATAGATCGAATAGATTGTTACTGGAGAAATTCATTCAATTCCATATTCCAATTCATGAATTCGACGTCGCATCAATCAATATTATATATATATATATTGTACTAGTATTGTATTGTAGTGTTATATATATATATATATATATGCATGCACAATGCATTATTGCTTGTGTGGGTACGTGTATATCGTTATCATGTCAAGACAGGTCGCTGTCGTATATATAAAACAATTAATTAATTAATTAATTAATTCATAGTGTTGAGATAGAAAACAAATTAAACACAAATATGGAGGCCAATAAATTAATTAAGGGAAACGAGATTACCCCTTTTTATTTTATTATATATTCATCATCAAATCTAAGCCCCATGCATTCTTGCTACCAATTATTAGCCATAGTATTGTATATAAACACACACATATAAATACCTATATATATATATATATATAGAGAGAGAGAGAGAGAGAGAGAGAGAGAGAGAGAGAGAGATGCGTGCACCTACATAATTCATAGTTTGAGGATTTACGACACCAGACGTGAATGTGTTTTGGATCAATCTCACTTCTAGTTAGTTTTATTTTGTTGTTTTTTAGGTTAATTTGGACCTAATTATTTTATACTATACAAAAATATTTCTCAAAATTATTAAATTAAATACTTATTTTTATTCAATAAATTACTATATATTAATTATTATTTTTATTTAAAAAATTATATATATAACTCATTTATATTTTATCAAATATTATTCAAATTCAAAATTTTATTGTTTACAAACCTTAAATTCGACTAGGTTATATACATCTACTTAAAAAATAGGCTTTAGAGGGGCAGCCTGTGACTATAGTCTATACATAATTGGAGAAGGAATTTTTGTCACACATTTTTTAATGTAGTCTCTTGTATGTATTTGTGTATATACATATATATATATATACTTGAATTAAAAATAATTATCAAGTATAATACTATTGTTTATTAAAAATAAAATTTGTGCAGGATAATAAAGCATCCAAATTGGAAGGTGAGTGTTCGTTTTGTATTTTATAGATTTTAGTTTTCGTTAATTAAGTTGAAATTATTATATTTTATTTAAAATGATGAAATTACATAATTAAAAATAGAAAAGAACATTGGAGATTTGACAACATGATTTTGAATTTGCAGAACGAGACACAGCGACAGCCAGGTTATTTTTTCAGGTGAAATATTCACGTGACACCATAAATTCTCCACACATATATATATATATATATATATAATTTAATAGCCAGCAAGCCATTTATTGGAAATTTGTGCATATGGTACCACAAAACAATTATAGATAGAATGACTTTTGTGCTGTAATAATATATATACCCTTTACCAATGGATTCTCAGCTCAAGCTAGTACTAATTGTTAATTTTGAATGAACCTCCGTGAAGTTATCTAAAAGTGAAGGTTGCTGGAAACCAATATATCATTACTATTATACTACTAATGATATGGATTTGTTTGTTTGTATTATATATATATATATATATATTATTGAAAATTTGTTAATGAACAACTCAAACTTTATATAGAAGAATAGATGTGATTTTGTGACATTTCAAAAAAAAATGTATACAATTTTTACAATTTTCTAATAATATATATATTCATAAAATATAAACTTAAACCCTGTTTACTTAGGTTTGTTTGTAACAACATTTTTAAAGTTTTACTTTTATCAATTATTTTTAATTAAAACACCCAATATCCAAATACTTTGATGTGATAGTTAAAACCCAAAAATCAAGATGGATCCCATGCTGGTTAGATCCAATCAAAATTATTCATTTTAACTACAATTTTTAACTTAAGATTGTTGATAGAAGATTTAGGGTTAAAATTAAGTTGAACAAATGTCACACTTAATTATGCCTCAGCACATAATCTCATGCCAATAATTATAATAATAATAAACTAATTAATTGATATTAATAATGATTAATGAATGAATGGAGCTAGGGCAGAGACGACAGACACGAGGGTCGTGTGGTGTATGATGGGTGCAGCCAAGCCAAGCCAAGCCAGCTTCATCCTTTTCGTTCCAGACAGTCACAGATACATCATTTGTAATTGTGCTTGCATGTGGGTCAACACTCTAACCCTGCCTACATACCTAATGTATATCCCCTGGTCCTGTCTGAAATCTCAATCATGATTTTAGGTACTCTCTGCTGAGCCGTGGTTTAGGAGGAATTTTTTAAAATAAATATTTGATACATTATTATAGTTTTATGTTTCTAATTTTAAATACTACAAAATATAGGAGTATATATTTAGGGTGATAATGTGGCAAGATCAACGGTGTGGATTCCCCCGGCAAGAATCGACCAGAAAGGGCATGCAGAAATGCATCTTAGAATTACTATAATAAACAGACACTTGTGTGAGGTGAGGGGAAAAGCAGATTCCAATCCACCCTAATTTTACGCATATTTTACACAATGCATACCCTAAACCCTACTCCTATCAATCATTATTTATTCTTCATTTCTTGACGATGATGCTATAATATATACACACATACATATATATATTGAGACAAGGAGAGAGAGAGAGAAAGAGAGAGAATCCTTTACACAGCAAAATTGAGAGGACGAGATAATTAATGGAGCTTTCACAGCACAGTTTGTTTGAGGAACTAATCATGGCTCCGAAAATGGATACCCCTTTTTTAAATGAATATACTTTCCCCAACCACTGGACGGCGGCCGCCGTCGATAATCCGACGGCGCCGCCCGATCACGTGCATTTTCCGGCGACAAACGCCTCACTTTTGGAGCTGATTTCGCCGTCCGATGAGCATTTCAACTACCCTTTCCCTCTGCCGGAGTTCCACCCCTTTCTCGACGTCCTGACTTCGCCGGAGTACGGCTCCTTCTACGACAAGGACGACCTGCCGCCGATGGCGATTCAGGAAGATCACTACGCACAAAACGCCGGCAGCCACCTCGCCGGCGGCGGAATCCTCGACGGCACGATGAGCAGCTACTACAACGCCGGTGGCCCCCCGAGCATCGGCGAGTCCCGGAGCAAGTCGAAGAAAGCCGACGGGCAGCCGTCGAAGAATCTGATGGCGGAGAGGAGACGCCGGAAACGGCTCAATGATCGCCTTTCTATGCTCCGATCGATCGTTCCTAAGATCAGCAAGGTATACAGTTAATTAATTAATTAATTAATTATGGGGAAATAATGTGGAGAGTTTAATTAATTAATTAATTAATTGACAGATGGACAGGACATCGATATTGGGAGACACCATAGATTACATGCGTGAGCTTCTGGACAAGATTCAGAGCCTCCGGGAAGAAGGCGTGGAAGACAACCTTAACCAGATCAATCCGACAGGGAGTTATCTGAAGGAGTTAAAGCCCAACGAAATGCTTGTGAGAAACCCTCCAAAAGTATGGCTGTCTTCAACCAATAGTTTCTTCTTAAAGCTAATTAATAAATTAATTAATCAAAATTAAACTTTCTCCTTGTGATCGATCGATCGATCAGTTCGATGTGTCGAGGAGAAACAAAGACACGAGGGTTGAAATATGCTGCGCAACAAAGCCGGGACTTCTGCTCTCGACTCTCACCACGCTGGATGCTCTTGGACTTGAAGTCCAGCAATCTGTCATCAGCTGTTTCAATGATTTCTCTGTGCAAGCTTCTTGTTGCGAGGTAATTAATTAATTTCATTCGATTTAATTTCCAATTAGTATAATCAAATTAAATCAATCTAGGGTTTTCTTAATTGGAATAAAAATGCTTTCTTGGTTGTGATTTCAGGGAGCTGAGAATCAATCACTTTTAAGCTGTGAAGATATCAAACAAGCATTGTTCAGTAACGCAGGCTATGGCGGAAGATGCCTGTAGACCAAAAATTAAAAAAAAAAAAAAATGAATGAATGAAAAAGGAAATTTGGAAAATCAACTGGAACAAGAAAAAGTACGAAATTGAGGGTAATTATTGGAGGGGCAGATGGGATATGTCTGTCTGTTTCTACTTTGAGAATTCTTTTAGTTGTAAAATAATGCTTGTCTTTCCAATTGAGAATTCTTGTGCAATATTCGTACCTGGCTCGTTGTTGTTTCTGCACATACATATTTAATTTGAGTATGCTTGTGGAGCTGTGGCTTTTCCCAAATTCCAATTAAACATTAATAATTAAAGGTTAATAATAATAAAAATTGATATTGGGATATATGCAGACAAAAAGTACCATGAAAAGATTTTTTTTTTTTTTTTATGACGGTGTGGGCAGTAATGGAAAATTGCAAGTAACCGATAAAGTTCGTTCACACATGCGAATGCTGCGGCACGTGTGTGGCGCGTGCTTTTGGAATGCCAGCCTGGCAGTAATTCTGATTTACGAAGACGACAACTAAACGACGTGTATATATAAGCATGCATATGAAATTAATTTTGGTGTTGAACAGGAGCGTAGGATCTGTTTTATTTTCAAATCGGACGGTCGAATTTTATACACCATTAATTTGGATAGTCGGTGTTGTATATAACGATATCTTAATTAGTTAATTAGGGTTATAAGGATTGGCATTGCCAGATCGAGAATTAAGGAATGCAATAAATGCAAAATAGGAATGTTTTGAGTTCAATAATTACTCTGTATTAATTGCAAGTAATGTCTGCACATAAATTCCTAAAGATGTGCCATAAATGGTTGATTATATTCCAATTTGATGAGATTCCCTTTCGTAGGCCTACGCCTATAAAAGAAGCCAACAAATGCAATGTAAAATCAGGGGAGGGGACTCAATTATTGCACTTGATCCAGACCTTTTGTATAAATTTGCCGCAAAAAAAAAAGAAAAAAATACTCCTTCCGTCCCATATAATACGGGTATATTACTGTAGACACGGAATTTATATAAAGTATAATTAAAAAGTAATTAAGAAGTGTATTAGTAAAAATAATTATTTTTTAATAAAAATAATTATAGATTAAGATTAAGATAAATAAATAATTTAATTAAAATTAAAAAAATTTAAAATTTAAAATGTAAAATACAATTAAAGTGCATAATTATATTTCCAAAAATAGAAAAAACAAGTTATGTGGGACGAACGAAAATAAGAAATAGAAAATAGAGATAAATTATGTGGGATGGATGAGGGAGTAATAATAATAATAAATATATATATATATATATGTAAACTAATTTCATTTCAGATGAATAGATTTTTTTTTTTAATTTAAAATTGTCCACGCAAATAACTTATTTTTATGTATAGTATATATGTGTGTGTATTACCTAATTATCAATTTACTTTTCCTTTTATTTATATGACAAAAATATTACAAGTACATACTTTATTTTTGACCCCACTGAACTAAAAGACATTTTAGATTTTTTTATGTTACCAAAATTTAGCTCTCAATATAATGTTATTATTTTTTATTAATTTACTAAATAAAATTCTTGAGACAATTGAGACAGGAGGAACTATATTTAGGCATCCTGGCTTGTGTATAGACAGATGTTTTTGAAAATTTTGAATTTTAAAATTAATGAAAGGCTAAATATTTTATATGATTTTTATTAAACAAAATAGATACTCAAGTTATATTTAAAATAATAACAATAATCATAGTCATAATACTGTTGATAAATTGTGTCAAATTTTCTTAATATGGTTGTAAAATAGAGGCTTAATTTGCGTCTCATGAGCTCTACGTTTCGTTATCAAAAATAAATATTTGATATTTGATTCCGATAAAAAAATTAAAAAAAAAATAATAATAAATATTTAATATTATATTTAAAAAAAAAAAAAAAAAAAAATTACTTAGGTGGTTGGTTCAATGAAAGTTGCAGTACTCAGTTCAGCGCTGGATTTGTTTATTGGACTTAAAATTATATGTCAGATATGGACCGAAATCTAAATGAAATAAAATTTGATCATATTAGGCCGGCCCATTCTGCACTTCTATAAAGAAATATTAATGTACAAGTTTTATTAGGGTGCCTTTGTTTCGGAGTTGGATTAGATTCCCACCGTTCATCTCATTTTTTTTTTCAAAAAATATAAAATTAAATACTTATTTTTTATTTTTTATATTATACTAAAAATTAATTTTACATTCAAAACATCACATCAACACCTATTTATATCACATCATACAACTATTCAAATTCAAAACTTTTACTATTCAAATCCCACCTCAAAATTCAAACCCTCAAACAAACACACCCTTGAGAGTATCTCGTATGAACGTAGCATGATTTTTATTTATAATGGGTATTACATTTTACATTATTCAACAATATTAATATTTTTTGAAAAGTATTACATTAAATAATTATTTTATTTTTAAAAAATTAAAATAAAATATAAATTATTTTACTATTTAAAAAATTAAAAATTAAAAATTAAAAATTATCTATATATCTATATAAATAAGAAAATATTGCAAGGAATTCAAAGAGAATTGAAGATGAGTTTATTTTGTAAAATTGTTTCAAAGGATATATATATATTTTTTATTTAAAGTATAAAATATTATATACATAATATAAAAATAATAAACATATATAATATTTTCCCCGTTCACCGTATAAAGTGATTAAATATTTATTTTTGTTACGATGTTTAAAAAATAATACTTTCTCCGTTTTTGAATTATAGTTTGGGTTGTATTCGGCACGAAATTTAAGGAATATTGATATTATATTAGTAGTGGGTAAAAAGTACGAATAAAAGACTTTTTTGCCCTTGTGAGTGTATTAGTGTAAAAAGTAGTGACAATTGTGTAATAATAATGAAAAAGTAATGAAAAAGTAATGGTAGTTTTATAGTGATATAATTATTTATGTAAATGAGAATATTGTTTTGGGACGGACAAAAATAGTAAACAAGACTATTGTATTGAGATGGAGGAAGTAATATTTTAATTACAGTGGATAGTTAAAATAATGTAATGATATTTTTGTCTTTACTTTTTTGTGTAAAAGTAACAATGTAAAGTAAAATAAAGATATTTGTAAAAAAAAAATTAAAAAATTTAATAAAATATTTATTTTGTAATAGAACAGAAATATGCATATCTTCTAAATGAAAAATAAAAAAATAAATAAATAACTAATTTTTTATAGCAAAAACTAATTTTTTTTTTAGCAAAAACAACACACACTGAGCGACAGAATTGAGTGACAAGTGACAAATAAATATCAAATCAACATACAAAACAATAATGAGAAATTTCATCAGCAAAAGTACATTCTATTCACTAATTTTTAGATATTTTTGACCTATAATGTTACGTTTAATAAGTACAACCAGCGGCAAATTAATAAATAAATAATGAATAAAATTCACAAGTGTTTATGAAATATAAAAGGGTTTATATAATTGATTAATATATGGCTTTTTTTTTTGATTTTATAAAGTACTATATTTGGTTTAACAAAAAGGTCTAAAACTAATATTAACAATTATTAATTAATAAGGATTAATCCTACGCATTAATAAACTAAAGCATTGTTTATTTAATTTCATTATAGTGATCAATATTCACTTTATACTAACTTTGTTACAAATTTTTATTATTTTTTTATTTGAGAATTTAACTTTTGCAACATATATATATATGGTGGAAAATAATTTTCTCCATCTATTTTTGGCATATGGTACTTCCTAATTTCCTGCTGTTGTGTTGACAGGTTTTCATTTGGAGTAAGATGTCTCATCAGCTTGTTGCAACAGGCTGACAACAACATTGTTTGTCTTACACTCTTCGGTTGGTGAGCACACAAGACAAATGAATGAATATTTTGGGTAGTCAAATTGTATCAGAATTATGCAGAAATACATCATTTCATTTATGTGCAAAGAGTTTTAATTGGTTTTGTCTTCCATGCAAAGCAAGATGACTTTATAGATAATTGTGAGGAGAGAATTTGGTTGTTGTGAGGGTTTAGAGAGTGAAGTGAAGTGTAGTGAGAGAAAGTGTATCTAATTCTCTCAACCTCAACCTTTCTCTTCTCCATGTATTGAGTGAGTGTTAGACATTTTTATCTTGCCGGAGACCTCGTCGGAGGAAGGAGAAATCGGAGTTCCGATCAGGGGAGGCGTCCAAATTCTGAGCAGCTCTGCTCCGTGATCGTTGTCAGCACGAGTTTGTGACAACATAAGTCTGTTGAGGGAATTTCCAAGGTAAACCATATTAAGAGGTTAAGTTGAAGGAGTTGTGGTTGTTTTTGTTCTTAATTAGCACTGATTAGTGAACTTCACATGGATTGGTATCCCCGAATGTACGATTGTTTATATCCGAACCTGGTAAACAAACCCTTGTCTCATTTACTGCTTTGTATTTTCCGCATACATTCAGTTGACAGTAGAGTGTTACAACTGTGATATAACCACGCTTCGAGAGTTGGCCCATTTAAATAAGTGTACGAGAATTTATTGGTGCAGCACTTATTCTCACCCCAACAATATAATTTACTTTCTTTATCACTCTATATTCACCATTTATAAATGCATAAAATGTTCTAACAAAAGAATAAAAATATATATTATTTAAAAATTTATGCCAAAAAAAAAAAGAATTATATTAACTAAAAATATTTATAGCGATAAAAATATATAAAATATTATTCTCTATATATATTCATAATTGTACATATATCCCACAAGAATATCTAAAAGTATATAAATACTAACTATAATTATTGCATTGAAATAGTTGTAACAGACTAATTAATACTCCCTCGTCCCACATACCGTGTCTGCTAGATCGTAGACACGGTATTTTAGGAGAAATGTAATTAGTAAATAATTAAGAATATATTAGTGAAAATAATTATCTTATAATATAAATAATTATAAATTAAAATTAAGATAACTACTTAGTTTAATTAAATTTTTTAAAAAAAATTAAAAAATTTAAAATGAGATTAAAGTGTGTAATCATTTTAAAAAAAAAAGAAATGTGACATAAAATGTGAGACTGACAGAAACGACAACGTGAATATAGTATGTGGGAAGGAGAGAATAGCAATAATTATAATAATATGATAATGATGATGAGTCAGAAACCAACTTAATTAATAGTACTACTATATAAGTAAAATTTTAACTATTTGATTAATAATCACTGCATTGTACACCATAGCTACTTGCTAGGATCTCAACTTGGTAATATATAACTAATAATTACCTAAATTAATTTTGTCAATTTCTCTTAATCAACAATAAGCTTGCTTGCTGCATCTTTTTGCTTTTCTTTTTCTTGTATTTATAAGTCTTTGTATTCTCAAGATAAATTAATTATTTGATATAATGTTTTTTAAAAATATATATTTAGAATATAATATTCTTTAAAAAAATAATAAATTGAATAATAAAAAATGTATATATATTTATATATATATATATTTTAATGAACAAATAAATATCCCAACTGCAATAACATCAAGTGGGCTTTTATTAAATAAAATATCTATTTATATATAGTTAGTATTGGTTGAAATCATTAATAACTTTACCACTGCATACCTAATTTTCCTACGATGGTTTCCACTAATGATTATGGGATATATCTATATGATGGATACCTCCAATATATATATATATATATAATATATTTACATCATTAATTTGTTTGGGAAAAAGTTAGCACACAATTTATTATTTTCTTGAAAGAAACCTAATTTTATTTAAATTAAATAAGACCTTTGTGATTACTATTTAAATGCTATATAAGTATCAATTCCTATGGAACAATTCATTTTCAATTTAATAAAGCATCAATACTTCAAATCGGATTTCCTTTTTAGTATTAATTATAAGTATTTTACATCCACAAAAGGCCCAGTTTTTTCTTTTTTAGAAAAGATAAAAACCACTCTAATTATATCGAAAAGTAAGTAAATTATTGTTAAATTAGAAGATAGATTAATATTGATATGAGGATTTTGACAAAAATCTTAAATCAACAAATGTGTAATAAATCCGAGGTTTCATCATCACTGGTGGTTGATGAGATAAGGTAGTGTGAAATTATAATCCACTACAATATGTTCCCACCCCCCCCTGCAATAATCTACTTTTTAAGGGGCCCTTTTGAAGTTCCCTAAGTTTGTAAGGACCAATTCCAATAAGTAATAATTTTCTGGGTTTGGTGTGTACAGTGTACTGGCGGCGAAGTTGCAAAAAATGCCTTTACAGTATTCCCACTTTCACTACCATAATTTGTATGTTATAAATATGTCACTAATAAATAGTAATAAGGCATTAAACATCACCATCCCTAATTGTGTTATGTATATATTTTCTTAAACCAATTTGGTTTGTTGATATTAATATGATCAGTAAAATTGGATTCAATATATATTGATTTCAAATAATATGTAAGAGTATGGCCAAGCTTTTAATTTCACAGCTTCTTATATGAAGGAAAATAATTAATTTTTTTTTTTACGTAAATTATAGAGAATTGTGTAAATAATATAAAAATAATAAATATGTGTACTATATTAATTTTTAAAAAGAAATATGAAAAAAATACAAAAACATATTATATATATATATATATATTTTAAGACCAACAAACCAAATCAAGCTGGGATTTCATATTTGAGTTTGGCTTGTAATCGATTTAAACTTGGTTTGTATTCGTTCATTAAAATATGGAATCTAAAATTTTTATTTGAATTCAAATTGTTCAATTCAATTCATTGAGTAAATTTTTATTTTATTTTAATTAAATTCAAATGCTAATAATAGCCATTATTTTTGTAAAAGTATAATTAAGTATTAATTGAATTTTTAATGAAGAATAGTGATTATTGGTGTCCAAACTTAAGTTCATTTTTAAATATAACAAGTTAAAATTTATGTCAATATTTAATTCGTCTAACTAAACAAATGAGTTCTAACAATATAAATCAAATCAAATTTGTGAAGAATTAATTTGTTTACAGGTGTCATCGTACAAACCAATTGTATAGCAATTAAATTAAAAATAATCATTTCCTTGTAAGGAATGGTTGAGTTTGTGACATATCGTGTCACAGATTACCTTGCAGTTATTGGTCCGAACCCTTTTTTTTTTTTAGTTAAATGTCACTTAAAAATGATAAGGGGTTCATTTTTACCATAAATAAATAAATAATAATAAATTTAATTGATAAAATTATATACAGTGAAATTAGGTCACGGCTATAATAAAGTCCAAATGGATCATTATTTATCTGAGCATCCACTTTTTCTTTAATAATAAATAAATAAATAAATATAATCTGTGAGTGTGTGTGTTTTTCCTCACGATAAGATGCTTGAGTGCTGAGTCACGACTTCTCTACTTAGTGCAGTAATAAAGTTCTTTTTTGATTCTGTTACACCAATTCCCTCCCAAAAATGACAAACATTCAATCTTTAATAGAATTGTTTATATATATTTAAACTATCAATTATCATGACAAAAAAAAATATATAATACATTTATATATATTGTCATCTATTAAATATTATTATATTATTACACATTGATAGTTAATTTGTGAAAAAAATGAAAAAATTGAAGAGAATCGTACTTATATAATATTTTATAATAATGATTGACTGATTCAAAATATATTTATATTTTTTTGATATTTTTTTTATAATAAATTATTTATACAATATAAATCTAATAATTTATAAAAATTTGTGCAACGGGTAAACACACTAGGTATTATTATTATTATTTGCAATGATTGTGATTCCATGGCCACGTTCAAAAGTACGGATACATAAATATGTAATATAACTCAGAAAAATAAAATAAAATAAAATAAAATAAATAATCGTATTAATGAAAAGGTAAAATCTTGGGCATGATAGAAAATATTTCAATAAGCGTGAGATGCACGTTGGTCCTTGTGAATTCATGCTAAAAATAATAATATGTATAAACATGGGAGAATCTCTTCTGATAGCAATCAATTAAAATAAATACACAAACATATATGCTAAAGATAGGGACGAAAACAGTATTTTCACGCTTTCTTTTCTTTTTTTCTTTTTGAAAAAAAAAATATATTAAATTGAAGAAAAAATAAAATAAAATATACTCCCTCCGTCCACAAACTAATATCCTACTCTCCTATTTAAAATGTCTAACAATTATTGTTCTCTTTTTATTTTTATATAGTACGTTAGAAAATGAATTGAGGAGTAGTAATAGTTTAAATAAAGTCCCCACCCCCACCAGTCCTATAGCCCCATTCATTTACAGCAGTTGATAATTATGTGTCAATCAGTGTCAAATTACAAACCGGCTTTCGTTTAAAAATACACTTTTACTTATTATCTACTTTTTAAAAAATATATTATTCCTGATATAGAACCTTCAAAATTGTAAAAGTTTTCAAAAATTTCTATCTAATCGGAACTATAATTTTGTGCTTGAATATAATTGGGAATATTTTGATTCACAGCTGGTTCGTCAGTTCCACAAAAATCAAAATTAAATTAATTATCACTGAATTAATTAAATTAAGTTTCACAGCTGGTTCGTGCTAGCTTGAGGAGTTTCATTACTTAATTAATTAATTTTGTATTGATTCAATCCGTAAATATTCACATGACAATGATTAAAACTGGATACTAAATACATGGCTAGACATTAATTTCAGCAGAACGGAGAGCCGATCCTCGGCGGCTTCGGCGGCGGTGGCGGCTTCGCCACGGGGGCGACGAGCTCCTCCTTCCGCGGCGGCTCACACGGGCAGGGCAATGCAATGAATCTAGGAACGCTGTCGCCAGGCATTATTACGGGCAAGCTCTGATTCTCCCGCTGCCCGAAACCCTAATCGAAAATCAATTTGGGAATTAGGGTTAATAAATTAGGGTTATAAATTGGGGATTTTGATTTCTTGTAAAATTTATTAAATTTCAAAGACGGTGGTCGGAGGAGCAGATCCAATACCTTGTCGGGGAGTTTAGGCTTAGAGGGGGCGTGCGCCGCCTCGAGATCCGGCGACCGGAGGGAGAAAGTCCGGCGGAGCTTGTCCCAGTGGTAGCAGCAGGAGAATATTCCGCTGAGACTGAAGATGACTAGCAGGAGGAGGGCGGTGCCGAGCGGGAATCCCAGCGACGGCCGCGACGCCGAGTCATGGGAAACCGCCGGCGCCGGCGGGCCGCCGTGATAAGTACTCGCCATAATCAACCAAATTGCTACTGTCGCTGCTTCTTCTTCTTCTTCTTCTCCTCCTTCTTATTCCGACAAGATCTATTGATCCAATAATTCCCACTCCCCTCATCCAGGGTGCAAGAAAACCTCGAAATCCCGACGCCCCTGTCTCTATACCTGAGCTTTATGCAAGAAAAAAAAAGACAGGCTTTAATCTTAATTTGCTCGAAAGTTACACCAGTCGAATGTAGTGAGTGTGGGAGGTGAGGAGGAAGAAGAAGGGGATGGGAGGGAATTTATAAAGAAAAAGATAGTGGTGGGGTGGGTGCGTGGGGTGGGGTGAGTAATGGTACGTGTAAAGGTACATTTTGCACAGGGGCCAGCGGTACGGAAAGAGTGCATTCATCAATGGTGGCTGTAAGGATGATCCACACAGAAAGTGGCGTGGCCGCCGGCATGAAAGCTCCCTTCCATATATTAATTAAAAATTTAATTATTTCGATATATATATTGTGGGAACCCATACATACAGATTGTATTATATATATATACTAAACCTTAATTGGCGGAGAAAAGGCCATGTGAAATTAATCAATCTTGGAAAAGGGTTTCAATGGAATTAATTTCACCAACCAGATTAGGTATAGGTTCTTTATTATCATTAGCTGGGGTGTGACTGTGAGGTTGCTTTCTTGATAGGCTTCCCAAACTGATTATACACCACCTTGCTCAGTTTCTTTAGGTGCCACTTTTTTTCTCTGCAATTTATTTTCTTCTTCGAATATAGGTGAATGTGTTCTGTTGTGTTTTCACAAAAAAAGACATACAAAATCCTATGTTACATAAAAAAATATATATTTGAAACGAAGGAAACTTGTGTTGAATGTTGATCTGTTTCTAAAGAAAACTGATAGAAAAATCGTATCTTGGGACAGACTGGCATGTAATAAATAAATTTGATGTCAAAGATTTGAGAGTAACATTAATTAATATAATAATATGGATAGTAAATTTAAAGAATGGATTAATCCAGAATATTCTTGTTATAATCGTCTCTTCAAGTCCCAAAAGGCCAAAACTAACCCTCTGTACTTTTGCAACAGCCACATAAAATAAAAATCTCTAACTCACACAAAAATATCTCATCGTAGAAAAATATCCCCTAGCAGATTTTCACCTGGGCTTTTGTTTAAACTTTTCCAAAAGTTCTTACACTAATTAATCTCCAAACTAAACTGTCTTATAATCAAGAAATCCTTACAAGTTTGAAAATTGAGATGTCCTATTGGGGCATTTGTGGGGCTGTCTCACTAGTGGCATACAGTTCCCATCTTGGAAATTCCTATATATAGTGTGAGTAAGGAATGCAAATTTGAAACGTATCCTAAGAAAAAGTGCATCATCCCAATTGGCTCATTTTAATTTCATAAAATTCATAATTAGGTTTTCCACCATGGTGTCCACACATCCATCCAAGTTTCTTGTTCTCTACAGTTCCTTCCCAACCATTTACGTGCAATTACAGCTGACACTGCGACAGCGGGGCTTACTAAAATGGCTGCTGTATACATACAGCACAGATACAGCTGTATGTTTTGTTTTTACACTGAGCTACTGCAAGATTCTTACAACTGTCACTATCATGTTGTGATCGATTTCTCTCTTCGTGAATGTTTGTGTGTGCAAAATTATAATCTACCTTATCCATGATCTGGAAAATGCTTTCCTATAATGGTATGGTGACATATCCTTTTTTTTTACCCACTTTTCCTCTAATTCATGTGGTTTTATATATTTTCTGATCTGCAAGTTACAGTTGCAGCAACCCTTTTCCATTTTTGAGTATTAAATAGTTTATTTATTGCTTGAGATTTTTTTATTTTTTATTTTTTATTTAAAAAAAAAAAAGAAAATGCTGAGCCTTTTCTAGGGATGGTTCTAATTTCTTGGGAGAATCTTTCATTTCCTTTTCCATCAAAGAAGTAATCCAATTGGATACAACTAATGAATAAACTTAAAAAATACATTGAACTTAGAAATGATCTAAGTTATGAAAATACACAAAATAATAATAATATGTCTTGTAAAGAATGACCCATGGTGTGAGGGTAAGTTTCAAGTTTTTTTTTTCACAATTCAAATATATATATATATATATTAACATCGTTATCTATTAAGATTGAGAAATAAAAACAGATGGTCCCATCTTTCTTACATAAAGCACGCTTTCTTGTTTTCATGTCGATTTTATCTTATATACTAAGCAAGATTTGCTTCGATCAATTCATATCAGTTTCGTGTACTTTCATGCATGGTGGCTTAAGGATTAAGCGCCGATTGCAAGTGCCTGCTATTTTGCAGAATCTTTGAGAAAGTAATAAGAAATTTAAATAAAATAATCTTTTTATTTATTTATTTATTTATTAGATTTTCTTTTGTTTTTTGCATTTTTTTTATTTTTTTATTTTTATCTCTCTTCCACCTTGATGGAGAATGACAACAAATTTTGTTGTTTAGTTTACATAAGATTAAATTAGAATGATGATCATTGACTGATAAACGGGAGTCTTGTCTTTATTAATTTTTTCATTTATTTATTTTTATGCCAAGTTGAAGGTGGGCTTTAGGAAAGACAAATTCTTGTGTTGGATGTGGACAAGAAAGAGATGATTGATGATGGATAATATTCAAGATGCTCCGATTGAGTTTGCTTGTCACTAAGTGTAGTTATTTTCCAAAAAAAAAAATAGTATTGTAAATTTCTATAATTTTTAATTTACCATGATGTTCTTCCTTTTTAATGATTGAAAAGTGTTTATAACACTAGCTTTAATTAATCATTGTAAACGAATCATGTGTGGCAAATGACCTGAGGCGTCGGGGGTTTACCTCACGGTCATAAGTCAAATTCCTACACTACCAGGACTTTAAATAGTTCGTTTTCATTTATAGTTATGTGATCTCATTCAATTATCAATTTATCCTACTTTTATTTTTGATTACTCAAATATCGTATCATACTTCATTCTTAGTTGATATTAGATTTAATACTACCTCTGTCGTCCAATTCTGTTCCCATTCGCTTTCTGTTTCTAACAGTTCGAAACTTTAAGTGAGACGGTCATTCTCCATCCGATGTATTAAAAACTATTTTGAATCTAAAATATAAAATGAAATACTTCAATATAAATTTCATAATTTAATTATATGTTTGAATTATGAATTTTTTGATATTTTGCATTGCGTTTTTTAAGAATTGGACATGGTCTCCAATGGTTCATAAAATATAAAAACTTTCACAAAAATCATCAAATAAAATATACATAGTTAATTTAAATATTAAAAAAAAAAGAAAAAATTTCATTTAAATTAAACGTCAAATCAAACGTATATAATTATATTATATTAAACATTATTCAAAATCAAATTTTAGTATTCCTAAACCAAAATCACAAATCCAAACCGTAGTGAAACACCTTTATATTTGGAAGTATACACCAATTTGATTTTATCCTATGTTATTATAAAAAGAAAAAGAAAAAAAAAAAAAGTCAATTCCCACCAAACATTTCAAATCATAAATGAATATATAATTTATTATTTGGACAAGAAGACAGATATGGGCCTTAGGCGGCATCTGTGGTCCAGGCCCATTAGCAGTAAAAGGAGACTGTTGGCACGTGCGGGACCAATTATTTTGACTTATTTATCATCACTCGTCTTTTCTTCAGTGTCATCTTCTTACTATTATTCATTTTACTTGTGCTTATTACTATTATTTTATTTTATTTTTATTATTATTTTATTTTTTATGGTATGAAAAAAAAAAAAAAAAAAAATATCATGTCGTACTTAGAATCAAATCGCATGGTAACATTCACTGAAAGTATGTGAATGGATTCTGATTATAGCCCATACCATAGGCCAAGGCTAACTCAAATCAAGTGGGCTTGGATAAAAATAAAAGTTTGTGGATACATAAATAATTAGTGAGCATATGGGGACATGAAATAATTTGAAGTTCTTTTTTTTTGTTTTTTTAACTCTATTTTTTTTAAAAAAAAAAATTATTTTTTAGGAATCAAAATTGAAAATGAAGTTGAAATAACATAGCCAATAGCAATAATAGAAATTAGTAAGTGGATGTTAAAAAACTTCTTCGTTTAATTTATTAAATAGTATTTAATTTAGACATTAGTTAATATCACGGCGGCTCTTAGTATGAGTAGGGTAAACGACTACAAGTTATAAAATATTACCTATTGTTATTATTAAATTTTAATCCGTAGTTTATATTTTTTTTATATATATAATTATCCAAATAAATTTTAAGATTCTAATTTTATATATTTTGTTTTCTCTACTTTTTAACTAGTCTCATATTATTTTTTCAAATTCAATCGTCATTTACAACTCTCTGCCTTATACCGTGTCGCACTGCGTCCATCTACTCAGACCAAACTCGCTTCACTTTCTCTCTTCTTTATCTTTCGCTCTTACTCAATCCTTCTCGCTTTTCAAACCTTCGAACAATTCATCTTTTTTTTCTCAAATTTACTACGCACTGTTACGTTAAAATTTTTGTCCAATCGATTTGAATCAGTGATACTATTTTACAAATATATTTTAATAATGTATTTATAAAACTTATAATTTATTTTTTTTCCGACTTTCAAAAAAGTCCAAAACGGCCCGTTTAATATACACATATTTATCATAATACAATTAAAAAGTGAAAAACAATTGCAAACTATGCTACTTTGATAAGTCATTTCAATGACAATTGCGTTTTGATTCCGATCAAATCAATGGCCAATATATTAGATTAGGAAGATAAATCAACTATACATGACATATAAATAATAAATGATAATTATGATTTCACCCCGCATCTTGGTTAATATATAAATTTTGTACATATTCAGAGTGTAGAGGGAGAGAGATAGTAGACATAGGGATAAGGTGTCAGGCGATAATTGGACGGCGTTGACCGCAATCAATCCATTTAATTTTGACCAAATTAATTGAATTTGAGAAGTATGGTATAGTTATGTAAGAATGTATTGTATGGGTAAAGGCAGAAAGTTAAGCAGCAAAGGCGGAGGTCCGCCCGGCGGCATCGGGTTTGGGTCCTCCCCGTTTTTTTGTCGTCGTGCCCCCCTCCCCTAAAACCCTAATCTAATCTAATCAATTGTTTTAATAATAATAAAAAAATCAATAAATAATAAATTAATATAGTAATGGTTGTTTAATAGTATAAGGTTTGTATATTATACGATAAGATACGGGTGTGGGTGACGTAAACAGTGACGTCATACTAAACCCTCTGAAAAGAAACAAAATCTTGCGATCATAATTGCTGCTTTATTTTGCTTCAAGAGTAGTAGTACTAGAATAATAATAAGAAGAATTTAATAATTTATATTATTACATTATACATTACAGAAACGGAAACAGACGAGCGTGCAAAGGCACCCAACGCAATGCAATGATGCTTACGCCACTCTCTGTCTCCCCTTTAATTTCCTATAATTTATTTTATTTTATTTATTTATTTATTTATTTATTACCTCCTTAAACTACTCTTATTAATTAATTAATTAATTAATCTATTTCATTCCCATTCTTTGAGCAATAATCACTACTGTCCCTGCCTGTTTCTTACAACTTTTAAATTATTATTTTAATCAAAGAAAGACACAACAAACGCAAAAGGGCCTTTGGTTTTTTACTACTATCATTTTATATTAGAAAAAGAAAGGATAGGGGGGGTGGGGTGGGTAGTAGATGATGAGCTAGCTAGGTAGGTGGGTAGTGGTGTGTGGGGTCGGGTCCCGACAAATGAAGTTCAAATGCCGCTTTCTTGTCCCCCTACACAGAATCACTACTGTTTTCCTCTACCTCTAAATGCCCTTTGCGTGACTCCCACTTTTCTCATTTCCCTTTTTACCCTTCCTATTTATCTTTTATTTCAATTTACCCTTCTTTATTAATTATTTGTCCTTTTTTAGGAGGGGCTTGGGGAATAAATAATATCATGAAATTTAATTCCAAAATGAGATGAGTGTAATGTAAATATGTAATGTAATTTAATGAAAATGAAGAAATAACCGCACGTGACCGACTGGCTTTTACCCTATTCTCGTACGAGTAGGTCAAAAGGGGTAGAGCTCCGGAAGGGTATATGTGTCAAATAGCAGGGACAGATAGGGGTATATGCGTCATTTAATAGGCGTGGCAGAGAAATTTATGAGCAAGAACCTGAGAGCACTGTCCTGAAGAAACTGTAAAAAGGCATAATTGGCTGCCACCATTTACCATCCCTGCACCAAGAACGACAGGTAATTATTTTATCTCATGGACGGCCACGATTCGATTCGGATGGTGCAATCCCAGCCGTTGATGGCGAGTGGAGGATGAGACCTAAATGGGTGCATATTATTTATAATTCCCTCAATGCCCCTGCTCTGCGTTTGTGTGTATTTTTCATTCGTGCTGAGCTGATCTGATCAGTTTTAAGAGTATCTCGGCCAAAGAAAGCCAAACTCTCTCTCTCTTGCTTTTGTCTTTAGCTTTCTGCCGGAATGGAGGGACCTTGAAAAATTCTCTGCCTTGAAAAATTCCTCTCTGCTTTGCGTTTCCTGCTTTACCTACAGTTTCTTCTTCCTCGCACCTCCTAATCTTCATTCTCTTCAAGCTGTTTCGTTTGCACTGTTCGTTTGTGATTACTGGTCTTCAGGTATGTTCTTGTTTTATTTGTTCTTTTTTATTTTTTTATTTGCAGGTTCATCTTTGCTTTTCTCCATTGTCTTTCCTGAGCAGAGCTTTGATTTAAATGTAGAGATTAGATCTTGTAACCTTCTGGCCTTATTTCTGGTTCTCTGTGACTCAGTTTGGGGTTTCATTTCGTTGCTCTGGATCTTTTGTGATGTTTCATTTTCTCCCTAGTAGTTATTGGTTTCCCCTTTTCATCTGTATGAGACACAATTTTTATTTTTATTTTGCATATTTATTATCCATTTGTGTTTCATTTTCCCATGCAAAAACAGAATATGTTCTGATGTGTTTCTTTATTTTCATCCAATAATCCCTTCTACTTTCTTCTCCTTAGCTATTGTAATTTTGCTTCGGTTTCAGCCTTAAAAGATGTTTTTATGTAGTTTGAGGTAAAGTAACAACCAAGAGAATCCTTTAATACTGTGCTGCAATTCCTATTTTCTTGCCCTAATTTTGACCACCACAATGGACATTGTAACTTCGGATATTGCCTGCTTGTCCTGATCTTGCCCTAATGATTAGTCACTGCAGGCACAAAGAAATTGAAACAGTATTCTATTAATTCCTGTTTTCATATTTTAGGGTTTTTAATCGATTTCTTCCGACATACCCCATAATGGCATGTTTTTCTATTTATTTCCACCAATTGAAGAAACTGATCATATGAAATTAGTATACTTTCGATTGTTCTTTTAAAGCGACAGGATTAGGGTTTTTGAAATAAACTCCATTGGTGAATTCTGCAAAATTGCAGATTTAAACACAGACGCTGGAATTTCAGACTTAATGTCTCCACCGGTGCTGGGGGTCGAAGGGCAGAGTCAGTATAACGTAGCTTTGATGGCTTCCTCGTCGTCTTCAGTCTGTATTTCGCAGAGTGGCTCAGGTTTGAAAGAACGTAACTACTTGGGATTATCTGATTGTTCTTCACAAGACAGCTCAAATGTGCCTGACGAAAACAAGAGCAATCTGAATCTCAAGGCCACTGAATTGCGCCTCGGCCTTCCGGGATCGCAATCCCCCGGTCGGGACTCGGCCGACTATTCGAGGGTAATGCTCGGAGAGAAGCAGCTCTTTCCATTGGCTCCCTCCAAGGAAGGAATTTGCACTCTGACCCAGAAGACTGCTGCTTCTGGAAACAAGCGAGGATTTTCCGACACCGTCGATGGATTCTTGGAATCGAAAAGCACCAATGTATTTTCCGGTAATGGAAATCTGGCAGCAATCAAGACGACGGATGCTCCGGCGAAGGCGTCGCAAGAAATTAATAACAAAACGAATGGATCGAATACTAATAGTCCGTCTGCTGCTAAGTGAGTGGTTAAGACAAAGAATTGCCCTACTGATATTTTGAATTCGGATTGCATGTTTGATGTAATAATATGATTGGTTTTATTGCAGGGCCCAGGTAGTCGGTTGGCCTCCGATTAGATCGTACAGGAAGAACACTCTTGCCACGTCGTCGAAGAACAATAATGAAGTCAATGGCAAGCTGTGTCCCGGCGTTCTTTTTGTTAAAGTTAGCATGGATGGAGCTCCTTACCTGAGAAAAGTGGATCTTAGGACATACTCGACGTACCAAGAACTGTCATCGGCTCTTGAGAAAATGTTCAGCTGTTTTACTATAGGCAAGCAGTTTCTTGCAACCTAGATTATCTTGTGTATGCTGTTTGCAAGAATAAGTGAGTGTCTTTTGGTTTCAGGACAATGTGGGCCCCAAGGAGGTCCGAGCCGGGAAATGCTCAGCGAGAGTAAGTTGAGGGATCTTCTTCATGGATCAGAATATGTCCTGACGTACGAGGATAAGGATGGCGATTGGATGCTTGTCGGAGATGTTCCATGGGAGTGAGTATATATAAATAAACATATATATATGCAAATGTTTGTTTATTTCGATGTTTTTTGTAATACTTGTGTCTATATTAAATTTTTACCTTAGTTCATTTCCTTTCTGATAAATATTTTCTGTCTAGGATGTTCATTGCCTCCTGTAAAAGGCTGAAAATTATGAAAGGAGCTGATGCAATTGGATTGGGTAAGCATTTATGTTACCTTTTATTACATTCTCTGGTAGATCGAAGGTGTCCAAAAATTAATGTGTTAAGCATTTTATATACATCTTGGGAAGCATTTAATCGTGCCATGATAGTCCGACTAAAACACTGGTCTTTGGCTGTAATAACTGGATTATGTTTTATGATACATATAGTCATATTGATGCTTTGTGGAGTTTACAATATTAGTTCGAAAACTTTGTTGTAGAAGTACGATGAATGTGTTTGTCTGATTTACAGCTCCAAGAGTCGTGGAAAAATCCAAAAATGCGAACTAGCTTTCTGATGGTTTAGCTGACAGGAGTGATCGCCCCGCGGAATGAACACAAAAGCAGATTCAAGCGTTGTCATTTTGTTCTTCGGTGCGCCCGCACCGGCTAATGTCAGACTTTTTAAATTTCTTTCATGTTTGTTGATCTTCAGAGTGTCTAATGTCTGTTTTTTTTTTTTTTTTGGTTTGTTGATGATCTATTTTCAGCTTGTGCTATAGTTGTAATACATGTTTGTGAAGTGCATACATGACTTCCTCAGACCAATCTATTTTGTATGAATTAATGAATGTGTGTTGTCTTAGTCTGAATTGTATTCATTTCAATTTGTGCTCTTAAGTCTCAATATAGTAATTTTATAAGTGTATTAATTCATGTAGAGTTTTATTTATACAATTGAATGATAAAATTTAATTTATCTTTTGTGTGTAATTTTTTAATAACAGAATAATGGAATGCATGTTTTAGGCTTTTTGCTAATTCTAAGGTTAATATTCACCAATTGTTAAAAGTTAGTGGATAAGTCGGCTGGATGGGATAAAATATAATTCAAAATCCCATGATTGGGTTTGGATTACATTGTCGAATCCTATTGAATTATTTATTTATTTATTTTATTAAACTTTGAAATTAAATAAATCGATTAATGAACAGAGTCAGTGGGTGCACTGTACTGTACTGCACTGACTTCAAACCCTTCACTAAACCCTCTTTTGGGGACATTAAGTGAGCTTTCCTATTGGAAGTGCAGCAGATATCATCATTACCAAAAAATAAGATTTGATAGTTGATTTAATCACTCACTTAGTGCGATTTATCTCACCAATTAATAATATATCCTTAATTATATTCCTTTGTTTATTTTGATTTTATTCCAAATTATGGGGCTGTGGTTAATCTAGTTTAGGACATCTGTTGCACGAAAAGAGTTAGTTCTAAGAATAATTGAATTTTATTCAACAATGCTTTCACAGGTGGCTTTATATGCTCAATTGTAAGTTCTTTGCGTCATTTTAAAATCACTCTTTCTTTTGTTCATTCTTACTCTTATCATTATTATATACTCCCTCCGTCCAGCTAGAAAGTATACACATTTTTATTTTGGAATGTCCAACTACAAAGTAAACATTTCATTAAATACCTCAATTTTTTCCACAAAAAATACCCTTGCTTTACATCATATCACTTAAATACCTCAATTTTTTCCACAAATATCTTTGTTTTACATCACATCATTACTTTTATACAAAAAGCAAGAGCAAAAATATCATTATACTACTTACAAAAATAAATGTATATTTTATCCGTGGACGGAGGGAGTATATATTTTTTATTATCGATCTATTTATATATATATATATTTTAAATACCATTATTTACTTATGTTTTATTAAATGAAAATTAAATTGTTTTATAGCTTGAAACTTGGGGTGGAAAGAAGTACACTCCATCGTCCAAATTCATATTCATTTTTTTCTTTTAATTATAAAAAAATACTTTTACTTTTTTGGTAAAAAATATACTTTACTTGTTACGATTCAAAGTATTATTATTATTATTATTATTTTCGATAGTCTAATTTAAATTTTTACATAAATTACAAATATATCATTACATATAAGGGTGTGTTTGTTTGAAGTATAGATTTTGAGTTGAGATTTGAATAATAAAAATTTTAAATTTGAATAGTCGTGTATGATGTGATATAAATAAGTGTTGATGTGATAAATTAATTTTTAGTATAATATAAAAAATAAAAAATGAGTGTTTAATTTGATATTTTAAAAAAAAAAAATTAGATAAATAGTGAATTTAGGGTAAAATCCCCAGAACAAAGACATCCTTTATACGTAAAGTCAAAAGTAAAAAAATATTATAATATCTTACACACTCTATCAAATAAAATACTATTATTTTTAATATAACAAGTAATTATATATTTTTATTAAAATACATGTCCGAATATTGAGGTACGTTCTATGACGAGAGAGTATGTAATACAAGATTCCTACTCAATTTATTATTTTTATTATTTTTGTTTATTATATTCTAAAATAATTTTCTTTTTTTGTTACAATAAAAATATAAGTACCAAAATATTTTAAATTTTTATAAAAATATTATTTTTTTTTTACTAATAAAAGTAAAATTTAAAAATAATTTATAATTTTTTATGAAAACATAAAATACTATAATTATAGTACAAATAGTACAAATATTTTTGTGAAGGAGGTAGTGTAACACAGAGATACATACAGAGCTGGAATCCCGTGTGGTGCAGTCCACGTGTGGTTGTGATTCCACCAATCAGAGCCTTCCATTTCATTTTTCCCGATTTACAATTTCTTTTTTCTCCTCCCGACTTACAATTTCTTAATTTTACTCGTTACACTTTATAATAATGTGTTTCCTACTAGAATATCAGTAAAAAAAAAATAATAATAATAATTAACATAATTTCTTTTACATAATTAAATAAAGTGAAGTGAAGTAATTAAGCTAAACTTGGTCTAAAATTGCATTGACAAAGTAGCCTATCAATTGCATGTAGAAATTTATATACACATTAAAAACAAAACAAAGCAAAAAGAGCAGAAATTAATCAATACATGAATATATATATATATATATATATATAGTTAGGCAACCAATCAATATTATATAACAGCTGGCAGACAGACCCAAAGGGGAGTAGGCCATGCATAAATAAATATTCAATTGGAATGTTGGAGGAAAATATATATATACACACAGAGATAAGATTAAATAATCTATTCTGAAATTAATATTCACAAAAATAGTAGTAATAGAATCACCATTCGTTTTTTTCTTTTTTATTTCAAAACTCTATTTCTGTAAATTTATTTCAATACATACAATCATTTAGTTTTGTTTGTTTTGGCACGTATTTTGATTATTATTTATTTTTACATAAAAGAATTATCGAATATAATATTTTATATGTTGAAAACTAAATATATTTTTATTAAAAATTATAAAATTACTAAAAAAAAAAAAAAAGGTGAGGCTTAAATGGGTGTCAGAATCATGAAAATGTGCTTCTGGTTCATGATCATATATGATATATACATATCGATTGAGGACCCTCATGGATGCATTCAAGACGAGGATGATGATAATGATCGCGATTCATTAATGGTAGCTTAGCTTACTGAATATGTTCGATCGATCTTCCCCACCACTGCATTCATTAACTTCACCAATCAATACGTACATATATATATATATATACATATATTTTCTTACATGCCTTGTGTATATATATATGTATGTATATATGTTCCCTGAGCTGCCACATCGCATAATGTTCAATCGCTCGGTCGCATTTAATTGGCTCATACGCGTTTTATTACATAAGCCGACCACCACCACCACCACCACCACCACCACCACCATGGCGTCATTTTCATTATCTAATATATGTTGTAATAACAAACCCTAGTTAGCTTAATTAGCTAGCTTACATTAATTCACTGCCTGAATTATTTGCATATGTATTATATATATATATATATATGTTGTTCTAGTACTGATAGTCGGCACATGAAATATAATCTTACAGTACATAAAATATAAATAGACAGTATATGATATAAGTTAATATAATATAAATTCAACATATAAATTGACAACAAATCACAATAATTTATATAATTGTACATATTATATATAATTGAATTGATCACCACATAATGAATGTAAAAACAGCACAACTTTTTAAATTAATATTAACTAACATATGAATCAACAGAAAACTGGTTAGTATTCAATCAAGTCATGTGTTGATAACTTATAGATTATGTATTTTCAACACAATTTTAATCAATTTAATTAAATCAAACACTCCAGCCAAACCAATATATATATATATATATATACACACACACACATAATGCATTAGTATAATTTTGTAAATACTAATAATAATAGTAATAATGATAACAAAGTGTGTATTGGGACATGATGAGAATGGAGGGAAGGAAATATGGCAATTGGCAAATGAAAAATCATTTGGTCCTAAAAGGGTGAGGCATTATCATCATGCTATTGTTTTTGGATTTTATTAAATAAATTATATATATATATATATATATGTGTGTAAAATTTGACACATCCCACTAGCTAGCTAGCTCATCCTTAATTTTTCTTTACAACAATCCAATAATTAGTGAATAAAAAACAACACCACCATCACAACTTTTTGTCTCAATTACACTCAATTTTCCCCCCAAAAATAAGGGCCAATTGATCTTTTAATTTATCACTTTCCATCTCCCAAAGCACTCAAAAACCCTTTTTCCCTTTAATTTGGATTTTGGATTCATGAACTTGGGATATGACTAATTGTCATTGTTACAAATTGTTATTGGAATTCTATTTATTTTGTTGAGGTTTTGATTCAAGCTGAAATCAGATCAAGAAGTTTTGTTTTGTTATTAATGTTTGAGATTTTTGTCCAACAAAATGTTGTGATATGGATGTTAGTTTTGGGAGTTGAAAATAAATAATGATTCGAATTGCATTAGTGTTTGTATTTTTGAATAAAAATAACTTTTTAATATAATAAAAAAAATTATATATATATATATTTAGTATTTCTAACGTATTAAAAAGATAGATAGTAGGGTTTGGGCCAAGTTTTAATATTTTGATTCCATTTTGCTAAAAAAATACTATATCTCTTTCGTCTTAGTAAATATTAAATAAAATACTCAGTATTATTTAAATTTAAAATTTAAAATTTAAAATTTCAAACTCAATCAAAACATCAAAGAAAAGCATCCTTGGTGCTTTATATATATACTCACCCCATTATCCAATATTGTACTCAAAACAAGTGGTAATATGATTTAATAAGAATGCTCTTTCACTAAAAAGAGAAATGAAAATACTTTTTTACAAAAATATTTTAAAAATGAGTATAAATTTGAATAACATAGAGTAATAAAAATTTGAATGAAAAATATGTGAAGAGTGTGACGTTTTGAGTGAAAAAAAGAGTGGTATTATGTATTAAAAATATATACTAGTATATGGAGTAATATTTTAAACAAGATATAGGCGTTCAAATTGGATGAGATATATCTTTTCAAGAAAAAAATAAATAAAAATGAATGGTATAAATATATATGACACAGCAATAATAACAGAATTTTGCTATCTAAAAAAAATTGTTGATTGCATTTTTTTATAACAGACTACAAAGATAACACAATTCCACATGTACTTACATCAAATATCATAACTATTGCATTGTTTCATGTGACATATGTTTACTTCAAATGGCAAAATTATAATGTTTGATTTTAGAAACTTTGAGATTATTTCATTTCATTTTTAGTAAGATATATAATCTAAAAGTTAATATGTTAATATGGTATCACATGTTTGTTTGACTAATTTCATTTAATTTTTGCTATTTATAAAAAATTCCCCCCCCCCCCCCTCAAAAAAAAAATCAAATAGGTATTTTTTATTTATTATATTACAATAAAAATTAATTTTATATGTTAAATATAGCATCAATTTCTACTTATATAACATCAAGCTATTATTCAAATCAAGCATTGTCTCAAACTAATAATAACTAATTAAATCAACTTAACGACTATAACAATAACAATAATAAACACTTAAGCATTATATATACAAACCCATTAATTATTTCAATCATTTCTATAACTTCTCGAATGAATTTTGATTATTTTATTTGCACTCAATTTGGGTACACATTCAATTTGTTTAATTATGATTGAGTTGGTTGGGACTGATTGAGGAGGTCACAACATGTGCTGCAATAATGACCACATTTCAATTTTCAGTACACACATCTTATGTATATATATACATATATACGTATAAAAATTGTATAAATTGGAAAAAAAAAAATTAAATTAAAAATAGTATGTACTATTTGATTCATTTATTGTCCTAATTAAATAATGCATGTGACTCACCATCGTGCATGAACTTTGAGCTGCACCAAATTTCTTAGGATTGGATTTGGGGAAATGTCACGTCCATGGGGAAAAATAAATAAATAAATAAAATTATATATAAATTTCAATTGGACAATATTTAAGTAAAATGAAATACAACATGGGCACCATTAATTTGTATGTACATGAATAAATGTATCTAATTTCACTATTTATTGGAAGTATAAAATTATAAATAGTGATATTATAGAAATTTTAATATTCATATAGAAAGAAAGAAAATAAATAAATTAATTAATCGAAGAGAGGAAAGAGAGAATGTGGAGAAATAAAATAGTGAAATCCATCCCTTTTTATTATTATACAAAAAAATTAATGGGGATTGAAGAATTTCAAGATGATATATATATATATATATATACACACACAAGTGAATTGAGAAGTATAATTTAATCACTCCAATCCAAGGGTTTGAGTTTCTTTATTTATTTATTTTATAATTGTCAAGAACAATATATATATATATATATGTATATTTATACACACCAACTCTCTTATTGTTCATACAAATACCAACTAATATCAACAACTCCTTTAATCAAGACAAATTCCTTGACAGCACACAAATCCAAAAAATCATGTAGGACGAAACCCTTTTTCTAAAAAATAAAACTTAAAAAAATCAATTTCCCAATTTTGAATTAATTGAACCACTAAATCATGTTAATTGTCTGTATAGCATACAATGATGATTAAAAAGAAAAGAGAGGTTTTTATTGGCATTTGCCCCTAATAATTTTAATTATTATTTTTATTAAAATAAAATACAATTTCATAGTTTTGTGGGTGCCCGCCCACTTCGCATGCCCTTTTCTTTGTTTGTATATTGGGATATTTAAGTTTAAAAAATCAGGACAATTATACTAATCAAGAACCAATTTTTAAGTGGACAAAAATTGGGCCTTTGTTTGTTTGATTATTTTGTAGTTAATGCATTGGATACTTAATTAGAGGAATCAATCCCACTTTTGTTTACTAGGAAAGAAATCCATTAAATTAAAATAGTAACAATAAATTATAGTGTGTGACTGAATAAAATATAAAAATTCAATTCTATATTTTTGCATACTTTAAAAATAGAAGTAAGATCTGCAGCCAGTCCAAGGTCCAGTTGTGTTGCTGTAACGGTAATTCCGTGGACCATCATTATAATAATCATCATCATAATAATAATAATAATTAATAATATACATTATTTTTACGATAATCAAACATGTGCAATTACAGAAATATCCAATCAAATCCATAACTAATTAATTAATTAAAATTTTGCAGGTGTAGTAAAAAGACATGTTATGTCCACACTGACCGATTGACTAATTCACTTCTGACTTCGCATTTAGCCGTTTCTGATCCTCTGTATCGCGGCCCATCACCCTACGGTGCTCGCCCAATCACATGCAGTTAAAATTAATATTTTAATATTGATAAAAACTAACCATTGGATAGGTGCACTGCACCCGTCTCATCTGATCCCGTCATAACGCGGAGCTAACGCCGTTAACTGTCGGAACAGTGAGGAGACAGAAGAAGACGCGACGTCGGTAGGTTACTGTCAGTCTGTTACTGTTAATTGTCAAATCAAACTCTACTAGAAAACATGGCCCTGCTAATTTAATTGTATTTTTTAATGAAAGTGTCCTAAAATCTACCAGAAAAAAAAAAAACTGTACTACTATAAATTTAACAATAATTTAGAAGAAAAAAATAAAATTGGGATTGGAGAGAATTGATTGTTACGTGGGGCATGAATAGAATAGGGGTAGACATTAGACAAGTGACACTGCCAGTCGATGGAGACTAATAAAGGCTGAAAGATTCTCAAAATATTTTCTTACTAATATTTTGTCACACCCTTCAACACAGTAAATAAATAAATCATATTATATTCAAATTAAATAAGCTTCATTGGATTAGGGATGGATGAATTTTTTATTTTCTTTTAAAAGTCCAAATAAATATTTTATTACAGTAAATGTCTTCAATAATGGACCATAAATTGCATAGATGATAAAGCTGTAGAGGATGTGTCCCATTACTACAACTTCTAATGTACCAAAGTCATAAATTGGCTGCACAATCGGTATTTATCCTCAATCAATGGAACAAAAGGACAAATAATAAATAGTAATAAAATGAAATAAAGATAAACATCAGTAAATCGCATTAAAGAAAGAATGCACTGTCAGTGTAGACACACAGACACCAATTAATCTAAGCATTCAATTCCCACATTAAAAAACCAATAAAAACAAAGAAATAAATAAATGGTGATGGTACGAAGGTGGTGAAATTATTGGTCATCATACTCATAATCATGACCACCTATCAAACAAAAAAAAATTAACCCTAAATTCTAACAAGATGGGATTTTTATTCATATTTCTAGTCATACCCCTTAACAAGAAAAAGGCGGCAGGGAGTTAAAATAAACCAAATCTAAATCCTTAATTAAATAAAAATGTTGATGGAAGAAAAAAAAAAAAAAAAAGAGAAAGAAATATAATGGGAATTGGGAACACAGTAAGCAAGCAAGCAAGTAGTCCATGTGGTTGTTTACAGAAAAAATCAATATGGGCAGAATAAAAGATATGATGGTGAAAATGGCAGAAGAGGGAAGGAAGAGAAGTGAAGTGATTTCCGAAAAGGAGTAAGAAAGTTGTGATGCAGAGAAGCTTAAGGCGAAAGTGCAGATCAAATGGGGAAGAAGGACATTACCAATGGGGTGGGAGGGTGGGTGGGTGAGTTTCTACTTTCTATGCGTTGACTTGTTGGAAACCTCCACGTGTCAGTCATTTTTCTTGGGTTTATTATATTTGTATTGTGCATTGCCCCAAAGCCCACTTCTGCAATTTTAAATGTAACAGCAGCAGCAGCTTCCTTTCCTTCCTGTAATTAAAATAAAAGCTTCAGAGGAAAAGGGTGGGTAGGAAAGAGACAGTGTGTGATTTTACATTTGATGTTTTTTGGGGGCTTTTTGCAGTGATCTTTTTGTGTGAATTCATTCACAGATACACACAATAGAGAGAAAGAGAAAGAGAAAGAGAGAGAGAGTGGATTGGGATTTGGAAATTGGGATTTGGGATTTGAGATTGGGACTGTGGAGAGGTGAGGGAGGGTGGAAGGGTATCTTTTGTTTCCTCTTTTCCTTGTTTTCTTTCATGTGTTTTTGTCATGTTTCTCAATCCTCCTATTCTATAATGTCTTGTTTCGTGTCTGCTTTGGCTCTCTGTGTTCTTCCTTTCTCTTCCCCAATTCCACAATTTATCTTCTAGCCCTCTCCCACTCACCATCACCCAGAAACCAGAAAGAAATCAAGAAAAGCAGAAGTGCAGGCAGGCAGGCAGAATGGTTTTAGGTTGGAGAAGGGCATTCTGCACATCCATCCCAAAGGATAAAGATAGAGACTTACCAATCATTAAAGACAAATCTGCTTCTGCTTCTGCTTCTACTCCAAGTCCAAGTCCAAGAATCGGCTCCAGATTTGGAGGGTTTTTCTCCAATCCCTCCACCCCCCGCCCGGATTCTGAAACCCCCAATCTCCGGTGCAGAACCACGGCGGAGCTGCCCAATGCCGCCGCCGCGACACTCTCCAGCAAATCAACCCCACAGAGCCCAAGACTACAATGCAAAACCAGAAACAGCCCCAGGCTGGGGCTTTTCCACCGCTCTGCTCCGTCTTCTCCGCGCTCCCCCTCCGCCTTCTCTTTGCTCAAGTCCGGCCTGCGCCTCTCAAAGGTCTGTTCATAATAATAATAATAATATATTTTATTTACAGTATGTAATTTTTGTATGATTGGGTATTGATGAAAGTATTCATTAATGGCGGTACTGCAGGGTAGGTGTGGAATATGCTTACATAGCGTGAAGACAGGGCAGGGAACCGCCATATTTACGGCGGAGTGCGGCCATAGCTTCCACTTCCCCTGCATCTCCGCCCACGTGAAGAAACAGGTCTCCCTCGCCTGCCCAATCTGCAATTTTTCTTGGAAGGAAATGCATCTTCTCGTAGCTGACGATCACAACAAACCATTTGGAGGCGGCGGCGATGCAATTCCCCGAGAGAACGATAAGAGATGCGTATTGAAGGTTTACAATGACGACGAGCCTCTGTCGTCTCCGACGTCCGGTGCACGATTCAATCCAATTCCTGAATCGGATGAAACCGAGGAGGAATACGACGAATTCCCAGGCTTCTTCGCCACCAACAGTGTGATTCCCGCCGGTGAGCTGAAGGCGAAGAATATGGACGTCGCTATGCTGCCGGAAGCGGCTGTGGTTTCAGTCGGAAGGACCAGCGAGACTTACGCCGTCGTTTTGAAAGTCAAAGCTCCGGCGGCGCCTGTACGCGGAATTTCGATCGATTTGGTAATCGTTGTTAACGTCAGCCGGAGTCTCATCGCCGAGAAGCTTCAATTGTTGAGGAGAATGATGAGAGTCGTCGTTTCATCTCTAACCGCCGCCGACCGCCTGTCAATTGTGGCGTTTTCCACTTCTTCGAAGCGGTTACTGCCGCTTCGAAGAATGACAACTTCCGGCCGGAGATCCGCCCGTAGAATTATCGACGCAATAGTTCCGTTGGACGGCGGCGCCACCAGCGCTACTGACGCGCTTATGAAGGCGGCGAAGGTCATCGAGGACCGCCGCGAGAAAAATCCTGCATCAAGCATCTTGCTATTCTCCGACGGCCATCGCGGCGGTCCAATGGTTTCTTCCACGCGATTCTCCCACTATGAAATCCCTCTCCATTCCGTGAACCTCAGCGCGTGCCTCAAATCGCCGCCGGCGGACGATACATTCGCTGAATTGCTTAACGTCGCCGTTCAGGATCTCAAAATTCAGCTAGGGTTTACATCGGGGTCGGCTCCGGCGGAGATAAGCGCGGTGTATTCGTACGCGGGTAGGGCGTCGTTTGTCGGGTCCGGGTCAAGCTGGTGCCGGGTCGGGGACCTGCACTCCCAGGAGTCTCGAGAATTGTTGATTGAATTGCGGGTCCCATCATCATTGGGTGGGGCCCATCGCCGCCTGACCGTTCGATGCACTTACAAAGACCCGTCAACTCAAAAAACCATATGCGACAAGGAGCGCCCCATTTCGGTGCCTCGCCCACGCGCCGTCGGATCATCTGCCACGCGGGACATCCAACGCCTCCGATGCCTCTTCGTCACCACACGCGCCGTCGCCGAGAGCCGGCGAATGGCCGACAACAGCGACGTGGACGGCGCCCACCACATGTTGGCTTCGGCTCGGGCTATGGTTCTGCAATCGGCTTCCGGCTCGAGCGAGGAGTTCGTGCGCGGGCTCGAAGCTGAGCTGGCTGAGCTGAATTGGAAGCGGCAGAACGGAATGCTGCCGCGGCGGAGGAGCAGCCGGGGAAGAGAAGCTGCACGGGCGGAGGACAAAGCCGCCGCCGCCGCCGAGCCGCTTACGCCGACGTCGGCTTGGAGGGCGGCTGAGCGGCTAGCTAAAGTGGCCATAATGAGAAAGTCATTGAATAGAGTCAGCGATCTACACGGCTTTGAGGATGCAAGATTTTAATTAATCTTATTTTTCCATTTTCCTATTATTATCATTCGTAATAAAAATTAAAATAAAAAATCCAAAAAAAAGGGACATGTATATCTAAATGTATAAATGAAAAAGAGACCCCACGTAGTGTATTGTATTATTAACTGAGAGGGGTAGGGTTGGGGGGTCCTCTCAGCTTTTTGTCTTTATTTTACTTGCTCTATTATTTTCAATTGTTTTGTTCTTGCCCTTAACGTCTCTCTCTTTCAAAAATATAATCGAAAGAGAATGATGATATGTATGATGATATATCTTGTCCAATTCAAACCAATTGAACAATTAATATTGTCCAGGTGTCATTTAATTTATATTTGAAAGTAAATATATTAAAATTGAGAGCTTTTTTGGTAGCAAGCATATACATGTCTTGTTCCAATGAGCCATTATTTCCTAGATCTTTTTGGTTTGTATTTACATGGTTGAGCTTTCAGAAATTCAAAACTTTCCTCCAAACTTCATATGATGCAATTGATTGTTTATGACTCGTTTGCCCTTGTTCTCCCGTATTCACATATCACTTTCAAATTGTTTGGAATGTGAAATGGCAGGGCATTTGGTTTTGGTCCCGCACAAGGATCATCACACGTACAAAGATCTATGACACAAGTTGCTCATCTGGTTCGAGTAAGTTAAAAAAGAGTAAGGCCCTTGATTTTGAAGTTGCAACAGACACATTTAACCAATTATTGATGAAACCCTTTCTGAGAAGATGATTCACTCACTCATTAGATGCATACATATACACACATACACGTGGCTAATGAGAAAAACAAGATTTGGTGCATGTGATATGCAGTGCAGGTACCCACAGGATAAGGATTACTGAAACTGTGGCATTTGGGAAAATACAAATAGTGGGAAGTAGTAATGGTAATGAAGGAAGCTTCAAAAACTAGCAAAAGCAGAAAAAAGATAGTGGCAGCAAAAGGTATTTGATTCACCAAATATTTATATGTATATAACTTTAGGAATCCTGAAATTGCGCACCTGTAAAAGTTCTTGACTGCAACTGCTCAGCCTCAGATGTGATTGATGTCAAGCCTATAGGTGATTTTATTTTTTGTCACTGATATAGGAGAACAACATTCCACCTTTATTGGTAGCAACTTTTAAAAGGGAATAGGAATAGGGACCATTGTACTTGAACAAGACTCTAATCACATATAGCATGCACACAGTCGGTTTGATTAGCAATGGATAACTAACATAACACAGTCTATACAACAATTACTTGGGATAACAGGGTGGGTGGGTGATTTTGGTAAAATGGATAATGTAACTAATCAAGAGAAATCTTGGGTCTCATAACTACAATTAGCAAAACACAGAAAAAGGGAAATTATGCAGTGTTTGATGACTAGAAACCAACAAAGAGAAAAGAACCTTGATAGTGAAATGTCAAAACAATGGAAAGATGATGCATGCATGAGATGTGGATTTTTTTGGGGTACATGATATTAAATTGAGTGCAAAAGGTAAGAAGATAATCTATGGAGATTTCACCAACTATGAAATCAAGCTTTCACTTTAGACAATATCTTCAACCAGGTGAGGGCTAAAAATGCTAATATTGCAAGCATATTGAGCAAATAATGTCTGTTATAAATACACATTCATCTGTCGAACTTATTGTTAATAAAAGGAGAGCTAGATAGATGTACAGTGAATATTTTAAAGAGATAAGTATTACCATTTGGATTTGTCGAGTGCAGCAAAGATGGGAAGGCCAAAGAGCTTTGTCTTAAGCAATTTACTTATTGTGAAGCTTCAGAAGTATAATCGCTTGCATTGACCTGCTTCGACTTCAGATGGGCAATAGGGGCACTTGAATGGTCTAGTGCTGTTGTTTTTTGATAGCTTTGTGATCGAATGCTTGCACAGCACATGCCCGCAGGACAACAACATAGGAGGGTTGTCTTCACTTGCTTGGTCTCGGCTAACTGGACAAACAAACACCGAGTGGAACTGAAACTCTTGACCTAAATCCACTGGCACCGGTAATTGTGTCATGGACTGCCATTCCTGCTTTTTCCCGGCCATCACAGTCATCAACTTCAACAATGTTGGCAGCCCCTGAACTCCAGCTGCAATTGCCACGCTCAATGGACTCTCATAAGACTGCCCCATAAGATTACAGAACTGGCGGGCGAGTTCCTCGGACAGTTTGTCCCAGTGTATGGAGGATAATAGTTCAGAATACGGCGAAGAATCAAGCTTCCCAGCCCATAATATGCAAGCCATGAGTTTCTGTAATTCAGGCAGATGTTTAGCAGAAAATGGAGCTAAAAAGGTCCTAGCATATTTCAAAGCTTCGTCCCGGCTACCACTCCGCAATATCTCTACAAATTTAAGGCTGTGAAGTTTCATTTCAATGTCAGATCCTTTCTGAATCAGTTGCTCATGATTCTTTGTTGCCCAATTCAGAGCCGGCTCAAGATTTCCAGACTTCATGGCTTCCAGTATTTGAAACATTTCTAAAAATGGTGACTTTATATCTGAGGCCTCTGGTTCATTGGATTCATTCACGAAACAGTCCCCGATGTCAAATTGGCCCTCACGGTAGAAGTGGCTGGCAATTATTTGGTTAACTGTGTGGACATCAAAATCAACATTGCGATATGCCTTTGAAATGTCGGGATTGAAAGTTCTCTCAAGAAGTTTCGGATACTTGCTCAAAGCCAGATTCAATTCCTTCTGTGTCCCTTCCAGTTGGTTGAGTAGAGCAATTTCCTTCAACTTAGCATTCAATTCACTGAGGACCAATTTATGATCGGATGGAGAGACAGCATCAGGCGCAGATTGTATTCTTGATAAAGCATGTTCGATTCCTTGTCCAATCTGCTCAATGACTTCTTGAGATTTTGAAGATGAAAGTTTTTGTTTTTTCGTCACATGTTCAAAAGCATCTTTGATCGAGCCCAACTCCATTTCTAGATGTGCAACCTTCTCAATTCAAAATTTTTTCATAAGTGTGACAACCACCAACAAATAAGATACAAGTTCATGTCACCAGCAGAAATTTAGCATCCAAGATAATTTTTCCAGGACAAAACTATGGATGCACTGAATACATATCAAAACATAGCAACCAAGCTTGTAGAGATTTCTGCCAAAAGAAACATCTAAACAAGTATCTAAAGAACTTATAATGCACGTTACACCTTCCCATACCAAATTTGAAAACAACTTTTGCTCTCATGGCATTCTACTACAGTGTCAAAGGGAAAAGGAGTATCCATTCCTCTTAAGACTAATCAATAACGGGATTTACCTTGTAACTAGAATGTTATGCATCCACTGCATAGTGAAACTGATGAAGTGTCTCAAGCTTCATAAAGATATTCAGGAATGGGATACTAAACTCATACTGAGAGAAGTTGGGAGAGACAATTTATATGGAGTTTACGGATAGAACACATAAATGCCATATGATTCAGTAGGCATGTATACTATATCAAAAATGGGTAAGCTAATCTCATTTCATCATCACACAACAAAAGCAAAACTTATGCTGAAATTACATTTAAGTAAAATTTACTTGATAGACGAATTTCAACCCAGGGATGGAGGAAAATTTTTCATCAAGATTTATTATTATTATTTTTTAAAAATTATTGTTATTATTATAGTATCAATACTTTATTTTGCATCTGTCTTCAAACATGAAATTCCAACATACAAAGCATAGAAACCACAAAACAGGTAAGGGTGGTGGTGCAGACAACGTAGGAAAATGAAGAGAATTAGCTATGACAATTTGAGCACTGTCAAACTATTAATGCAGATGAATTATTGGACCTAATATCTATATTTCTAGTTCACATTGGTTCACATGTATCAACAGAAATTTCATATTGAAGGATATTTCAAAAATTTGTGTTGGAGAGTTTATTTTACATTATACTTCCTCCATCGTGCAAATGTGTGCTCATTTGATCGAAACCGAGTTTTAATAAAAGTGAGTAATAGTTGTTACTTTTTTCTTTTACAGTAAAAAGAAGTATAAAAGCGTAATGACTTTTTACTTAAAAAGGAAACGATAATAATTTTTTATGACTAACCCAAAAAGAAAAGTGAACATAGAGTTAAATGATGGAGGGAGAATTATTTTGAGCAAAAGTATCGGGTTCCTAATAAAAGTTCAATACCGGCTGCAGTAGGATAATGTCTTAAATGTCAATCTTAGCTGTTAGCTTCATTAATACAAAGTATGGTACAATTAGTTTTCCAACTTACATACATTTTATGGCATGCACCTTAAGGATCCTTGATCCAAGAGAATGGAACGCCATGCACTTTCTAATAGGCATGGATATCATGGCCTCAAAACCAGTGGGGTTCTAAGTGCAGTTTATTAAAGTAGATGGATGACTAAAATTTGGAAGACCCAAAAATAAAAAGGATTCTCTGATGGTCATTGCCAAAAGATCTCCTAAGCAATAGAAACAAAAATTAACAAGGCACTCAAATGGTGTGGAACTTTTAGATGCCACAAATTGAACGGTACATTTCAACAGGTGGAACTTTTAGATGCCAAAACCACAATATCTTTTAACAAATTATTTGCACAGAGTAGAAGCAGATAATTATAAGTTCAATACTGAAAATGGCGGAGAGAATGTAGTTTTCATTACTTCAAAGTTCAGTCTGTAAAACTCTAACTGCACAACAAGCAACAGAGATGATGGATAATCAAGGTAAATAAGTACGTTGCCCTTCCTTTCTTCTACTGTTTTCTTTTGAAATGTTAATGTCCCAAGTGAGTAAAAATAAGGCCTAGCTATTTTTCCTGCAAACCAAAACATCTTTAAGAAGAACCAAATTCAAGGACTAAATCATCCGATAGCAAATCTGATTACGAATCAGGTTGTTTACATCCAACATGTTTTCAAAAAAAATTCTATGATCTCAATAGACAATAAAGCAATGGCTTTCTCAGACAAATGCCAATTACGAAAACCCAAAGGTATAAATCCAACAACAATATCTGAGAGTATAATATATATATATTAATCTAATCTCCTCAAATAAGTTTCGAGCAAATGAACAATCGTTAAATTATATACAATTACATACATTAATAGCGCCAGAACAATAAATTAAGATCGAAATACAAATGAAAATGAACGTAACGCCAAATTAGGGTTAGATTGCTTACACGAATCAGGAGTACAGATCAAGCACGCCAACGAGGAGCGACAGAGAAGAATAACTACCCCAAGAAAGCAGAGGAATATTGCATATAGATAGGAACTGCAACGATGATTGATTGATTCGCAATTCTAGCAAAATTTTGTTCAGAATCAGCGATGAGAAGACGATTATGCCAAAAACAGAATGACATTTCTACCCTTGGGCCTTTTGGGCCTCAATTCGTAGGCCCAGTATAGATTGCATGTACCGAACTACTAAGCCCATAGACTTTTTGGGTACAAGGCTTACTTTATTGTTATTACTTTAAAATAATTAAGGCGTAGCTGGTCTTGTTACAAATAAAAACAATTCGACTTGATCAAATCATTGGCTCTGGTTATACAATCATTTAGAATTTTAGTAGCGTAGACACAGTATTTTAGGAGGAGTGTAATTAGTAGATAATTAAAAATATATTAGTGAAAATAATTATCCTATATTATAAATAATTATAAATTAAGATTAAGATAACTAATTAATTTAATTAAAATTAAAAAGTTCAAAATGAGATTAAAGTGTGTAATCATTTTCCAAAAAAAAGAAAGTGATATGATACGTGGGACGGACATAAACGATAACGTGGACATGGTACGTGGGACAGATGGAGGACTATTTTAACATTTTAGAAAAATATTACATTAGTTATATATTTTCATTTTTAATATAAAAATAAGATAAATAAAAAATAAAACGAAAATATTATAAAAAAATTATTAAAAAATTAATAAAAAAGTAAAAATAAATTAATAATATAATTAAATTATCGGTGAATAAAATTAACTTTTAATATACATCTAAAGAAAAAAAAAAAGTGACATAATTGCCCCACAGAAATAGGTTTAATACTCCATTGCTGTTCGGGCAATTCCACGGTTCTATTGCTATTGGATAGCTCTGTAGCTTAAGGTTCATACTCCGTTTTTTGTCTTCGAACCCCCTGTGTTTTTGAACTTATGTATTTATGAAAATAAATATATATTGTAAAAATAGTAATACTCTATCCGTTTCGTTGAAAGGTTGTCATTTTTCATTTTTGTTCATCCCAAAACAAAGTTACCATTTCCTAATTTAATAATTATACTACCTACCTAATACAATAAATACTCTTCTAACTTTCACTATATTACACAAATGTCATTATTTTTATATTACACGATACTAATAGGGACATTTTCGTCTTTTTCATTACAACTCATTATAATACTAATATTGAAAAATTTATATGTAAAAAGTAAAGGACAACTTTGCACCGGTATGGAATGAGTAAAATAATATATATTTGGGGAGTATAATTGAAGTGCTTGAAAGCGAGGGCGGTATGGGGTGGATGGGTATGTGAAGTCCTTACAGGTGGGAATTGAATTGAACTGAAGCCCAGTAATACTAATTAAAGTCCCAATTAAATTATACTCTTTTCGTCCCACGTATCATGTTCACGTTGCCGTTTATGTCCGTCTCACATACTATATTACTTTTCTTTTTTGGAAAATAATTATACACTTTAATTTCATTTTAAATTTTTTATTTTTTATTTTAAATTTTAATTAAACTAATTAGTTATATTAATATTAATTTATAATTATGTATATTATAGGATAATTATTTTCACTAATATATTCTTAATTATCTGCTAATTACATCTCTCCTAAAATACGGTGTCTACAATGCAGTGAGAGGGAGGGAGTGTATAAATTACACCACCCATGGTAAGGGAAGGCCATCCATACGCGGCATATCCGACAAATTTCCTCCATAACCATGCAAGATACATATATAAATATATATATATATATGCATGCATGCATACGTCGTCCCAGTTGCCACCCTCCTCAGAAAATCCCTGAATATAACTTCCCCACTTGTTTGATCATATTATATATAAATATATATATATATATATATATATTCCCCTGCTGTTTATATATGTACATATATTAATTATATTCATCATTTTTTTAATGTTTAGATTTCATATATTTATATAATTGTATACAATGATGTTTATATAATTTATTTTTTTCATTAATCAATAATATATGCTATCATAATGTGTAGTGTACTTATAAATAATATATACTGATCAATAACAATATACACAATAATAATTTAGTAGAAATATGATTATATTAATTCTTCTGTCCGCCGCTAAGGGTCACATGTGTTTTCTGCGTCATTGTACTTAATGTTAAAAATATCTTAATATTTGTATAATTTTTTGTACAAACGTCATTCTATTAGTATTATAAGACACTAATGAAAGTATTTTTATAATTTTTTCTTAATATGTACTACGATTTGATATAATAATTAATATTAAAAATAAACACAAAAAAAAAAATAGGACTTTTAGAACCGGACGAAGGTAGTATAATTGAATAACGACACTATTTTCTTTAGAAAAAATTTCTTAATAATTATTTAGTAGAAATATGATTATATTATAATTGAATAACAATGGCACTATTTTCTTAAAAAAAAAAAAAATCTTATTAATCATTGTCATCATTCTCAATATATATATATATTATGTAATTGCATCAAACTATATGTTTTCTTGAATCTCAATTTTTTGAAATGCTCTAAACTCTAACTTGAACATCTAAATATGGATCAATTATATCAACAAATTACATCTATTTCACCTAAAAACAACATAAATCACAATATTCCGACATAACAAGGACACAAACCTTAACATTAAAGGCTAATAAGTCACCAACTCTAAGCAACACATAATAATCATAAACATAGTATATGTCATAATTAATTTTAGTACAATAATAAATGTTAATATAACACAAATAATGAGTACAAATAATAATAATCTAAATAATACATGACATATATTAACGTATACTACATCTATTGAAAAAAATAGGTTTATTTGCATTGGATACGGGGTTTAAAAAATATTGATATTTGATTAAATATATATATATAGTAAAAAAACTCCTTGTGAATGTCTTTTAATATTTTACTATTTTTTTATTTTTTTTTATGGCGTAGAAATCCGCAGCCGCTACCCGAAAATATTCATTGAATTAACCCCGGTCGAATCTAATAATTTACAAACTAGGCCCGCAAATCACACTAGGCGAACCAATATTTTATTATTTTTGTCTGATGGTTTAATGGTGTGAGGTGAATAAAAATAGCAGGGATAAGAATTTTGTCTTTTACTTACATATTCCACTTTTATATTTAAAAAAAATTATTATTTCTTAGTCTCTATATTTAAACAGTATGATATAAAAAGATCCAGCCAAAGAAAATATTTTTATTGATAACCTTAAACTTAACAATAAAGAGTGTTTATTTTGATTTAGTTTGAAAAATTTTGGTTTGAGTTTTTTATTAAAGTAATGTATGATAAGATATTTTTGTAAAAAATAAAATTTTAGATTTTTCAAGAAACGCAGTAAAAATTAGGATTTGATTGTCAAAGATACTCAAAAAATTTTATTGGAAATAAAAATCAAGCACACCCATCTAATTTGTATTTTTTTTATATTGATATTTTTATGATAAAAAATTATTAAATTTGATATTTTATATAAAACATTAATTAATATTGAATATAATATTTTTGATAAAAAAAATTAAATAGTAACAAAAAAAAAGCATGATGTGTGTATTCTTTGGATTTTTTTTCTATTAAAAATTGACTTAAACCATTGATTGAATGTTATGTTTGTGATAGAAAATAATATATTTATATAGACAACGACAATAATCATATAGTAAAAATTTGAAATTAAATTTTATAGGAACAATCTCTATATAGTATATTTTTTTAATATCTCTGTTTTTTCTATGATAATTATATAATTGAATGTTATATTTTCTATTAAAAATGAATACATGACATTTTTAGAGTGAAAGTAATTAGTGTTTGAAAATAAATTTTGAATAGCAAAAAATTTGAATTTGAATAATTATTTAATATTATAGAAATAAAGTTGATTTAATATTTTGAATATAATTTTTTTATTCTAATATAAAAAATAAAAAAATATATTTAATTTTTAATAATTTTTTTAAAAAAATTGTTAAATAGTAGGAAGTTCTAAACACACCATAAAAGATTCTATAGTAACATGGATAGAATCAAATCCATGACATCTAATCTCAATTCAAGAGAAGAATCAACTACGAAATCGAATAAATAAACTGGCGAATAATTTGGAATCAATCGACCAATACTCCTCTCGAGCAAACACCTTCACGAATCCACACGAACTGTTTGAGGCTTGTGAATGCTTCTTTCATCTATAACGTAAGCTGCATTCCGAAGGCTAAAAAATTAACCATCTCGGTTGATTGGAATCACTTCAATGAATGGTTGGAATCTCTCCGAAAAAAAAAAAACTTTTTCAAAGTGGTAGTTACTTTATCTGAAAATGTATGCAATGAATATTTTACAAGTATAATATAAGGAATATATGCTAAGAAGGCTTAATCTAATCTGGGTCATACATCTAATCTTCAACGGCTCACAATCTCTAAACAAAATAATATCTTTGATCGGGTGGATTGCAATTGGTCCACTGATATTCGGGTTCGGGTTACCTGATACCATGTCATATAGTAAAATATCTAAAATAACAAACGTATATTTTGTTCTCTTTAATTTTGTAAATTTATCTACTGTATATAATCCCTACAATGTTTTATAAAAATTTACTCCTATTACATTCAACTACTATTTAAACATAATTTGTAAATACATATTTTTTCATTCCAATGGAAAGCATCGAGTTTGTTTGCACAATATTTTTTTCTCGATTGAATTTTCAATATATATATTTAATCATCTTACAAAAATCAACATTCAATAAAATATTATTTTATATTACTTACACAATTTTGTATATATTTTTAGTATTATTTCCTCGCTCTTATATATAATGTCACAGTTGTTGTACATGATATTTAAATAATAAATAATTAAAAATATATTAGTAAAATTAATCATAAATATAATACAAATAATTATATATTAAAGTTAAAACAATTAATTAATTTAATTAAAAATAAATAATAAACAATAAAATTTAAAATAAAATATAACTTTTAACGTAATATATAAAATGATGAAAATAGTATATATTTTTTCTTCGTTTACTAATACCCAATACATTATATAATAATACTATTATCTAATATTACATTCAAAAGAGTAAAATAATAAGAATATTACGTATAAAATATTAATATTATATATATTACATTAAAATAGGATATATAATATATTGTAGTAATATTTTATATATATATATTAAATTAAAACAGCACCACTAAAAATATTAGCCGCGGGCATCTAGCAAACGCACAGAAAAGGAAAAGGTCACACTTCGTGATGCAAAATACACGGAATTTTTGATATTATCAATGTTCGAACCTGACCCGACCGGATAGGGTTCAACTTAACCACGGTTACTCCACCCTGGTTAAATCCATGTCAGATGCTCCCTATAAATTGCCCTTCGCCTCTCACCGTTCCCTCACCATCTTCTTCGTCGACTCGCACTTCTTACATACTTTTTCCTGTCTTCGATCAGAACACGTCTGGTAGATAGATAATATATCCATTCCGTGTCAGGTCATTAATTGCTTAATTGCTCTTTCATTTTGCTTCATCGGATGGTTGTAATAATTTTTAGTTGTCTGTGATTCGCAGAAATGGCGACGAACGGAAACGCACGCGCGGGGAACGGCGTCGGAACGGGACGGAACGGACTGGCAAAGATTCATACGGAGAAGAGAGCGGAAGGAATCTGCCATGACGACAGCACGCCGCCGGTGAAGGCTCAGACAATCGACGAGCTTCATTCACTGCAGAAGAAGAAATCGGCGCCGACAACTCCGATCAAAGGGATTCAGACACCGTTTGGCGAGGAGGAGCGCAGCAAGCAGCAGCTCCAGTCTATAAGGTACTATCATCGGTTTCGAGATTTTCGACATTTCTCTACGTGTGTAATAATACTACTGTAGCTGCGTAGTAAGGTTCGGACAGAGTTCTCTCTTGTGGACTCATTACACTATCTTTAGATTAGGTTAGGTTAGATCGAAATTTTGAGACGTATAATTTGATTTTGAACATGATTATACTCGAATCAATCGAAATCTGGTGATTTGTTTTTCGACAGTGCTTCATTGGCCTCGCTTACGAGGGAGACTGGTCCGAAATTGGTGAAGGGAGATCCTGCCCGGCAATTGGAGACGCCGCGGGTGGTCAGCCACGACCAGCACCACCATGTCAGCCCCACCATCAGCGTCAGTGACAGTTCTCTGAAATTTACTCATGTCCTCTACAATCTTTCCCCTGCAGGTAATATATATATGTATATCCGAGACATTGTAATAACGTTTTTGAGGACTGTGTAATGACAGTTACGTGATGAATGCAGAGTTGTACGAGCAGGCGATCAAGTACGAGAAAGGCTCTTTCATTACATTCACGGGCGCGCTGGCGACACTTTCCGGTGCCAAGACAGGGCGTTCGCCTAAGGACAAGCGTGTCGTGAGGGATGAAACTACAGAGCATGAGCTGTGGTGGGGGAAGTAAGTGCAAAATTTCTCCCCTGTTTATTAATTTCATTACATAACATCCACACACTTGTAACAACCTAATTCGCCGCGGGTAACTACATGTCAGGGGCTCGCCGAACATTGAAATGGACGAGCACACATTCATGGTGAACAGAGAGAGAGCTGTGGATTACCTGAATTCTCTAGACAAGGCATGTTCTTCATCCTTTTAAACTCACCTCAAATTTATTACCGGCAAGATTCGGCTCTTGACCGGACAAGACTTGTCGGAATAACATCCTTTCAACTGTGGTTGATATCAGGTGTTTGTGAACGATCAGTTCCTCAATTGGGATCCTGAGAATCGCATCAAAGTGAGGATAGTCTCAGCCAGAGCATACCATTCCTTGTTCATGCATAACATGTAAGAAAAATGGAAAAAAAAAAGAAAAAACACCGGTTATTATTTTATTTTCACCCATGTGTCAACGTTGTTGGTACAAATTCGATTGATAACCCCGTGGATAACAGGTGCATCCGACCAACTCCCGAAGAGCTAGAGAACTTCGGTACTCCGGACTTCACTATATACAACGCCGGCCAGTTTCCATGTAACCGTTACACACACTACATGACATCCTCGACTAGCATAGATTTAAACCTTGCAAGAAGGGAAATGGTCATCCTCGGCACTCAATACGCCGGCGAGATGAAGAAAGGACTTTTCAGTGTAATGCACTATCTCATGCCTAAGCGTCGAATTCTCTCATTGCACTCCGGCTGCAATATGGGAAAAGATGGCGACGTCGCTCTTTTCTTTGGCTTATCAGGTAAGCGCTTCTAACATCATCGGATCAATATGTCTGTCTTAGCTTCTTTTAATGCCTTATTGCATGTCTCAGGCACCGGAAAAACAACTCTGTCTACTGATCACAACCGCTACCTAATCGGAGATGACGAGCACTGCTGGAGCGACAACGGCGTGTCGAACATCGAAGGCGGGTGTTACGCGAAGTGCATCGATCTTTCGCGCGAGAAGGAGCCCGACATTTGGAATGCAATAAAGTTCGGGACAGGTAGTTAGACAATTTTGTTATCTTCGAACAACCTTTGAGGACTTTGTTCGATTATCTTCCTTCGTCTTTGCGCAGTTTTGGAGAATGTTGTATTCGATGATCATACTAGAGAAGTGGATTACTCGGACAAATCCGTGACCGGTAATGCGACTAGAATCCTACAACGATCCATAAAACGCTTCGCTTCTAAACATTCTTTGTTTTACTACAGAGAACACTCGTGCTGCCTATCCGATCGAATACATTCCTAATGCGAAAATTCCGTGTGTCTCTCCGCATCCGAAGAACGTCATACTGCTGGCGTGCGACGCATTTGGCGTGCTCCCGCCTGTCAGCAAGCTAAGCTTAGCACAGACAATGTATCATTTCATCAGTGGTTACACTGCTCTGGTAAGCCTTCTTCAGACATCCTAAATCCATCTCCTCCCTTTCATTTTCTTACCAAGTGAAGATGAGCATTGTTATTACACTAAATGTTGTCCAGGTTGCGGGAACTGAGGATGGGATCAAGGAACCACAGGCCACATTCTCGGCGTGCTTCGGGGCTGCTTTTATAATGCTGCATCCTACCAAGTATGCAGCCATGTTGGCGGAGAAGATGCAAAAGCACGGCGCCACCGGATGGCTCGTCAACACCGGCTGGTCCAGCGGAAGGTTTGGAATCAAGAGCATCGAATAATAAGAGTATTGTGTACTACATTGTCTGAAAATTGAGTTTTAGCTAATGGATTACTCTCCACATTGTGCAGCTATGGTTCCGGGAGTCGGATCAAGTTAGCTTACACTCGGAAAATCATCGATGCAATCCACTCCGGCAGCCTGTTGAATGCCGAGTACAAGAAGACGGAGGTTTTCGGGCTTGAGATCCCGACAGAGATCGAAGGAGTCCCTTCAGAAATCTTGGATCCTATCAACACCGTGAGTTTTCAGACATTTTTAACAGCTTCTCTTAGGTTTTTGTTTACTAACCAAGTTTGGTGTGATTGTCGAATTAATGCTTGCAGTGGTCGGATAAGAAGGCCTACAAGGACACACTGCTGAAATTGGGTGGCCTGTTTAAGAACAACTTTCAGGTGTTTGTGAGTCACAAGATTGGCAAGGACGACAGCTTGACTGAGGAAATTCTTGCTGCTGGTCCTATATTCTGATCGAAGGAACAAATTGGGATGCATTGATTGAAAGGAAATAAATATGATTGTCCTGTTTTAGTGTATAAATCATTTTAAATTGAATGAATGAGTGCGAGTGAGATCTGTTCCTTGACCATAATGGATGAAACGAAACGATACATTAGAGTCCATCAATGTAATGAAATTCATTTCTGGGAATTGTCTTGGGATCTTGGATTAAATCTTGTTATTATAACTTCGACGCAACAATAAAATGAATGTGGGTTTATCCAGAAACGATAATCTGGCACACTTTTCTATGAAGTTTAGAACGGCGACACGTGAGAGACATTTCTGCAAAATTGAGAAAGTACCCATCACTAGTAAACAAAAACCTTTCTTGCAAAAAGCAAAAGGCCTTTAGAAACCGTATTTCGAAGAAGAAGCAAAAGGGCCTTTTAGAAAGCATAGTCTGTTTGATCTTCTGATTGCAGCATGAATTGCTGGACTATCTTTACGATGAAATGAATCTGTGATTTCGTATATCCCTCGCAAGCGAACAGCCATACAGTCAGAGCTTCTACTCTTTGAGTGAAGGCGACCTGAAAATGGGGATTCTTGTAGTTGGGCCGCTCCCGAGAATTCCTGTGTGCCCTCAATTTGGCGGGAGAGGTCAGAAATCTGCGAGGGGGCAACTCCTTCGTTGTTCCAAGTACTTGTCTCTCTCCAATTTCAGCTCTTCTTTGCATTCTTTGATTTCTCGCGACAGGGGGTAATTAGCTGTGGGATTATTAGTTTCTGCGTTATAGATTTCACCAGGCGTTTCTTTTACTGTAAGGAAATCCAGCACTTTAAATGTTAGTCTTATCGGATTCCTTTTAGCACGTAGCTATGGAACTTGTTTGATGAAATGCCTGTGTAGATTGTGCCATGGTTTCGAGGCTTGTTTGGTTTATTTGATGCTTTATCTGCGCAAATAAAAGTTAGTCTTCAGTTAATTCGATTGATGGTTGGGAAGATCTAGATATATGGTTGTTAATATTTGGTGAGAATAGCAAGCAGCCAGTACATTTAACTTAGTCTGTTAAGCTTTTCACAACCATTGATGATCAGAGTGGCATTGAATCGATGATACTCCCATGGTTTTGGTTATTTAGACGACCTTGCAATTTTGATTTAGTGATCCAATTAGTTTTCAAGTTCTTAATCACTACTATTTCATGAGTTCTATGCTGAAACCAACAATTCCAGGAACATTACAGAGAGTTTCAGTTCGTCTAAAAATGCTTCCCCAGTGGAGTAAGTGGCCATTCCAGTGCTTTTTACTATGTGCATTACATTAGATATTTTGTTGAAAAGCTAATTCATTCATTTCCCTGGGTAATTTAGATTGCAAAGCCCCTCAGACGAAGTGGTGCATAAGGTATCATTTTTAGTTTGCTGCAGCTGTTTAGGTATATTTCTTCAGAAAATTATTGTGTCCTTTCTCTTTTAGCTGCAGGACCGTTTGGATCCAATTGGTAATGAAAAGGAAGAGAAGACTCGTGACATTTGGAAACTATTTGAGGAAGCTCAACAAAGTAAAATTTTCCTGCTTTATTCTATGTATGTTTCATTATCCACTCTTCATGAAAAAATGATTGATTTGTATTTGAATTATTATGATTCAGATATAATGTGCCTAAACAAACAGCGCTTACTGGCCATGGAAGAGCTTGACAGGGTAAAGAATGAAAGGGACTCATTACTTGATAAAGTAAAGCAACCCAAGATGAAAAAACAGGCGTATCTTGGAAAAGGTTGTCACACTTGTATATGGAGTTTCTGATTGTTTTTGTACATTTTCTTATTCTTATTATTCATAATACTGAATGAAAAACATGATTTATTACTTGTTGATTGACTGCACGAGAGATGTTTCCATATGCTGTAATCCTTTTCAGCTTAAATTTTTTTGCATATAAGTGGGAGAAAATGAATGCCTGAAGTTCTAATTGTGATATTGTTGTTTGCATTGAAATCCAAACAGATAAATTTGCAATCACTGCAGAGTTGCTTCTTAGAATAGATTCTTTGGTTCTCAATGGTGTGATTGGCAATGTGGAGGCATCTGATTTCAGAAGGCTAGTCACAGATTCAAGGGGTAGTGTGGCTGGTGATTTGTATGAAATAATTTCCAAGAATGATGCTGAGTTTCTGGCTGAGCTGCGCCATTTTTCCAAGAGACGTGATATGTGAGTTCTTTCATTTTGCCTCAGATCCCAAAACTTTGCTTTGTGTTTCAATAGTTGAACAAAAGAACACAGATTATGTGTTTGTTTTGGGATTCTTTGTTGCTCCTAGATGTTGGTAGACTCTGACAGATACTTGAGATATTAAATATATATATATATATATATTAAGATCAGTTTGATATAGCCAGTGTTTAGGTAGGTATCTGAAATACTATTGGAGTTTTAAATTCTCGGTACAAGCTCGAGACTTGGTAATGATTTAAAATCTCTAATTAGACCATTGCAATGTTTTGTAGTTTTCCTAGTGCACTAAATATGCCATACTGATCATAGCCTACTTATGCTAAAGAGTCCTCTAGGATGAAGTCTTAAGATGTTTATCTTTGAGATCCACTCCCTCTTTGTCATTTCCTTTCAGGTTTTTCTATGTGATTATTCAGGATTGCTCTGTTTTAACTCGTGGTGGTTTTATAATATCTGGCATTTATATCTATTTTTGATATTCAGGAATGGATTCCACATTATCCACATTTGTACAGAAATGTCACCTGTAGTTTCAGTCACTTCATTGGCTTCCTATGTTGCTGGCTTGTCTTGCGCCTTGCAAAGGAAAGGAAATCTCGTCGAGGTTATTTTACCCAAGTAATCATGAAATTTCTGTTTTAATATGGGCTATACTTGTTTTTATTGTGTTGCCTTTTGCGTATCTTCAACACAGCGAGTTCCTGCGGCTCACTGCTCCCAACTTTAAAGAGTATATTTAATTGTAGTTTTATTGAATCGACAACACATATATTTAACCACCATTTTCAGGCTTCTTTTCTCAGTATTGTCTGCTTACCTTCTGAATTTTTAACTATCAATTAGGTATGCTTGTTTGAATTTAGATGAAGTTCAAGGATTGCGAGAAGTTGAGGGTGAATTTTACTCATATTTTAATGGTCAATTGCATGGAAACAAAGTATGGACTGGGTGAGTTTGTGCTTACACTTTTTACCAGTATTAATAAAGACAACTAAGTGAGAAATGTAGGATCCAGGATAATCCCAAAGATGCAGATTCTTATGTCATGCTTTGGATACTTCATATACAGGGTTGTCTATGGAATTGGAGTTACCTTTATACAGCCCATCTATTATGCATCTCTATTTAGCCACGAGAAAGTATATGGTTGCCCAAATGACTTTGAGAGGTTTGATTACATTCTCTTTTTTATCCATAATAGTTTTTATGAGTTAATATAGTTGTTTATACTTTGCTTTGGTGTTATGATGGTGGGCTTAATTAGTACATACTCCTTTGAGAGGTGAACTTCAATTTTTTTTGTTTATGTTGGAGATGGGGTATTCTATGGTTTGAATTTATGTTTAGTGAATTACATAGATGGTAGGATTGAAATAAAAAAGCCTTTGTGTTGTTCTGAACAGTTCCCAAATCTGTTTCATATTTCAATTGATTCAGGATCTTATCAATGTGAAACAAGCCTTGTTTGTGGTGCTATACCTGCAGCTTGACAGCCTGCCTACAAATTCCATTTACATTTGGGATAATCTATATCAATTTGATAAATCTGATGAATTCTTATGAGTAACAACTTTGGAATACATATTTACAAATGCATACGGCTTTATGCTTTTCCTTAGCTGGACTTTTCTTTGTTAACTATGCACGTGTGTGTTCTCTTTATGTTGTCAGATTCACATATTTCTCTCGTGCTTCCCTGGACTATCTCGTAAAATCCGGAAAAAGACCAGATGTCCTTCATATACACAATTGGCATACTTCCATTGTGGGGCCTCTTTTCTGGGATGTTTTTGTTAATCAGGTATGGTTCTGAATATATTTGAATCATATGGATATATGTTAAACAATAGAGATGCTGTTACAGGAATAATGCATTTTTTTTACCCACTTTGTTGAATCAATGTAACATTCTACAGTTGATACAAATTTGATACAAAAATGCATGTTTGAGGAGGCTTGTAGAAATTAAATTTTTTTACATAAATAAGATTAAAAGAATGCACCCATTTTCTTCATTCTTTATTTATTTTGAAATGATAAGCATTCAATCTCGACTGTTTCAATTTAATCATCAAAGGACCATCTGTGAGGAACCCATTCTTGTGATGGCCTTGCAAGTTTTGTTTTCTCATATTGTTACCTAAAGTGAGACATATGTCTTTATGTAGCCAACAAATTTTACGAATACCAACATTTACTCGAGAGCTTTTGCTAATTTATCTTTTAACCTCTCTGTTGCTCTTACCAATCATTTTGTTTCTGCAATTTTTATCCAATGATGTAAAGCAGTGTTGATTTTCAGGGTTTTGAAGGTACAAGAATTCTTTTGAGTTGCCAGGGCTTTGATTCCCAGGTGACCTTCATGTTTTTTGGATTCTAAATCTTAACTGTTTCCTCTTGATCTGAAGCAGGAGTTGTGAACATATCTTGCTTATGCCTTTTCATTATTTTAGTGTCTTGAGCAACCCGAGAAGCTAGCACTCTGTGGGCTTGATCCAATGAGATTGATTCGTCCTGATCGTCTTCAAGATAACAACAAACCTCATCTTATCAACTTATTAAAGGTAGCTTTTTGTATTTACCCCCATAATACCCATGAACTTCCAGGTTGATTTTATAGCTATTTAGGTAGCCTAAGAAATAAACAATTAATTCCGTAACTTGGATGTCTCCTGTGTATGTGCTTTTTACTGCTCAATTTTGAGAGAATATCCATCAACTCACCTATCTTATATATACATAGTATATTCTAATATTCTCTGTTATTTTATCTTCTCTTATTTAATGTTGTGCAGGGTGGGATTGTTTACTCTAACAAAGTAATCATTATGTCGGCCTTACAATCGAAAAGCTGGATCATTGGTGCAGCAGCTCATGGATTAGAGCCTACTTTAGCTATTCACAAGTATGCCTAGCATATTTCTAATTCCCAACGTTTGGATTTGAAATTGTGTCAATCTTTGAGTTGTCTTTGTGATTGCCTGTATAGGGAAAAGCTGGCGATTGCTCCTTTTGGATTCGATAAATTAAGTTGGGATCCTTCATGTGACGATCTTCTTCCTCACAACTATAGTGCAGAAGACATGACTGGAAAGCCCAAATGTAAAGTGGCATTACAGAGGCGTATGAGATTTCCTGAAGACACATCGACAATCCTTGTGAGTATCCATCCTATAAATAATGTTCTTCTGAGTCCTCTCCTACCAGCATTCGGGTTACTTGATATGATTCTTTTTAACTTATTTATGAAACAATTTAGTGGCGAACTAAAGTAATTGTTTTTACAAGGTTGGATGCATTTATTCTGACATCTTAGATTTGGACCTAGAGAAGCTTAGGATGCTTGTTTGGATGGCTTCTAGAAAAGGAGTTCAGGTATTTGTTCAGTCAGGTGTTGTCATATTCTCAAGTCAGCTGTGACAATTCGGCACTGATTTTGAAGGTGTAATGTACAGTTTATTTTCATGAAATCTGGCCAAAGTTCCTTAATGAGAATACCTGAAAAACTTATCCGCGAAGAAGTGAAGGTAGATTCTTGAAAATTTCTAATTCTAAGATTTCTTGACAGTAACATTTTAGCACAATATGTCTTATCGATGCAGTATTTGATGCTTTTCTGTGACAGGGTGAAAATGTGAGATTCATTGATGAATATGATGAAGAATTGTCACATTTGATCATTGCCGGATCGGACATCATAGTATGCCCGTCTCTTGACGATCCTCTGCATCAAGTGCCGGCAAGTGTCTTTCTTCTGCAATTCCTTTGGTACATTTCTATACTGTTTTCTCCATCTCCAAAACTAACCTTATTCACCACTCATGTATATATATACACAGTTGAAGGCTATTAAATACGGCTCACCTCCTCTTCCTTTACATTTCTCCGACACCCGATTCAGGTGATTTGAGTCTAGCGATCCAAGCAAAAATTCTTACACAAACTACTTTTAATCCCATCTTGTCCCATTATTTCCACAGCTCCTTTGGCAGTGACGATGCTGAGAGCTCTAAGTTTTTGCAGTACATCAAGTATACCTTCTCTAACATGTCTCTAGACCAAGCTATCGATGAAATAGTACGTATTTGTATTTGTATTTGTATTTGTATTTGTATTTGTATTTGTATTTGTATTTGTGTTGTTTGAGTTTGATTTAAGGAATTTTTTTGCAATGGAGGACATCTTATATGACTTCTTATAATTTGCAGAAGACAAATCCATCCCAGTGGAACTCGAGGATCATCGATGGCATGAGCAAGGACTTTTCGTGGGATTCGGAGTGCACTGACGTGCACGTCGACGCCTATGCAGCAATAAAAAGATTACAATAAGATCATCGTACATTGAATGTATATACATATACACATGATGTTCTAAGGAAAGTCATAAGAAGTGAACATATTTATGTAACACATTGCTGTTTGCTCACCAGAAGGATGTTTAAAGAAGTTTAATATGTTTTAGGGCCAGATATAAAATTTATATATTCTGGATGGGTTAAACTAGACTTACCTAAACGGTTTATACCTTCGGTTACGATTTATTAAAATATCAAATTGAAATCGAATTTTTCGAATGAGAGTAATAATTATAGTTTAACGGATTCGATTGCAGTTTATAAACCGTCGATTTCGACACTTTGAAACCGAAATGGGCAACTCTAAGTTAAACTTACAAGTGGAGGTAGAATTATGTAATTTCCAGAAAAGGCTTGGGTGAACTTTTAATAATGTAAATTTAGTCCCTACAATTTTACTATTATTCAAAATTACTGTCTTTGTTGTATGGTCGGTTTCAGAAACCTCGGCAGAACCCTCGACTCTGCTTACCGTACGCCCAAAATCCGAGAGATCGGAAAAGGAAGTGCGTAAAGCCTCAATGGCAGCCGCGACCGACGCCGTCGAGTCCTTCAAACCCTATCGCCTCAAGCACTCCCTATCGGGCCACAAGCGTGCCGTTTCCTGCGTCAAATTTTCCGACGACGGCCGTTTTCTCGCCTCCTGCTCCGCCGACAAGACCGCTCGCACTTACTCCGTGTCCTCACCCGAGGCTTCGCACAACGAATTCCATGGCCACGAGTTCGGCCTATCGGACCTTGCTTTCTCGTCCGACTCCCGCTTCCTTGCCACCGCCTCCGACGACCGTACGGTCCGGCTCTGGGATGTGGGGACTGGGTCGCTTTTGAAAACCCTAACTGGCCACAGTAATTACGTTTTCTGCGTCAATTTTAACCCCCAATCAAATCTGCTTGCTTCCGGTTCCTTCGATGAGACCGTCCGAATTTGGGATGTCAAGTCTGGGAAGTGCTTGAAGGTGCTACCTGCTCACTCCGACCCTGTTACTGCGGTTCATTTTAATCTGGATGGATCCTTGATTGTTTCGAGCAGTTATGATGGACTGTGCAGGATTTGGGATGCTTCGACTGGTCATTGTATGAAAACACTCATTGATGATGAGCATCCGCCTGTTAGCTTTGTGAAATTCTCACCCAATGGAAAATTTATTCTGGTGGGAACGCTGGACAATACTTTGGTTAGTCTCTCTTTCTCGGGAACTCCATGATGAAACTTACGATATTGGTATAATTTTTATTGTGCTGTTTCAAGTTGGTTATATGTTCATTGTTTGATTTTGCCAAGTTCAGATTTTTCTTTAGCTGACAGACCTGAAAAAAAGTAAAGAAAGATTGTTTGGTGCGTGAGATGTGAGATGTTTGGCGTATCTTAAGTATTGCAGTTTGTGTTGAACTTCCATATAGTTTCTGAGACCTGAATTTCTCAATGCCTCCTGAAAATGATATGTTGATGCTGCCACTACTCATTATTTAATCTGTTAATGGTGCAAAGACTATTCATTATGCCTATGTTCTCTTCTTGGTTGGCCTGTGTTGAGGGCAGGAATTGTATTTGTATGGTATTAAGACAAGCATTTTACATATTATAGAGATTGAATCTTGATATTGTTGTTATTGAAAGCTAATCTACCTGCATAATTGTTTAATTTGGAATCTTTGTCATGCTCAATCGTCAGTTTAGAACATTTGATATTGCTATTTTTGTAAATCCGAATGGGCCTTGTATATGAACATTGAGTCTTGGTGCTTGTTTTGAAGTTGAACCATGCTTACTTCATTGATTTAATTTGGATATGATAAATCCTGTTATAATAATTCAAAGGATTAGCATCCTGTTGCACAGAAAAAACTAATGTGATACTGTTGTAAAACTAGTTAATTCATAACTGCATTATTTACTGTATGAGTCATTTGCTTCCTGGTTTATCTGCACTGTGAATACAACCCTGTTCCGACTTTATGCAATTCCCGGTTTATCTGGTCGAAATTAGTTGCTGCTAAACTGGAATTAAGTACCATTAGAACTCTATTCCACTGCTCTTTGGTTTTACTTCTGAATTCAAAATGAATAATCTTTTATATCAATTTTACATAATCCCAATTAGAATTCTTAAATTGATGTCCTGCCCCTTTTTATCTTTCCTCCTGATGTTCTACTGACATCTCTAGTCATTGCAGCAGATAATGAAATATTTAATTGAACTCCCTAGTTGCCATTATCATCCTGGAATCCAATGTCCGGATGCTCTTATGTTCTGTAATAGTATTGATCTCTTTGCAATAAATTTTATTCTTGTGGAGCTGAATTGTAAAACTCCCTTTTTAATGTTGGGCGGCGAGAGCTTTTTTTCCTTGCTAAGATGATTTATTCAATTGCTAAGTTACTTACCAGTTTGGCACCATTTTCGTGTTATATAGACTTCTGATTTTAGTCCTTGATATGTAACATAATCGATTGGCTGAGCATTATACATTGTAACATGACACTGGATGTCCTTTGATGCTGTTTGAATGTGTTTAATGTCAACCCTTTTGAATTTTCTGCTTCTCGGAACCAAAGCCTGATTCAGTTTGTGGATTTGTGTACTTTATTTATGCTAAAAGCTGCTAGAGATTGATTTAAGCTCCTTGAGCTCTTATCATGGAATTTTTGAATCAGTCCTTGTGTTCTATTCCCTTTCTTGCTCTGTTGCATGTAAACTTCTTGTCTGGGATTACAGGATTTTCACTCTTGATTGGCTATATTTGCAGCGACTCTGGAATTTTTCCACAGGGAAGTATCTAAAAACATACACTGGCCATGTCAACACCAAGTACTGCATCTCCTCGACATTTTCCATAACAAATGGGAAGTATATTGTGAGCGGTTCCGAGGACAATTGTGTTTACCTATGGGAGCTGCAGTCTCGGAAAATAGTTCAGAAGCTAGAAGGTCATACAGACGCCGTGTTATCTGTGTCATGCAACGCAAATGAGAACATGATCGCGTCTGGTGCTCTCGACAACGACAAGACAGTAAAGATTTGGACCCAAGACGAGGATTGATTCATTCCTTTGCCGCTACTATCTCCGGTCCTCTCTCTCTCTCTCTGTAGTGCAGAAAGTGTTTATGTTTTAATACATGTTTTGATTATTGGGTGTCTAGCATGCATTGAAGTCTTGGCATCTACTTGTAATTTCCAACTAGTTTTAATGGCTGAGTGTGACCTGACCTAAAGCTTTAACATTGACTTGTTTTGGAAGCCCACATTTTTGGTGTGGTGCATAAGCATTGTTTGTGCTGATACATGGGTGTGTTTGTTTGGGTGTTTGGATTTTGAGTTGGGATTTGAATAGTAAAAATTTTGAATTTGAATAATTGTATAAATGTGATATAAATAGGTGATGATGTCATGTTTTGAATGTAAAATTGATTTTTAGTATAATATAAAAAATGAAAAATAGGTGTTTGATTTGATATTTTTTTGGGGAAAAAATTGGATGAATAGTGTAAATCCAATCCAATCCCCAAACAAACACACTCGAGATGGATTTGGAAAAATATTGGGCTAGGGTTGCTAGATTTGATTTCAACGCATATAATTCATTCACTTCTACGCTTAGATCTCCAGAGAGAGAAAAAGTAAGTATCAGGTGTTACATATACGTATATAGATATGTTTGTCGTTGCCCGCGAGTTGAGCTGAGGAGAGAGAGGAGGTTGAGGACAGAACAGTGCGGCCATATATATGTATGGATGGATGGATAAGAGTGGTCGAACAGAGCAGAGCAGATCGCCACACGCACAAAATTGAATAGAATAAAAACTTGTTAATTTGAGTCATGGAATCGGCGGCGGCAATCGTCGAGCGAGCATCGCAGGGCGGCGGCAAAAGGTGGAGACGCTCCTCCTCCTCCGATCATCAGAATCATCCTGAGATTGAGGCGCGCGTGAGCGAGAGGACGGTCCTGATAAAAATCCAGTGCGAGAGGCAGAAAGGAATTCTGGTCAAAGTACTCGCTGAGGTCGAGAATCTCAACCTCTCTGTCGTCAGCTCCAGCGTCACATCATTTGGGGATTCCGCCATTGATATCACCATTGTTGCACAGGTTAGGTTAGCTTAATTCCTTTGATTTAATTTAATTATTCCCCAATTAATCCTTAATTGCATGATTCTGCTTCATCATGTTCATGATTATTAATTAATTAACGGTGGTGTGGTGCGGTGTAGATGGAGGAAGAAGCAAGCCTTGTCGGTAGGGACGTTGTGGAAGCTCTTCGATCTCTTCTGCCCGAGGCTGCTACAGCACCAGCTGGTAATTGATTCAGTAATTAATTAAATAATAATAATTATTATTATTCCTGCAGGTTTTATGTCAATTATTGATATACAACAAATTTAGACATATATATATATATATACAACGGCTGTTACTGATGATACTGATAAGTGTACGAATTGATATCACATATATATCACGTATAAAAAATTATTTATATTAATATAATATAAATATATGAAATAAATTAACAATATATGATATATTTTAACACAACACATGTTACTGCTAATTTTAACATATAATATATTTATATACAATATACCTGCAAGTGTAAAAAAAAAATAACATATTTTTTCCGTCTAATTAAAAATGTTACAATTTTCTATTTTCATTCGTTTTAAAATAAGGTTATCATTTTCAAATTTAGTAATTGTATTACCTATTTAACATAATAAATACATTTTTAACTTACAATATATAACACAAATATCATTACTGTGTTTTTGTCTTTTTCACTACAATTCAATATAATACTAATATTTAAAAATTTACGTGCAAAAAATAAATATTACCCTTCCAATAGGACGGAGGGAGTATAAAAGGGAGTATGATTTTATTTCACACCGGATATGTTACTACATGCCTGTTGTATTGGTACTGATTTTTCCATTAAGCAGAATATTCATTCCCACTAATATATATATATATATATATATAAGTGTTGTTGAAAGTAACGGGGACTTATCATATCGTTTACGGTTTAATTACCTAATATGTCCAAATTCCCATCTTGTGTGGCAATTCATAATAAATGATGACAGGCCCCAAGAAAATGCTTTTGTTCCTCAATTTAATTTTCTGTGCTCCTTTCATTCCATACATAGACTCCTGATGTATTGTCGGTACAAAGTTTCACATTGGAACATGAAAAAATAAATTACATTGTAAGTCTCAAATGAACTCCATTAGTACAATATTTTTGAAAAAAAATATATAAAAATAAATCCGTATGAACTTAGTCCAAAGCGGACAATATTGTACTAGTGTTAAGTTTGTCCAGTCTAACATATATATATATATCATCATACGCATAAATACATAATACATAATGGTACGCATAAATACATAATGGTAAATCCCATATATCATCGATATTCTTGCAGCCGTGATCTGACTTGAAGCCGGGTCTTTGGAACCCTCCTTGCTTGATCGGTCGATCAATTGCGTGTAATAAAGCAATTAAATCCCATAATGGTAAATTGACAACATTGCCACTGTGTATAGAGCAGCGTGAGCAGCTCAGCCAGCCATTGGATGCTCCTTCGCCTGCGACAATTATATAAGTATGTACACATTTCCCTTACACTGATGTCCTAGACTCGGATTCTGCATCCGCACTGTAATGCAAGGGTAAGTAATGCAAATCAACGCCCAGAATTCTAAACCTAGCTTATTACGTTGATGCCGAGCGGTCATCCATCGATCTTTCTCCCTGGACATTGTCGACGCACGCACGCGCATATATACATATATATATATATATATGTGTGTGTATGTATATCAATATATATGTCGATAGATATATGGATGGATCCTAGCTAGCTCGGACATTGTCTTCTCAGGCGGATTGGAAAAGCCCTTCATATATATGGGAAACTTGGGATTGTTGGGATAAATAAATTAAGTAATATATATTCAGCTCAAGTGTCACGCATGCAAATGCACATGTTATAATTTAATCATTTGTCGTTTGTTTCTTACATGAACATTGGACCCTGCTGCATGGCCTCGCGTGCATGTTTTAAAAATTATTATTTTATCTGTTATTCAAATTTATTATTATTATTTTTATTTATTGTAATCTAAATTTATTTTTATTTTATTTTTCAATAAAAAAAAAATACTATGTTCTTAATTTTTCTTTATCCTAAAAACATATTTTTATCTTTTACCTATTTTTTTTTAAATATATATAGCCGGTCAAATAAACATACATTTTTTTAGTATTATTAAAGGACCCGCATTATCCAAAAAGTAAACCCAAATATTAAAAATATATTCTCTCAATTTCTTAATCAATATATATTTTGCTCGTTAAAATGTTCCACAATTATTTTATTTTGATTTACGTAAATTTATGCATAGATAATACACACACATTAAGACTCTATTTTCTTCTATCTCCGCATATATATAGTGTGTATGTATATATATATATAGTATATGTATAGAGATATAGAGATAGAGTTTATTTTTTTGCAAGAAAATCCGCACCTGCTAATATATATGTTCCTGATTTTTAGGGATAATGTTGGCGGAGGTGACGAGTCTCTTGTGTCCTTACCTAGTACAGTTGTCTCTTACACACACACACAGTCACTTTCGTCAGTTGCCAATTCCAGTTTGGATATCAATTACCATTAATTAATTAATTTCAGTATATACGGGTAGGGCCGGCTCACAACACATGACATTTTGTTTGAACGTGTTTTGAGGGAAGTTTTTTATACTCGAGTTATACTAGAGTGTGTTTGTTTGGGGTTTTGGATTTTGAGTTGGGATTTAAATAAGTAAAAAATTTGAATTTGAATAGTTGTATGATGTGATATAAACAGGTGTTGATGTAATATTTTGAATGTAAAATTGATTTTTAAGTATAATATAAAAAAATAAAAAATGGATGTTTGATTTGATATTTTTGGGAAAAAAATTTGAATGAATAGTAGAATTTTATCAAAATCCTACAAACGAACACACCTTACAAGTATAGTTCTGATATTGGATGTCTAAATCGTAATATTTAAAATTAATATATATATATTTATATTTGTAATAATTAAGCGTTCGAAACGAATTTGGAAAATTTAAGGTGTGTTTCCTTTCAATTTATCTCAATTTCCAATAGGTTCTCAAGTGAGAATAGAATACTACATTTTATTTTGTAAAAAATATTTAAAAAATCAATAAAATAAATATTTAAATAAAAATTTTGTAGTTTTCAATAATTAAAAACAAAAATCCAACAAATTCCTATACACTAAAGATAACAAGTGCGCACTTTCGAGTTGGTTCGGCCGGAGGGTTTATCGTAACAGTTGCGAATTCTCGCGGTATATAAAAAAAAAAAATCCAAATGTGTTTACTTTGCGTTTTGATATGTTTATGAAAACAATAATATAAAAATTAATATTTTATTTAAATTATTAATTTTTTATTAACTGAATAATATTATATATATATTATATTTTCAGTAATATTGTGAAAATCATGTTATCCAAAAATTATTAGGCGGAACTATTTGCCATATTTTGCTCATACATGTTGAATTCAATTAATGCTCTACGAGTGTGTTTGTTTGAAAGATTTTGTAAGAAAATCGATTATTTATTAAAATTTTTTTCTTCATAAATATCAATTAAATACTTATCTTTTATTTTTTAAATTATAATAAAAAATAATTTTACATTCAAAATATCAAATCAAACATTTATTTATATCGTATCATAAAACTATTTCAATTCTAAAATTTTACTCCCTCCGTCTCACGTTGGATGTCTGAGTCACTGTAGACACAGAGAATTTAGGATAAGTATAATTAATAGATAATTAAAAATATATTAGTAAAAATAATTATCTTATAATATAAATAATTATAAATTAAGGTTAAGATAACTAATTAGTTTAATTAAAATTAAAAAAATTTAAATTAGAAAATTTAAAATGAGATTAAAGTGTATAATCATTTTAAATAAAAAAGGAAAAATAACATGGAATACAGGACGGATAAAAACGATAATATGAACATGATAAATAGGACAGAGAGTACTATTTAAATTTTAACACAAAATTCAAACCCCAAACAAACACACCATATAAATCTGCATACGAAATAACAACTACGTCATAATAATAATGTTTGTGTGTTTTAATTAAGATGTCGGATTATTGGGCCGACTTGCTTGTAATCTACTATAGTATTTCCTTGTCTCTTTCTTTTTTTTTTTTTTTTTTTTTTTTTTTTTTGTATCAACTATTTTTATTTTTGCATGTTTTATCTTATTTGTCATTTAAAAGAAAAAAGAAATATTGTTAAGCATTTTTAAATTTTACAATTAATATTTTTAAAATTTTAATTTAATTAAATAGTTATCTTAATTTTAATGTATAATTATTTATATTATATAATAATTATTTTTACTAATATACTTTTTAATTATTTATCAACTATACTTTACCTTAAATTTGTGTATTTACAGAAAAGTGGATAGAAAAGGTGGGATGGGGGAGTATATGGAAAAAAATATATTTTTAGTCTCATTATAAATTATAATAATAAATTTTTCTCTTATTAAATTTTTTTTTATCAATTTTGATTTCATTCAAACTAAAATTGATCAATTTTTATGATAAATAATACTACACAAACTAAACACGGCCGTGTTTTCTTTAGTAGGGACTGAACACGATTGTATTGAATGATTCAGAAAACTGACTAATTAAGTTCCGCAGATAATCAATACAGCCGTATTTTTGATCGATCATGTTCATGTCTCTTTGTTCACGGTCATGTTTTGAAGAGGGTCGTGTTCATGGTATGTTTAAGGTCATGTTCTGAACAAAAACATATTTGTTTATACCTCTATTTATAGCCCTCTTTTGAATTGTTCATGGTCATGTTTACTATCATGTTCATTTTTTCATTATGATTTTTGGCAAATTTGTCCATAACTCCCTTGTGGTTTCTAAACTCAGCGTAAATCTCCCCTCTATTTTAAAAATTGCATGACGTCGCCTTATACTTTAAAAGATGTTGCATGAAATTATTTTGTGGTTTCGAAACTTAGTATAAATCTCCACTTTACTTTAAAAAGTTGCATGACGGTCCCTTATACTTTAAAAAATATTGCATGAAACCTCCTATGCCATGCAAAACATATAGATAGGAAATCATCTTTTTATCACACGAGGAAAGTTTTATGGTTGTGGGGTTTCATGTAACATTTTTTAAAGTATAAAGGGGTAACATGCAATTTTTAAAGTAGAGAGAGATTTTACGCTGAATTTCGAAACCATATGAGAGTTATAAGCAATTTTACCATTATTTTTTATGCTATTTTTGTTTAAAATAATTTTATATATTGTATTTAAAAGTGTAAAAGAGGAAAAATTAAATATAAATAAATGAAAGAAACTTACAAAATTTGGAAAAAAAAAAATTAATATAAAATAATAGCAAGATATTATGAGAAGATAATTGAGTAGTACATTACTGTTATCCATGCATGAAAACATTTACATAACAATCAAAAAAACTAATTTTAAATGTAATTAATCAGTGTGATAAACAAATCGATCCATTGACAAAATTAAAGTTAACATATATATATATATATAAGTCGTCAATTTATGTCTTTTAATTTCAATCGTAAGTACAATCAATCACTTAATTGTCGACCTATATATCAATACATCTATTCATTCAAACATCTCCTTAGAGCTGTTTCGATTTCTTTCACTGTCATCTTCAGTCTCTTCTCCTTCTCCGCCTGTCCATATAAATAGGTGTTGATACAATGTTTTGAATATAAAATTAATTTTTAGTATAATATAAAAAATAAAAAATAAATATTTAAATTTATATTTTTAAGGAGAAAAAAATTGATGAATACTATAAAATTTTCAAAATCTTATAAAAAAAAACACCCCTAAATTGAGTGACTCGATTAATAATTCCACAAATCTAACAATTACTATATATATATATATATATATATATAGATATCATGTATGAATGACAACAACCTCGGCGACAATGGTGATATCCACGGCGGAATCGCCCAAGGAGATGAAATTAGTACTTAGGACAACCATGTCGAGGCTCTCAACCTTCTCGATCAATTTTGTCATGGCTCCATTTTGTCTCCGGCAGTGTACGTAAATGTGGATTTTTCCGGCCGCGACTCGAGCTTGGATAACCGGCAAGGGCTCGCTCTTTGTGTCGGAAGAGCCCTCTCCCTCTTCTCCGGTGCCGGATTTCATAATACTCTGTCTTAAATTAATATTGTAATATATAGAATTGATGATGTCCAAAACAAGAACCCAATTAATTCCATATATATAGATTTATGATCATATACGATCCCTACATACTAATTTGATACGTACGTTGACAATTAGCTAGGCACTACATTATAGATTTATTTATATAGCCGTTGTGGACGTAATTAAACAGTATACCGTTGCTCGATATATATATATATATGATTAATAAATTAATAAATTATTTAATTAATTATGCAAGCAAGGGAGCCTGCGGGCAACTCGTGCATTTTGTTTATGAATTTAATTTAATGCTAGCTGGAAATATGCACTACTTCTAGTGCCACGAGGACCGATATCTATATCATTATTTTAAAAGTTTGTTTTCTTGACGATTATTTTTTTACGTTAAATAATATTTTGATTTTATATGAAATAATAGTAATAATAATATATTTTTATTAAAAGATCGATTAAATATGCTGATATGGCCAATTTTATACAAAAATAAATAAATAAATAAAATACAACTCCTCAAATGGTTTGTACGGAAGGGTAATTAGTGGGCCGGTTTAGTCTTATATTAGGTTTACTCTAGTGGCTGCTCGTTCTAGGCTTTTACATGGGCTACTTTTTAGCCCATTAACAAGACAGGGCCTACATCAGCCCAGCCCTAATCTTTATTAAATCCTAAATTTAACATATAAATTTAATTGGTATACCGTACACTTACATTTGAAATTATTATGAGTATTTATATATATTAAATTTATATATAAAAATGATTTTTGATCAAAATTTTAAATAACTTTAATAAAATTATGAACAAATACACCCTCAATTTTTATGATTATTTCAATAATAATATGATTAAGATATTAATTAATACAATCTATTTTATCCAATACGATAATCCTAAGTAAACACATCCATAGAGGTATATTAGAAATTCTATATTATTTGGTTTAGTTATTTCGTCATAGCACAACTTTTATCGTAATATATTTTTCAATTCCATACAACATGGGTATGTAGAAAATATAATTTGGTGAAATATAAAAACTCTGTTATTAGACATTTTTAAATATATATATTTTTAAATAAAATAAAATAAAATAATAAAGATCAGATCAAATATATATATTTGTCTCTTTATTTTTCCAAAAAAACTATTTATTTCCGAAACTTCTATCTATTTATCTGTCCATTAGATTAAAATTGTAATGAGAAAAAATGGTTAGCAAATAAGGAAAAATTACAAAAGTTTATATAATAGTAAAAAACTTAGATTATTGAGCATGAATTCAAATCAATGAATTATAGTTATTAAATTTATTTATTTTTTCAGATGTTGATGTGAAATGACAAAATACTTCCTTTTGCACGCGATGCACGCATATTATAATATTTCACCCATTTCTTATTATAAATCTGCTTTGGAAAACGACAAAAATATGAAAACCTACTTGTCCATACTTGATTGTGCAATTTTGTTTATTTCCAGTAATATTGCATATATATATATATATATATAGTGCGTGTTTTTTAGTTTTTTGTCACGGTAGATATTTTGAAATTTTTTTTTTAAAAAAAAAGATTAAAAATAGTAAATCTTTTAGATATTTAATTTGATGCAATATATAATAAGAGGAAATTTGGTGTAATTATTTTTTTTTAAAAAAAATATACTTAAAAATAGTAGAATGTTTTTTTTTTTTAAAAAAAAAATATAGACATGCGAAGAGATACAATTAATACATAAATAAATAAATAAATGTGAACTGCTTACTGCATGCTCCAACATCAGTTTATTACTGTAAGGAGTACATATTTGTCATTTTTTTTTTTTTGTTTTAATTAGCAATTATATATAGTAAGTATGGTTTTATCAGTTTAATACTCCCTCTTTTTTACTTTTCTTAATCTTAATTTATAATTATTTTTATTATATTATAATTATTTTAACTAATACATTCTTAATTATTACTAATTACATACTTTTTAAATTTTCGTATCTACAGTAAAGTTGACGCAAGATTCGGGAGGGAGAAAGTATATTTGATCTGTAATTAAAGAACAAAAAAGCATTATGAATGCTGGTCGTATTATGACGTAAGAAATGCACTCTTTTGCAAATCAGATAATAAAACTAGCTAGCCATTCAAAAAAATAAAATAAAATAATAATAATAATAAAACCATATATATATATACATATAAAACAATATATGTGAATCTAAGTGTGTGTCAAAAACATAATGATGGGCATAATGTGACACGGACATAACGTCGAAAACTATGATGCAATATTGCTCCTATTCTTACATCATATATATATCAATAAAAAATAATTAAAAAAAAACTAACATACATATGAAACTTCTAAAACTCTATATAAAATATATATATATATATATGTATATATTTATGTTGAGGTATTTACAGGTGATCGTTCCAATTTTGCCCAGCTGAGATAACTTTCTAAGCCTCTAATGGTGAAATTGATTTATTTATTTATTTTTAATATTTAACTGTTGCTTATTCTCTATATAAAGGCAGAAAGTTGTTGTTCAGTGTTTCAGTTCAGACAGGAGATTCATTTCAAGTTATGGAGCTCTTCTTCTTCTTCTTCCTTGCAGAGTAATTGAGAGATTCAGTTGCAAATTAATTAACAAGCTAAGCTAGCATTCTGGTAGGCATATTGATTGTAATTAGTTTAATGTTCTTCTTCGTCTTCTTCCTCTGTATTTTCGTGTATATATATATATATATATATTAGGGTTCTTATGCTGTTATTATCATTACATCATTAATTTTGTGTTTCAGTTACGATGAATTCGTCTGCAGATCCATGGATCCATGAACAGCTGGTTGGTAACTAAGAATTAATTAATTACTTTGATATCTTTTAATATTGGTAAAACAATGGATATATATATATATATATATGCATGATGCAGTTCATCAGTATTTTTCAACTTTTCGTGTCTTTTTATCAGAATTTATGAAATTCACAAAGCTTATTCGAAAGGACCGACAAACCCATAAATGTTTTCAGCCATCATTTTTCCTTTATTATTCGATCTAATGTTTTTTAGCCTTCCAAGGTCGTGTATGATGTTAAAAGGATGTTTTAATTTTATTTTTGTTGGGGGGTTGGATTTGTTTAAATAAATTTGTGGGAAAAAAACCCGACTAGAAAAATATTATTTAAGGCTTTAAATGTACTCCGGTGGCCGAAAAAACATCGGACACCATCAGTGCACCAAATGTGTGATGAATTTGATTTGTTGCATTGTTTTGGATAAGACATGCGGAATATTGTCCAATTTCGCTTGAGCCATAATTCGAAAGACAAAAAATGACGAACTACATTATGTGTTGCATGCAAAGGGCAATTACTCTTTTTTTTTTTAATTTTAATTACAAAATTAATGATTAAGGAAGAGTAGCGACTAGGGATTACAAAGGGCAAATAATTATTTATCAATCATGCATCACGATCAACTTATTTGAATTTTTTATTTTTTTCCCACTGCAAATTAGTTTTGAATATTTTAGATATATAGGTAGTAGCTGTTGATTTTTAACAGTGTAATTAGGACTCATTAATGCCTCAATATAATATGCTCTACATATATACATACATGTACACATGCATTCATACTTTTTGTCATCCCACTTAATAAGGGTTCTATATTTACATAAATACTTTTGACAAAAAAAATTAAAATCTGATGTAATTTTTTTGGGTTTGTTTATTTGTGTTTGATTTTTTTTTTAGATAAAGTAATATTAATTAATATACCGTATCACTAATCAAATGTATCAATCTGCATAGAGTGGAAATTAAACAGTAATGGCATATTATTAAAATGTTGAATGATATTATATTAATTAATTACAGGGATTGGAGAACAGCAGCAGGCAGTATAGTTCGTGCATGGATCAGTATGATTTCATGGATCCCTTTGATGAAGAATTTGCAGCATTTTTTGGGCAATCAGATCATGATCACCAGCATAATAATAATAATAATAATAATAATAATAATAATAATAATAATAATAATAATAATTGGGCTTCTCATGAAACGCTTTCACCTTCTTCCACAACCTTGCTGAATAATCATAATAATAATATCCCTAACATCATTAATAATGATTCCCTGGAACAATCTTACAATTTGACAAACATAATCAATCCTGATTTCAACACTCCTCTCGATGCTTCTACTTCCATCCTTAATTTCGTCGACCAAACTTCTTGGGAACAAATTTTCCAACAGGTACGTACGTACGTACTGTCTGAAATTAGGGATTATCTTCAATTCTTCACATGGTCAGATTCTAAGGTAATCTAAATTCAATTTGTGCATGAACCAATCAAGACATTGCATCCATGTTCGAAAGTCGTCGTGGCTGATGAGGGAGAGATTCATGCAGTTCCTGAAGTTAATAAGCAATGTGCAGAAATGGGTAATAATATTGCCAAGTCGTCGAAGAAGAGGACTCGGACAAGGCCACTGTCGCAAACCTACGACCACATCATCGCCGAGAGACGCCGGCGGGAGCAGCTCAGCCAGTTATTTGTCTCCCTTTCTGCCCTAATTCCAGGCCTCAAAAAGGTACTCCCATATATATATATATATATATATATATAATCATTTTCATAATTATTTGAAAATATATTGTTCGATCACGACAGTTTTCTATTAAAAAATATTATATTTAAATCCCCCCGATGCCCACATGGTTGTAATAAAAAATTCCAAGAAATTAAATAGAGTCAAGTATAAAATATGTATGTCACTATTTTAATATCATCAATTGATCGATCATATATATGGTGAATTTGCAGATGGACAAAAGCTCAGTTCTTGAGGATGCAATAAAGCATCTGAAATATCTTCAGGAGAGCGTGAAGAGGCTGGAGGAGAAAGTCCAGAGGGAGGGGACGCAATCGACGGTGGTGGTGAAGAAATCGCAGGTGGTGGAGGACGACGTCGTCGAGGACTCCGACGAGGTCGTGGACGAGCAGGCGCTGCCGGAGATCGAAGCCCGATTCTGCGACGGGCAGGTCCTTGTCAGAGTGCAGTGCGAGAAGGAGAAGGGCATTCTCGTCAAATTACTTTCCAAGGTGGAGACTTTCCGCATGACCGTCGTCAACACCAGCGCCATGGCTTTCGGGAATGTCGCCCTCGACATCACCATTGTTGCACAGGTATACTTAATTAATTATTCAAAATTGATCTTTAGCTCATCATCAATAATTGATGATAAATGTTTCTGAAATTGAATCGTTGTGGCGGGCAGCTGGACAGAGAATTCAGCCTCACCGCCAAGCAAATCGTGACGGGCATTCGCGCAGCTCTCCTGCCCGGCTGCAACTAAAATATATTTACGGCCGGCTCGGGCAACGTCGGCCGGATTATAGATGTACTGTAGTTATCGTTTGTATTTGGGTAATTTGAGACTTTTTGAGTGTGTATGATATTTATACTTTGTAATTTTCGGGTTTGGGCTTGGGCTTGGGTTTATCTGTCTTGAGGAACAAATAAATTAAATAGTGGGTTAATGAAAAACAAACTAAACAAGAGAATAGAGTATGTTAATGGACTGGGCTGGGCCCTCTTCATAGCCCAACTATGAAGTCCAAAAGTAACTACAAAACCACATGATAAGGAAGAAACAGTGAGTGTACGTTTCCGACCAAAGTACAACTGTGTGAGTGTGTGAATGATGAATTGCACCGACAGAGACAGAGAAGCTGGTCGTATGTTGCGCACTATGTTTATGTGGCCTCCTCTGCACGTGCTGTGCCTGTGCTGTGCTTCTTCTATTCCATCGGATCACCCAAGGGTATATATATATATATATATATTACTATTATTCAGTATATAAAAATAAATTAAAGACAAGTGAGTGGGTGGGGTGGGGTGGGGTGGGGTGGGGGTGGGCTTCTAGAAACAAATACGAATTCAAAGGGGAGAATGATTGATGTTTCCAGATTGCATTTGCTGGAAATACTAGTTTGACGTTTAAGGCACAATACCCCCTCACCCTCACCCTCATCTCCTAATATATATATATATATATATATTATATTCATCCCTTTCGTCCTCCGATTCCTACGTTGTCGTGTTTCGGGTGGCTATACATATACATATATACATACACACAGGGTGGATCTAAATCTAATTAAGCAGGATGAATTCATTAATATTAATTAATAATATTTATATGGATAATGTAATTGGCTAATATAATCACCACGATCACATGCTACTGCGATTAAAGGCTGACATTATATATAATGATCACCAACAAATTTAAATTTAGCTAGCTACTCTACTAGTTTTCAATTCTAATTAATTATTAATTTGTTTATATTAATTAATGTGATATACTATACGGTAGCAGATTACAGATTTAGATTAAAAACGAACAAGAGACAAGTTGGAAATCAATGGATGATTTATTTACAAGAAGTTGAGAGTGATCTATCAACACTTACATATTATATCCATATCCATATTGTTGTAATAATAATAATGATAATAAAAAAGGGTCGGGTCGGCCCGGCCCGGATAGAAGTCTTAAAAACCCCGGACAGGCCAGCTCTTGCTACGCCTTCTTGCACTCCCCAACGCCGTTAAGTAATTAGTCTTACTTACTACATTTATGACGGAGGCGGAGGAGGACACAGATACAGACACAGACACAGTGGGAACCTCAACTTCAACTTCAACTTGAAGCCCAAACTTGTAATAACACACATCCACACGCACCTCTCACTCTCACTCGTATATATATATATATGTCTATACGTATGCTTGCTTGCTGGTTTTCTTCTCATCGATCTCCCCACACACACACATGTGTGTGTATATATATATATATACAAACTTATACACCCCCATCCCAATATTCCCATGTTCGATCGGGTAGAGACTAGACTAGACTAGAGTAGAGAGAGAGAGAGAGAGAGAGAGAGAGAGAGAGAGAGAGAGAGAGAGAGAGAGAGAGAGAGAGAGAGAGAGAGAGAGGGAGTTGGTGGAATATGAATGGGAACCCAAATGCAAGAATGGGCAATTCATCATCAGAAACAAAAATAATAATCTCCATCACAAATCATCATCATATCATATTCCTGCTCTTCTTCTTCTCAAATCCCTTCCGCCGATAACATCAACACCCGTCTGTGGATCCACCTGCAACAGTACTCCACTCTTAAGGTAATTACCTTCATTTCCATGGCGGCCGACCGATTCCCAATACCAAAATACCATTGCTGATACATATATATATGTATATGTTGTATAATTATTATTTTTAGGAAGCTAGCTAGCTACCGAGCGAGCGGCACACAGAATGGAGCCAGGCAATAACACTAATTATTACTTATTTTTGTGTTGGAGAAATTCATCATCTCCTTTTCCTCCATTATTATTGTTTTAAGTTCTGCTATATCTTTCTCGTCTGTACGTTTTAATTTGCTAATTTCCTAGAATGTAATAATTAGGTTGTTATGCATTCGAATTCACACCCACAGGCCTCCATTAATCCTCCACGAATCAATCTCAAGGGCAACGGAATTCTTCATTCCTGCACAACCAAGAAAGATTCTTTCTTTTTCTGACTCAACAAGTCTGCTTTTATGTAACCTACTACACTGTTAAATTACTTCAATGAATTTCTTTTCCTTTTGTTTTTCGCATCGTATATTGATTAATACTTCTTTTGTATGTTTATCTCAGTTTAATGAAGCTTATAAATGATAATCTTCAAAAATTAATAATTAGAAATGATTCATTTCCAAACCCTAGCTACTTACCAAATTTTGGGTCTTTGCTGTCTTTCCTCTTCTGATAAAGGCATTTATATTTAAATACATATATATATATATATATATATATCATCAAGAATGGTTTTTTAAAAATATATATGTCAGTAATTCTCAGATTTTGAATTGATATATTTTGAAGCTCATCCAATAGCCCATTTATTGTCAAAATTAATGTCGACTCTCTGCGTTTTTTTTTTTTGTTCTTTAGTGACAATATACATATATATATATATATAAAGTGGGAATACGAGTGCTTATTTTCGTACAACAACACAAGAAATTTAAAAGGGCTCGTGGGGAATTAGATTAATGAAATAAATAAATCAAGAAGCTAGCTTAATCATTTGTGCGACAACTCAATTAGGTGGAGAAATTAGGACAATCATTGAAAATGACTTTTACTTGGGTTTGATTGTTTAATAGACTTGTTACTTTTTAATCTCCTAATATTCATATTATTACTTAATTTTTATTTAATATATACAATTTTGTGTAATATACTATTAACTATTAATTTCTATGTCACTTAAAAAAATTGATATTTCAAACATCGAATAACTTTTTCTAGGTTAACAAGAAAATGAAAGTCATCCATCAATGTCTGATTCACATAATGATTTGATTATAATAATGATACCATGAATGCCATTAAAAGAATAATTAGGTGAGGTAGATATTAATTAATTAGATTAAACAAAACTCTATAATTAATTAATTGGACTACTAATTCAACCGTTTGTGTTGCTTAAGTCAAACCATCGATAATGTTCCCTTGACTTTATGAACAGTAATAATATAATATAATATAATATATTGAATTATATTCATAGATAAAGAGGAAAAAGAGCCATGGCTTTTGACCCACTCGTGCAATTGAAACAATACCATTTCACTTATAATACTAATAATAAAAGAAAATGATTAATAATTATAAATATATATAGTTATAAATATGTAATGATGACTTTGAATATTATTCGAATAAGTTTCAATGCAATAATGATTTATGGAAAATGGATGATCGTATTTTATTTACATACCCATATTTATAGTTTACAGAATCCTTGAATGGTAAGAAATAGCATCCAATAATATACGCGTAGCTACTACGTGTTCTAACAATGCATTGTTTGCAGGGGTGGGTAATATTGTCAAATAATAGAAGTTCAGGGAGTCAGATGCAATTTACCCATTTCATCAGCAATGGTGTTTTGACAGTTCTTGATGGAATGCTCGATTAGCGATTGCGACTTTTCATTTGCAACTAAAATCGTGTTTTACGGCCTGCGCAAACCCTGCGTTGGGAAAACCTAGCTAGCTGTAATTTGGTCTTTCAAATAAGCGATCGAATCGGAGGGAAGAGAACCTGAGAGGTTTCGATGGCATCGGCGATAGTTAGATCTGGCCTTCGCTCGTCCCTTCGCAGTGCCACATCTGCCCCGCGTGTTACTCCGGCATCTAAGCGCTCTTTTGCTTCTTCCGGTCATCATGATGAAGCTGGTATTGAATCATTTATATCTGACGAATTAGAGCGTTTTGATGTATTGGAACTGATGTTTATGGAATAGATATGTGGTACAAGTCTTTGACTTTGTTTGTACTTGGTTGTTTAGGTTTCGATTGCGCGTAATTCGGATCTAGGGTTTGAATCGTGTTTATGTAGATTGGGAAAAAGTTTAGAAATTATCTTCCAGGACTATGTTGTACCATGTTTCTTATTTTATTGTTTATTTTATTTTAATTAGCCTGATTATTCATTGCTGCATTCCTATTTCCATTGATTAATGTAGCTGAGGCATCAAAGTGGCAGAAGATAACTTATTTAGGAATAGCAGCCTGCACAATTCTGTCTATTGTTAATCTCTCCAAGGGTCATCCCCATCACGAAGAACCACCTGTAAGAGTTCTCTGTTAATTAATCTATTGAAATTTCATTCTTCATTTGCAGGATTATACATCTTCTTGCATAAATGTTTTAACCATAACAATTTGAACTTATCCGGCAGGCATATCCATACTTGCACATCCGCAATAAGGAGTTTCCGTGGGGTAAGTCTCAGATGGCTTCTTCAACATTTTTGCATATCTGTTTTCTATTTTTCTTAATGCTTTCACAGTTATTGTGTGGATGTTGAGGGTTTTGAGTTATGGGAGTTTAAGTACAAACCTTTCATCTATGTTTTGAATGGTATTATCCAAGTTGAGGGAGTTACTGAGATATGTTTATCGTATTAACACTATAAAAAGATCAGTGCCTGCAAAGACATTGGATTTTATTATGCTAAAAAGAACAATGCCTAAAAATACGTTGGATTTTATTATGCTGCATCGTGTTATTAGTTCTGAGTTTAAAATGTACTCTTTATTTGTTCACGACCTAACGTTTTATCTGTTGAATTTATGAACTGAAACGTTTTACATATGCTTTTTGTATCACTAGTCCTACTAGTATCCTCATTCAATTTCTGAAGCTCTGAAATACTTGGAAAATTGGATTTACTATCCTACTTGTATCCTCATTCAAAAATTTGAAGCTCTGAAATACTTGGTAAATTGGTTTTGCAATCCATGCAATTCAAAGAAATTCTTCTAGATTTTTATTATGGGCAACGAGTTATTTAATTGAAAATTTGGACTATAGATGTAGACGTTTATATACTCTGACCTGCAGCAACGGGCTTTATTTATTTATTATTATTATTATTATTATTATTGTTACCTATTACTTAGCTGAGTATTAATTAACTTGAATTTTGCTAATGCAGGTCCAGATGGTTTGTTTGAGAGCAAACATCATTGAATCTTCAAGGCCATCCATTGCAAGGGATCACAGGATAATTGATGATTAGTACTTTATTTCTTCAATGCATTTGAACTCATGCTGTTGAGATGCTGATACTGCATATTTTGTTTCAAGCGCTGCATCCCGAACATTTAAGCAGTGTTAATGTTCCCCCCCCCCCCCCCCCCAAAGTTTTATGTACTTTCGTTGTGGTTATGTTGAAATAAAAGGAACCAGTGAAACTTTTCCATTATCTGCTCAGCCATTTTGAGACTATGATTTTCACCATTCCATGTGACTGGCAGATGAAAACTATAAGAATGAAGAAAGGTGTGTAACAGGATAATTATTTACATATTTTTGGATCAGTTCGGAAACAATGCTATGTGAATCATTTCTTGTGCTGTTATCATATATCTCTAAATATTTCCAAATGATATGCAGACCTATAAATGAACATAGTGGTGGGAAATGAAATAGAAAATCACTTGTTACAGTGGAGTATCATATTACACTATCATCTAATTACAGTAAGTTGCCTAATGAGGTTCCATGGCTACATTGCCATGGTATTATTGCTTTCTTTTACATGCGAATAGAGGCATACATAAAATTATTGTGGATGTCACTCCACAGTCGTGCCCTGGTCGGTGGTTTCATTGACTGCTTCTTGGGTGCCTTCTTTCTCTTTTGGGTGAATTGGAGTGGATGAATTAACCTGATTAGTTAGGGCAGAAGCAAAAGAATCATTGTTCTTATCTGGAGCTTTCTGTTGCTCAGCTGAGTTGCTTGTTAAATTTTCGGAATTGTTATACATGCCTTGGGGTTCCTTAACTTCAGCATTTTGCTTGACTGCACCAGATTGTATGATGTGTGAGCCATTAGGAATCCTGTTTTCTGTATCAATATTTCCTGTTATATTTAAATGCAACTTGTTACCAATGTTGTTGTCTCCTGCAGGGTCCTTCAGGACGATTTCTGTGTTGTTTTGGCTTTGAGTCGTATCATTTACAGTATCATTTACTTTATGGCGGCGGTGGTGGTGGTGGTGGTGGTGTTTGTGAGCACCAGTTTTTCCTGACAAAGAATCTAGACTGTGACCGGAAGCTACATGATCATCACCTACCTTTAATGAGTTAGTATTATTCTCGGACTTATTCTGTTTTTGGCTACTTGGCTTCTCTTCCTGATTGGCATTAGCCAGTCTGACTTTCTCTGTTTCTTCCACCATTTCAGGACTCCGAATTGTGTTACTGGAGATACTTTCTTGCATCCCATTCTCTTCCTTCCTGCCTTCGACTTCATCCTTTTGGCCTTGATTGTCAACCTTCAATGAATCCGATTCTTCAACAAGGCCATCATTCTGCTTCTGCTCCTTGTTTGTCTGCGGCCTCCCTTTGCTGCCTTCCGCCTCCTCCAAGCTGCTTTCATCCCAGTGACTATTTTCTATAGCTTCTGTTGGTTTCTTCCCTGGAGCGTCAGTTTCGACTGCTTTTTTTTCTTCCTCATTTTTGTTCTCATTGCTCCCGTCCTCCTGTGCTGGTTCATCACTTTTGTTGTCTTTATTTTCTGCCTCCTCTGTTCTGTTTTCTTCACTCTCATTTTCCTTGCTCACATTCTCGACATTGTTTTCTTCGTTTTTGTTCTCTTTGCTGTCCTCCTCTGCACTTCCTTCCTTGTTCTCAATCTCTCCCATCTCTTCAATTCTCCCTTTTCCACTCTCAACTGATGAAGCTTCAGGTTTGCTTTCATCTATATGTTTGCTCATTTCATCTTCATCCTTATCAGTCACCTCGCCTCTGCCATCTTTGCGCCCTCTGCTACTCTCCCTCTCTTGATTCTCTTCATTCAATGCTTCAGTTGCAGCCCTGTCTTCCCCAGTCTTATCCTGCTCCTGCTCCTTCTCCGGCCTGTTTCCACCATCAAAACGACCCCTTTCCTCCACTGAATCCTTGGTCGCCTTCTTGGCTTTGACTTCCTCTGTCCCGGGCGGGATATCCCTTCGCCCTAATCGCTTGATCTTGTTAGCAACATCACGAACCTTGTCGCCGTGGGCTTGCTGCACCTGGTAAAGCAACCAGAAGCAAACTCCAAGCAGCAGACTTATCTGCACCACATGCTTCACTTTCATCCCCTGGCTTCTCTGATTCCTTACCGATTGCTTAAACATGATGGATCACTCCCAAACCTTCAATTCACCCAATGCCCTTAGAATAGAAACAGAGCAGGTTATTAGTTATTACAGTACAAGTTTCAGACCAAGAACCAAACCTGATGTCAATGGCCACCGTCGACAGATCCTCAGCTGCTTAATGCCAATGGGATCATTTCCGGAGTAGTAACTAACTATGATGATGATGAATGAAGATTCAAGAACTGCAGTGTGAGTTCAATAAATAGTTATACTACTAACATATTGGGTGATCGTTGGTTGCAAGGGTGCCCTCCCTCCAACCCACTTTACTTCACAAATGAAGCAAAAATTATTTCTGGTGGGTGAAGAGTAGATTTCCAAAGGTTAAAATGAAACTTTCGATAGGGATTGAATTAGTAACTACATTCTGCAATTACTATTAGTCAGTCAGACTGACACTTTGCCTGTTTTAATATAGATTGGATTTAATCCTTCGATTCTCTCTCCTCCCCAAACAATTTGGGTCTACCCGGTCATTATCGGGTAGGGTCGAGGTAGGATTGGATCCCTTAAAATGTTTTGTGTTTTGTGAATACTGGTTAAAGTTGGGGCTTATGGGCTAGTGGGCCGAGAACACTTCAGCCCATTCATAATTTTAGATACTTGGCCTGGCTGAGGATGGGTGAAACCCGTTCTTGATGTGTCATCTCGTCGTGAGCGATTTGTAGGTCGGTCGCTCGCTCGATCGTTATTCCCCTCTTGCTTCGTTTGAGTGGAAGTCTCTTTTTGTTTATCCGATAACAGAATCGGAAGTGTGCGAATCTCTTTTCTAATCATCGAAGTTGAGGGTTAATCTTCAAGCAGCGTCTGTGCATCGAATTTGGGAAGCTTGAAGACCTGCGGAAATGGCATCGAAGATTGTGGCCAGCGCAATTCGCCGTAATATCTGCAGGCCTAGGGCGGCGACCATCGTCCGTCGGCCTTTCTCCACATCTGCAGCCGCGGCAGCGGTAGAGCCTTTGGAAGAGGAGGCGAATGGAATCAACATGAAAGGAGTCAAAATATTGGGCAGACCCCTATATTTGGATATGCAGGCGACTTCGCCGGTGGACCCTAGAGTCCTCGACGCGATGCTGCCCTACTATCTCTCCCGCTACGGAAACCCTCACTCGCGAACTCACCTTTACGGTTGGGAATCGGAGCGGGCCGTCGAAGCTGCGCGTTCCCAAATATCTGCCCTAATTAACGCCTCTCCCAAGGAAATCATATTCACTTCTGGCGCCACGGAGTCTAACAACATCTCGATCAAGGGCGTTATGCACTTTTACAAGGACAAGAAGCGCCACGTAATCACCACCCAGACCGAGCACAAGTGTGTGTTGGATTCGTGCCGGCACTTGCAGCAGGAGGGTTTTGAGATTACTTATCTTCCTGTGAAGCCTGATGGGCTTGTAGACTTGGAGAAGCTCCGGGCTGCGATTAGGCCTGATACAGGTCTAGTTTCTGTGATGATGGTGAATAATGAGATTGGTGTGATACAACCTATGGAGGAAATTGGGAAAATATGCAAGGAGTTTAATGTTCCTTTGCATACTGACGCTGCCCAGGCCTTGGGGAAGATTCAAGTTGATGTGGACAAAATGAACATAAGCTTGATGTCTTTGAGCGGTCATAAGATTTATGGCCCCAAAGGGATTGGGGCTTTATACATGAGGCGGAGGCCGAGGATTCGGGTGGAGCCTCAAATGAATGGTGGAGGACAGGAGAGGGGGATTAGGAGTGGCACAGTTCCGACACCCTTGGTTGTTGGGTTTGGTGCTGCCTGTGAGCTTGCTATGAAGGAAATGGAGTATGATGACAAGAGGATAAGAATGTTGCAGGAGCGGTTGTTGAATGGAATTAGAGGGAGACTCGAGGGTGTTGTGGTGAATGGGAGTGAGGATAGGCGATATGCAGGGAATTTGAATTTGTCATTTGCTTTTGTGGAAGGGGAGAGCTTGTTGATGGGGCTGAAAGAGGTAGCAGTGTCGAGTGGCAGCGCATGCACGAGTGCGAGTTTGGAGCCGTCATATGTGTTGAGGGCATTGGGAGTGGATGAAGATATGGCACACACCTCAATCCGATATGGAATAGGGAGGTTCACGACGGAGGAGGAGATTGATAAGGCTGTGGAGCTTACTGTGAAGCAGGTGGAGAAATTAAGGGAGATGAGTCCTCTCTATGAAATGTATAAGGATGGGATTGACATTAAGAGTATCCAATGGTCACAGCATTAGATCTTTGGAATAAATACATTATAGCAGCGATCTTCTGGGAGGAGCTCGGGTTATTCTTGGCCGATCATAGATGCTGCTTCCAACTTTGGCTGGGCACTTGCAGTATTTACAGGGTTATGTTCAATTTCTAGTATACACGCATATAATCTGAATCCTAATTTGCCATGGTTATTATATCTTGATCGATAGATTTTGCTGTTTACATCGTTGTAATGTAGCAAACTTATGCAATCACTTGTTTGGGACTTCTATAGTATTTATTGTCAATGGCATCAGATGGTTGGTTCAATTTTCTTTCAGTTCATGCGCTTGCAGCGCATGTAGATTGACAAAGTAGCAGAGTCTATTATGTGGATGTAGCTGAAGATATCTTCTGAGCTATCATTTGTTCTATGTGTTAAATGATCTAACACATCCAGGAAGAGAATGAGTATTAATGTTCCAGATATGGTGCAAATGTACTGTATTATTGCTTATGCTGTTTTTTAGATTGATTTTGTTTGATGAAACGTCTACATAGATTGTGTCATGGCTTGGTTGGTTTATGCTACAGCACCCTGATGCTGTATCTGAGCCAGTAAAAGTTTGTTTTGAGTTAATGTTACTGTGGGCTATGAAATACTATTATGATATATATATATATAAGCAAAGTTGTCAAGATCAATTTGATTTAACTAGTTTTTAGGCATCTGGAATACTGTTCGAGCTTTAAATTCTCAGAATCAGCTCCATACTTGGTAACGGTATAAAATATCTGATTTGAACAATGCAATTTTTGGTTGTTTTCCTATTGCACTACATATGCCATACTGAAAAAGAGTAGTGTACTTATGGTGAAGAGTCCCTGTAGGATGAAGTCTGAAGATGTTTATTTTTGTGAATTGAGATTCACTCCCGCTTTGTCCTGCAATTTTCAGGTTTTTCTTCATAACATTATGCAGGATTGTTCTGCTTTTTTTTTTTTCTTCATGGTTCATTTATAATATGGTATTGGGGATTTATATTTATTTTGGATATTCAGAAATGGCTTCCACATAATCCACAGTTGCACAGAAATTTCATCTGTAGTCTCAGCAGTTCATTGGCTTCCTATTTAGCTGTCATGTCTTCCTCTGCAAAGGAAGGGACATCTCCTCGAGGTTATTAATTATCCTATCATGAAATTTCTATTTTAAATGGGATAATATACTTATTTTTATATTGTGTTGGGTTTTATATACCTTGACTACAGCTTGCCATGAACTTATATTCCGCTGAATTTATAATTCTAGTTTTTAATGAATTGGATAAACTGCAGTTTTACTGTCACATGGAAACTGCTAGGAGTATTCAAATTTTGGGCTTCAATCGTTCTTAAGTAACTTGATATCATATACAAAATTTTCATTGTCCAAACAACACATACAATTCACCACCTTTTCAGGCTTCTTTTGGTATAGTATCCTGAAATCAGGAAAAAGACCAGATGTGCTTCTTATACACAATTGACATACATGCATTGTTGGGCCTCTTTTCTGGTATGTTATTATTCAATCAGGTATTATTCTGAATGGATTTGAGTCATTTTTGACATATGTAACAATTGGAGTCATTTTTTTGGAGTTATGCATCTGGAAGCTGAAGCCTTCACAATTTTGTGCTGTTTACCCAATTTGTTGAATCATCATAACATTGTTGAAGATGAATTAGATATCAAATTGACTTCCCTTCAAATTATAAGCTTTCTGAGAGTAGCTTATTTGACGACATAGAGCCAAAAGTTCTTTGATCCAGGCTAATCATTCCACATATTTGTGTCTGCAGTGTTCTTGATCCAACTATATAGATGATATTGATTTCTGAGTTGAGCTTCAATCTTAACTGTAGTATCTGGTGAGCCCCATCCCATGATCTCTTAATATTATTTTCTGAGGTCATTTGTAACGAGGGATGGTGGGTCGTGTGTTCTTTTTGTGATTCAGTAGAACGGATGATAGCATGCATATTGAAGCATATTTCAGACAAAAGCTTCAAAAAAGTAGGTTTTTTTTTTTTCAAGGGAATCCGAATCCCTTTTGCCCACAACTTACACAGGTTGTTCTGCCTTTATAACATTCTCTTTGGATTTTAGGATAATGGATGGATAGTGAAGATAAGATAAGAAGAAATGGCTTCAGGGAGGTCAGGTCAGGACAGACAGACAGACAGACTTATGATTGATTCCACACGTGACTCTCGCGTGTTCCCCACCCCTCTTTCACAGGTACACCCAGTCATCATACTCCAAATCCAATCCACTTCTTTATGGTGTTTGGAATTTGAATTGAATTGCCATTATTGAGATTTGACATAAGCACATTTGCTGAATTGCCATTATATGAAAAGATTAGACTAGATTAGAGATGGGAAAGGAAATCAAAATGCTGCTATGAATGATGAGGATTAATTACTATGCTATCTGTTCTTTTTCTTGATGAGAAATTTGTGGTGTTTCTTTTAAAAAGTCTAATCTGAAATGACTCCCTAAGAATCAATGAAGATTGCAGTCATCTAACTTTCCCAACAAAATCATTTACTTACAGGACAGATCAGAGATGATGACAACAAACCAACCCCTTACTCAGAGAGCTTGGTCCATCCATCAATGGCAGACTGTGACTGGTCTCAACCAGGAAGCCCAGCCCCCCAAATTTCTTGAAAATCAAGCAACCCCACCTACTTAAATGGTAAAGAAGCATTCAATTCCAGCTAACTGCTACTGCTTGCTGCCAGTCCTATAACCCTACCCCTCTACCTCTACCCCACCCAATCTCCAAATATTTTTTTATTTTATTTATATTTAACAAGGGTAGTTGATCTTTGCGTGTTCAAACTACCATTGCTCCTCCGAATAGACATCTCTCTGCTATTAAAGGAGAAGCCATAATCAAACATGGAATCCCCTGGACCTGGAGCAGGGGCTTCCAGGGTAGAGTACACAAATAAGCCCTGATAAGTGATCAATCACTCGCAGGAGCTCTAGACCAGGGAGCAGCCAAGATGATGTGCTTGCCCCAAAATTTCATTTACCATTTTATTTGGGAGGAAAAATCTCCACCGGGCTTTTTACAGTTAAACCAAATCTTTCACCTGCCCGTTTCAAGCTCCCTGGGTGGTATTTCAGTGTAGTGGTCCCAGGAGTCCAAGTCCCGGACGCATCCTGGCCGTTGATCGGGGGGGATGTTTGCAGAATGTGGAAATTTACAGTAAGAGCTTTATTATGCGTACAGGATTGTACAATATCATTACTATTACTATTATTATTATTATTATTAAATCAGAAACAATATACCACCTCACCACCCAACACCAATGCCTCTCGGAAATCAGAGCTGGACCTGAACCTGAGCTTTGTATATGATTGCCTTGATGATCTGATCTGGTGGTGTGTAAACAGTATCACTGCATTAATGGCCATGAATATTTTGAATTTTTTTTTTTTTGTGCAGACAGGAACAGATGGGGAAATTTTGAAGATGCTTACGAAAAGGTACAGTAATGGCTTCCCACAAAACCCCCTAATTAGCTTATAGGCTTATTATAGCTCATAGCTGCTTCAAAAATCAAAACTTGATAATACTAGTATTACCTTATGATGAGATAATTAATTACATGGATAGGTTCTAATTAATAATGTAGTAGGAGTAGTAATGATGAATGATTAGGGGTTGAAGATTAGGTCTCCACATTTGCATTTCCAGCTCATGGGCTTGTAATTGGAGGTGCCCTCGTCGGATGATCTTTCTGAAACGACGTCGTTTGTAGCGGGGAAGTTTCTTCTTGTCGGGTTCGTCGGGACTTGAATGGCTTGGCAGTGTGTGCACCAGCTGCACCTCCGATCGCACTGCGGCGGCCGCGACCCGATTTGGGTTCGGAATATCGATTTTTCTTCGACTACTGCTGAGTTATTCTACACCAAATTTAATTCATTTGTAAATTATAATGCCTTTGACAAAATTAGATACTATTCATCCTTACCGTGGAGTTGTCAGCTGTTTTGGGGAGCAGTCGTCTACCTGAAACCAACTGAGATTATTTATCATGGAGAAGACGATATTCTATCCATAATTATGTAAATGTGTGTTCATACTTACCTTGAGCAGTGAATAATTTGGAGTGGGACGAGGTGGAAATAACGAGGACAAGAAGATAAACGATGAAATGTTGTTGTAAATGGATGCACATTTGATTACTACTGTAGCACACCATTTCTGCCTCAGACAATAAGTATTAATTGAGATGAACCAAGATGGCGAACCAGACACAATATGTACATATATATATATATATTTATATTTATATATGTAAGAATGTAAGAGAAATTGAGGTAAGAAAGTTGAGATTTGGTACTGAATCTCTCAGATCTACACACATATATAAGTACGTATATATATATATATAGATATGGATATGGATATGGATATTTTTGTGAAACAAAATGATCAAAGAAAACAACATGCGAAAGAAAAGAAAGAAAGACGATGGAGATGAATTTGTAAATCTTTGAGATGTCCCATTCTTGCAAATTCAATTCTCAACTTTTGAGATTCTGAGATGAAAGAAGCAAACAACCTAAGATATATGATAAGCTAAGCTAACCCGAGAAAGAAAAATATATAATATCAAGAGCATGCAGCAAAGTAAAGCTGCTGCAAATTTTTGGCTTTTCAAACAAGAGAAAGAATGATTGATGGGATGGGATGGGAATAGGAGTAGGAATATATTTATATATATATATATATATGCACAAAAAACAACACCAAACAACTTTTAGACCACCAACTTAACTGCTGCTTAAAATATAAAATAAAAATAAAAATCTTCTCCTGTCGTTTTCAAACATCTGTCATCGTGGGTTGACTTAATCGATAAGCAACCAGATGATAGGTGTGTTATTGGACTAAATATATGGAGTATATTTTTTATTTAAATACAAGACACATCTAAATATTTTGTTTTTATTGGGCTTTTGGTTGTCATATTGGGCTTCTAAGGAATGAACATGTCCGGTAATTTAACTTAGCCTTAAGGCCCAATAATTGGCCTATTTGTTTATTAATTTCATTTGATATGTTTTATAGTTTTTTTTTTTTTTTTTTTTAATGCGATAAATCCATTTTTATATATTCAATAATTATTTCACAAAAAACGCTACTTTCATTATATTTACATGGTTAAAACTCACAAGAAAAAAATAGGTGACAATTAATGCCCTAAAATAATTCGAAAACTAATATACTTTATTATATCTCTATAAATAAAAAGGAAAATAGGAAATGACATCAATATCCCAATTATAAGAACAAAAGTTGAATACGTAACTGGATGCTTTTTCCAAATTTTGTTGTCAGCATATATATATATGTATATGTATATGTATATATATAAATAGTTTATTGAGAATAATCCACACTCAAATTATATTCTATTATCTTTAATTTATTGTAATAGGTAGAGGTAGCAGCACTTTAAAGTTACAAGAATGATATATATTTTAAGCTTTATTAAATGCTACTTTATGTCGACAAAAGATATATATATATATAAAGATTAATAATCCGAATGCAAGTTTCCGTAGGTTGACGTAGATCTGCTGCAATTCCACATCAGCATCCCTTTATTAGCCTGACGTCAACATGACTAAACTCCTCATGTCCTACACTATCATTTTATTATTATTATTATTATCATTGTTATTAATAAATAAATTCTTTTTTTTTTTTAATAAATAAATAGTACGAGATAAAAATGAACGAATATTATTTTATGAGACAACGGGAGTATCAAATTTTACTTATCTTTTTGTACACATTGAACCTGGTATTATATAACCTAAAAAAATACTCTCTCCTTATGCAATATATGTGTATTCATTTACTTTTTTTTTTTTTTTTTCCTTCTAATATATGTAACCTTATTAATAAATTTAATTTAATATTTTTACATATAATGATATATTAGACGTAATTAATGATTACACTTTAGGAATTAAGGAAACTGAGCGCCGACCATTGATCCACAGCGCGACACGTGTCCGCGATAAAACCAGGTCCTTTCATTACCTTTTTTATGTAGACATTACGTGTGCACTCACACTAGAGGATTTTAATTAAACTACAAATGCAATATTGTTGCTATCATCAATGTTATCATATAATACATACATACATATATATATTAATAATTTGATCAGTTTTTCGACAATATGTGTGATTTGTGACGTGCCCACCTTTTACTAATTTCTTGCTGTCCATCACTCTTCTTATAATTCGTCTTTTTTGGGGGGCTTCACTAAGTTTCAAGAAAACCCTAATTTCAATCGAGACAAGGATGCCTTGGTAAGGGCCAATATGTTCCTAGCAAGCTACCTCAATATATTTTATTACATTATATATATATATATATATATATTAGTGGCTGATTTTGCAACACTACTATCGTGCAATTTAAATTTCAGATATGGTTTTGTATTTCGGGTCCACACTGGAATTATATATCATAATTGATTTTACACTAGAGGAAATTAAAATTGCGTATAATATATATAGATATAGATATAGATATAGATATATATGTGTGTGTATATACAATCAAAGCAAGTGTTGAAAGAGTGGAAGAATGTAATAATGTTGATGTTGATGAGTGATGAGATGAACATGATTAACCCATCAATTAAGCTTCCGTGAAAGTCACCATGTTCATCATGACATTCATGTCACAATAAAATAATTTTTTTAAAAAATAAAAATAAAAAATAAATTATGTATATACATATAGTGGTTGGTGATAAAGGTGTTTTGATCAAACAATATTTACGGGTAATTTTGAGGTAAGAAATTATTTAATGAGATGTTGCGTATTGAAAAATAATGGTTGGATTATATATATATACTATATATTTTTTTTAGAGAAATAAAAAAACATTAAATAATGATAATAATATAATACACACAATGAACAAAAACCCTTTATTGATAGTAGAATTTTTTAGATATCTTGATGAATTCTTGAATTTAGTGTATTGTAGGAAAATAATGAATAATAAATTATGCATGACTACAATAAATTACATAGAAAAGTGAGGAAGACTATATTGAGTTCATTGATGATTGAATGTATGGAATTAGCATGATTAAGACATATTTAAAGATAGCTAAAAAGAATAAAATTCCTTGAAAATGGAATATATATAAATTTCTTAGTAAGAGTTGTTAGTGATTTGACGATGTGAAAAACTTCCGAAATTAGCGATCCACTTGATTGAGAATGATATTGTCCGCTTCTGCACGGATTTGTTTTTGGATATTCTCCAAAGGCCTCGTACTAGTGGAGTTTATTTGAGACTTATAAAGTGTGTAATTTTTCTTCACCGCTTCCAATGTGGAACTTGGGTTTGCACCCCAACATATATATATATATATATCGTTCAATTTTCGACATAAAAATGATATGATCAAATATATAATTACTTCTTCTATTATTCAAATTTATTAAGTTGTTATCAAAAAATTTTCTTTTTTTCTTTTTTAAGTACAAAACATCATTTTTCTACTTTTTCTTTCCTTTAAAAAGAAAAAGTATTTACTTTTACCTGTATTTTTAAAAATTTTGTATTCGGTCAAATGAACGTATTTTTTTTATGACGGAAAAAGTATATTTTTCAATCTCAATAATAATTTAAACAAAATGTTATTGAAAACTTCATATGATCAAGGAGGAAAAGGGAGGACAATAATCCCAAAGTGGACCACAAAATAAAATAAATAAAAGAGCTTGAAAGATCATTTTAATGATATATATGCACGCACAAGGATATGTATGCATGCATTTCTGTATGGCGTGTTTAGGAAGAAATTAGTGCATATATATATATATATATATATATATAGATTGGTCCTAAAGAAGACAGTAACGCGTTGGGTCAGCTTTAGAGTGAAAGTAGCATATATTGGATATACTTATTTAGTGCATTCCTTGTCAATTCTACTCATAATTTTAAATTTTGTAATTAAATTCATCTCCTAATTTTAAATTCATAAAACCATTCTTTTAAAAAATATATATATATTTTTAATTATATTCTAGGAAACCACGAAGAAATTACACAAAGTTTTGAATAGATGTGTGAGTTGTAACACGTCTATGTGAATGCCTAATTATTTCTAGAATAAAGAATTCTTTTATCCACTAGAAAAATAAATAACATTGAATAGCATATATATATATATATCCTTATTTTTCCCTCTGAATTCAAGTAGACATTTTAAATATGTATATAAATACATATATGTCCGTGCCATTTATTTAATGAACTATTGTAATAGGCCGACAAATTTCTCGTATTTTACAAACGGTGATATATATGTGTGTATATATATATATATGTATTGGTCCTAAATAGACATCTAATTATGATGTGTTATGCAAATAAATTTGATGAAATGTTCTAAATATCAATTTTTAATTTTTTTTTATAAAATAAAAGGATTGATCATTTTTTTTTTCTTTTTTATTCCAAAATAAAAAAAAAAATAGAAGTGGGGATTACACAATTTACTTTGATTTCTTATTCCACACGAATCCTTACAATATGCAAATCAAATAATTGCAAATCTTGTGCAGAATCGTACTCATTTGACTAATGTCACATAAATCAATTAATTAATTTAATCAACTGAGCACTAGGCCTCATTCCACCGGTGGACTAATTGGAGTCCAAAGCTAATTAGGTTTGACTCGTTACAGAAATATATATAATAAAATCAAGTAAATGATTAAGCTTTGACGTTAAAGTTTTCTCCTCCAACGTATCGACACTCGGAAATTGGTGTCTAAGTGCAAAAGAATTTCGAGGAAGATGGAAAATAGGTTTACAAATTTTTGGTGCATTCATGTGAAGAGGTCCAAAGTGGGTCGGGTTCAGACACAGGTCCAACGTGTTAGAAAAGTCAAAATTAAATAGTCAAAATTAATGAATATATATAATATCGGAATTGGAAATTTAAACCAGTGGTGGGTCCAGCAGATATCATCACGTGGGGCGTGACCCACCGGTCCCCTAAAAGACAGGGCACCCAACGCCAACACTCCTCCTCTGCCTATTTCGTAATTAATTTATAAATAAATAGAATTTCAAAATATCATATTATATTTTTATAATTATTTTATTAATAATAAATTACAATGTTTAGTTATCTAACAATATATCAGCAGGGCTTTATATGCACATCATTCGGACTTTGAAAATTAAATAAATAAAATAAAGAACATTACATTATTATTATTTATGACTAAATATTCAGAGACAAATACATGTGACCCAACCCCCCCAATGTGTCCCGAGAAATACACATGTCCTAAGTAATCATCCCTCAAAATTAATAATTGAATATTATTATGATTTGTAATTAATAATATATAAATGGGGTATGATTTTATTGGTGAACTTGTGCCAATTGGTACGAGTTTGATTGATTGGTGTTCGTTAAATGTCATGACAAGAAAGCCTAGCTCGGGTGGGTCTGATCATCTTATCAAATTAATGGACCATACAATGTACATGAAAGTGGTTGTAAAATTAATCCATAATAGTATTAATATACAATCACCAATCATAGATCAATAATTGAATAATAATAATAAAATCGAGGAGGAGTCCCTACGATTAGTAATGAAATAATTATAACAATAACAATAATTATGGTATACAAATTAAAATAAATAAAGGATCGTCGATGAGGAAATTGAAAACCTAATTAGTAGTATAATTCCCTAGCTAATTGATGAGGATCTATAGATTAGCTAGCTAGCTGATCGACCTTCTCCTTTAATTTTACTGAAAGCCCTAAACCAAATTTAAAAAACAGGGTTTTGGGAGGGACATATATATATATATATATGGATCCATATTTAATTTAATTTCATATCTATGTATATATGTACTAATACATATATATATATTTAATTTTCTACAAGCTTTTTAATTAATTAATTATCAACAGGCTGCGGACTGATTTGTGAAGGGGTTGTAGAAGTGCGGCTTGGGAGCCATGGCGGCGTAGGGGCTCTTAGCCGCGTTCTCCGGCACGGCGGCGCCGATCCGTTCGCAGGAAGGGCACATGGTGAGGGTAGCCGCCGGGAGCTGCATGTAGAGCGGCTGAGCCAGTTTCAGGGCCTTCAGCTCCTGGAGCTCCTTATGCAGCCGCCGGTTCTCGTCCGTCAGCGTCTCGCAGCATTTCTTCAGGAATTCACAGTCCACTTCTGTTTGCTTCAGCTTTGTCCTGTATAGATAAATGATTTCAATTTTTTAATTTAATTATGAAGAAGATTGATGCCCAGATTATTTTATTTTATCTTATCTTAGAAAAGGGGCAATGGCTGACCTACTGCTACCTCTTGTAGTAAAATAATCAATTTTGAAAAAAAATTAAAAAAATTTATGTATGAAGAGGGGCTGGTAATAATCAGACAGACCTGGCTCTTCTGTTCTGGAACCAGACTTCGACCTGTCGTGGCCTGAGATTCAATTCCCTAGCCAGCTCTTGCTTTTGTTTCTGATCGATCGAACAAAATTTACAAATTAAAACATGATCATCGCGATCAATATTAATTAATTACTACGATTTTGTAATAAAATTAAATACATACAGGATTGAGAGTGCTGTGCTGTTTGAAGCTTTCCTCAAGAAGGGCAGACTGGGCTTTGCTAAGTCTAAGCTTCTTCCTTCCATTAGACCCGTCGTCGTCTTCATCGCTAATTCTCGACGAGACAACGTTAATATTCCGTTCAATTTCGCCCTCCTCGCTCCCCATCTCTCTCTCTCTTTTCACGCTGCTGACGTTCGAGAAAGACGAGGCTGCGCTGTCCTGTCGGTACAGATCGGCCGACGAGTGATGCTCGCTGTAGCCGACGCCGGCGAACCCTTTGATCTCCTCCGGCTCCGCCTTTTTAACCGCATAGGTTTCCCCCGACAGGCTCAGAGTCAGCGACGGCTCCGAAAATTTTCCGGCGAGGTGATCGAGCTTCGATTGGGCTGCTCCGGCGGGTGGCTTTCGGGACTTGATCAGGTCCCCGGCGGCCGGCGACGAAGACGGCGTCGGAAACCCCAACCCTAAAACCAGACCCGTGTTGCATAAATCATCAAAACCCATTAAATTAATTTATTTTGTGGATTGAGGAAAGGGGGAACGAAAGGTGTGTGTATATATTGAGAGAGAAAAGCAAGAGGGAGAAATGAGGATTAACAGAAAGGGTGAGGAGGCTTTTGTAAGGGTGGGGATGGGGATGGGGGTGGGGGTGGGTGGCTATATATTCAATTTATTAATATTTGTATTCCATGATTAATAATAATAATAATAATATTATTTTGGTATGGAATTTTGGGTAAAGAAATGATGAATAATCCTTCTCACACACATCTTGGTTGACCATTTGACACCCACTTTTATTGTTTCCGATGACCAGCGACGAGGAAGCAGGAGGGCGACACCGGGACCTACACTCCCGAAACGATCCAGAGCGTTGGTTTCATTGAGGGCCCGGAGAATCGTCGGCTGAGATGAAAGGAACAATTAATATAATGGTGTATGTACACGAATGAACACGTGGGATTCACATGGCAAATTGGTAATGCACATACCAAGAGAATGATTCGTCTGTTCCCTCCCCTTCGCCACCCGTTAGCACGCCAAATTCTACTATTTCCACCACTACCCCTCACCTTAATTAATTAAATTAAAATTAATCTCCATTTCACACGTCGATTCTGTGTCCCTATTTCGCACCAATCGGCAATCATTACCCAACTTGTCTTAAAGTCAGTCAGTCAGTCAGTCAGTCCCTTGGTGCTGCTTTTACCCAATTTTAATTCACTATTTACATTTCATTATTGTACACTAATATATTAAATTAAATTAAATTAAATCAAAATTAAATGTGCTTGGAAAGGCGGGATTCACACATCATCATAATCGATCAGGTTTAATTACTTAATTAATTTAATTGCAGTTAAAAAAATATATATTAATCCAAATAGAATAGAATAGAATAGAATACAAGGCCACATGGCATGTTTCTTGTGCTGGAGATGGATGTGGATCATGTTACTTTGCTGACAGACCCCTTTCCCCATTTCCCATCGACACGAATGTGAAGCATGGAATTTGTTTGTCCCACTGCTACCTCAAGATCATCATCGATCATTCTAACACATTAATATATACATACATGTTATAAGATTAGGGTTTTCTTTTATTTATTATTTTTGAAGATGAGAAAAAGGGAAATGGTGGTAGGCCAAACACACCATGGATGTGGGCAGTTTTGTAATCATAAATGGTGGAGATACACAGAACATGATTCATGAACACGAATGAGGATCTTTGCTTAACTACAAAGAAGATAGGGTGTGTGTGTGTGTGTGTGTATGTATGTCTATGTGGTTTTCTTTTTTATATTTTTTTGGGTGGGCCCCACTTAATCTGTAGGATTTCGAGCACATTCAATAATGCATTGTCGGCTGCGCTGATGAGAAGTTAGGTCACCAGTTAAGCATGATTACTTTTTTTAATACTATTTATCAGTAACACATATATTATTATTGTTGTTATTTTATTTTTATTTAATTAAATCAATGAAGTCTATATTACCGCACCCTTTTAGTTTCTTTTTAATTTTTTTGGGTTGAGGAGACGCCAGTTCTCATGCCTCCAGCTGGTATAGTAATTTACCGATTTGCCCTTGCTTAGCCAACAAACTATCATTTAATATTTGTGTGTTTTTTTATGCCTTAGTTAATGATGAGAACTAACATTGATGACGCACGGACTTCTCTACGACCTATTCAAGAAATATTAATTAATTAATTAATTTATTTATTTATACACGTATGTATGTATTTATTTGTGTATGGTTGTCCCTATTTGTGTGATTTTATGTCTTTATCCTTATGATTGTGCATAAATAATGACAATTAAGACATACACATTTGCTTGCTAGTAGTATTAGATAAGATTGAATATTTCAGTTTTCTTTTGGTAAGTGCCATAATTTAATTTGCTCCTTTTTATATATTTGTTTGTTTTTAAATTTTGGACTTTTGGATTGAAAAGGGTGACACTAACCAACCAATTGTTGGATGGCGTGATCCATCCACTCCATAAATCAATGTAATAATAATAACAATAATAATAATAATAAATCAATATATATACATATATATATTTATTTATTTCAATTCCACCACATATGAGTATCGGGTAAATTTTTATTTTTTTTCCCACAAAATAAAAATGATAGTGAATAATTGACTTTAAGATGAATAATTTGAATAGATCTTTTAATTGACTTTATGTAATAGTAATAATTAGATATCTACAATTTGCTGAGTTGCAATGGATCGATCACCACCACTGGTATATATTTAGGATTTATTTATTTGTAATTTTTCATTATATATATATATATATATTTAAGGTGAAAGAACCCATAATTTAATTACTTTAAACAACATGTATGTACTGTGACTGTTTATAACTATATATAAATAATGGGTTGCTTGAGGTCAAGCTATACAGTGATTAAATTTACAGTAGACTCTTTCTTTTTTTTTTTTTATAATGTGAAAATCCACGGCTGCTATAAAAAAATTCGCATCGGGTAAATCCCGATCGAACCTAATACTTTACAAACCAGATCCGATAAGACAAGTTACACTAGACGAATTATATGTGGCAGGTGGACCTGGAAGCGTCATCGAAGTTTGAACCAATAACCTCACGATCATAAGTTTACTTCCTTAACCACCAGATCGATCATCCCTTACGGCACAAATAAACATATCCTTTGGGAAGAACTGAGGCAGCCAATTATATAATAAATGATTGGTGTGGAATATATATTTAGTGATCGATAATTATTTTATATATATATATATAATTATAAATGTAAGATAGAGCCCATTATAAGCTCAATCGCCGAAAGCTGTTTGTCCTCATGTGCTCAGTTTAATTCCATAAACCTAATTTTGGACTGCAAGGACAAAACCCTAGTTTTCAACTTGAGGCTTCAAGTTAAGGAAAACTAAAATAAAAATTGAAGTTATAACATCTCAAAGTCAAAACTCAAATATAAATAATCTAATATATGAATAAAATGAAAATTTAAATATATATTTATTAAATCTAAAATCGAATATCTAAAATATCTCAACATGAAAAATAAAATCATACAACTTAAATACAAAAATGTCGCAATCATTGTTTAACTAGTTTATACTTTTTTTTATTATATTGTTTACTATATACAAACTTCTTCAAAACTACTCAATTCTTATTTAAACATTCATGAATTAACTATACAATAATGCAGTTGAACCATTATTGACCTGTTACTTAATTATGTTATGTATGGAGTTATATTAGAAATCAACGGATCGAGCCCACTTTCAAAATGTGTTGAACCACAATGGAAATTTTAAATTTATTTTCTTCAATTTTTTTATTTGTATTTTACATTTAAGCACTAAAAAAAAGCATGGAAATTTACATATACTGAAATTTATACTATTATCCCATTTTTTCTCCAAAAAAATATCAAATTAAACACATATTTTTTTTTTTATATTATACTAAAAATTAAAATACATGCAAGACATCGTATCAACACTTATTTATATCATATAATATAACTATTCAAATTCAAAATTTTTACTATTTAAATCATTACTTAAAATTTAAACCGCCAAACAAACAGTGTGTCTCTAGTAAGGGTAGAAGTAACAAAACCCTAATTATACTAAAAAGTGAACAATTATAATAATGCATTCTAGTATGTTATTGCTGATTTCTTTTTCGTTTTTATTTCTTTTTTAATTAATGAGTTGAATGTGACGTTTTAAAAGTATGCATGATATTTTTTTTTTTTAAAAAAATAAATTTATAAGGATTACATAATTTAAAAAATTGGAAAAAAAGAAAACCCCTCAAAGTAAACATAGCCTAATTAGCGACTGTTTTTAACCTCAATATTAAAAATCATCCACTCACTTGACAATTTTCAGAATCACGTTTAATATTTTTGTAAACAGATTCCAATAAATAAATATCAAGATGGCTATTATACTTTATTTGATTAGTTTTCGAAGAGAATAGGAATAAAGCAAATATAAATATGCATATGTATTATTTATGTATAGATATATAGAAAACCCTCGATCGGTTTAGGAAGAAAGAAGGGGAGACAAAAGGGACCCGCCAATGATTTTGGATGATGAGGAATTTGATATGGTCGAGGATTTGTATGTCCAAGCCCAAGGCCAAAAGCATTGCATTTGCATGCACGATCATATGTATATGTAATCTGTAAGGATAAGGTTTCGTGGTATCCGTTGTTAGTTCCTGTCTTTACGCCCAGCCACCCATGGTTGCATCCCAACTTTATTCATTGTCCATACTCCTTGTTCTTGCCCTCTCCAATAAATATATATACACATATATATATATATATACAGAGAGAGAGAGAGAGTTCACTTGTGTTTTCGTCCATCTATAGTGAAATTATTTTATGATTCATAAAAAAAAAAAAAAAAAAAAATTATATACAGCAACAAGTCTTGCAATGAAATAAATAAATAAATTCCCAAGCAAGTAGAATTGTCTAAAATACAAATAAAAGAGATTCCATATATTATTACCACACATAGAGAGGTTTTTAATTTAGTTAACCAGTTAAATAATGGGTCTTAGATTTTCAAGACAGCAATAATAGTTCCGATGATAAATAATCCCTAGTTCCCTAGCAAAAAAAATGATCCAATGAGATTTGGAAAATCTTGGGAGACCATTAATTAATGGAGGAATATATATACATATATATATATATATATTCTATTTATATTTATGTTTGCAATGACCAACGGCACTAGCTAATGCATCACTATTGAAAAACTGCTGTAATAAATCAATGCGTGATTTGGACGAAATTCATATGATATTTAATTCCATTCATTCATTAATGCTTTGCTTTCTTTCTTTCTTCGTCTATTCTTAATTTTTGTTTTATTTTATTTTATTTTCTTGGGAATGAATAATAAAATTAAATTCCATCATATTTGTAGGTGGGATTGCATGCTCTAGTAATGAATGGTATTTGACAATAATTGGTTGGCAATGTAATAAGTATTAAAACAGTTCTGAGTATTTCCCGAATTAGGTAAAGCGTTAATATCACATCGCACCGACTTTAATTTCATCCGAGCAATATAATGAATGCTTTCGAGAATATAAAAGATACACACACAAATATTTCTTTTAATTTTTTATATTTAAAAAAATAATTTTTCTATACCTCTTATGATTTGTGTCCCAATACTTTTTGTGGGACTATAGACTTTCAAATGGAGGCATCATTGCTTCGTTTAAAAGTGGAAGCAAATTAAATTTTAGTGAGTGAGTTGTAATATATATTGTACGTAGGATGGATGATATAATAATAATAATAATAATAATAATAATAATAATAATAAAAAAAAAAAAAATTAATAATATGTCCCACTTGAGACAAGTAGGTTGGATGGGTTTTCGGGTGCCCTCTTCTTGCTCCACAAAGATGGAGCAAATGGGACCCCTCCCCACTTCTCTTATTTCTATTTTTATTTCTAATAATTAAATTAATTTGGGGTATATTATTAAATATATTCTTGTGCAAACACAAAAAGAGGATTCTTGCGCTCTAATTTTTGAACTAAATAGTTGTTAAATGTGACGTCTAAAAATCAGGATATGTATAGTTGTTAAATGTGATATCTAAAAATCAGGATATTTTTGCGGGAGGGTTGATCTGAATAGTAAACTGAATTTGAATAGTTGTTTAATATGATATAAATAAAAATTGATCTTATATTTTGAATTCAAAATTAATTTTTAATGTAATACAAACAATATGGATTTCGATTTGATATTTTTTAGAAAAATCGATTGAAAATAATATAAAACAAATGAAATCACTCAAACAAACATACCCCTAAATTTTCTTAAACATCTTCCCTCCATCATGCAATATTCAAATAATTTTAAAGAGGGGTCGAGTTGATTTAGTAGGTGAACTTATGACCATAGAATTATAAGTTCAAATTAACTTCGGATACTTTTTCTTTTTATCGGTAATTTCAAGAAGGTAGAAATTACCTTCTTCTTTTTTTCCCTTACTAGTATAAGATACATGCTTTAACACAAAAACCAAGCATATATGCGATAGCTAGCTATCTTAGGACCATTATTTCTTGAGTGCATGCGGCGGCATGAGTTGTCGACAAGCAATCCATATTCGGACGACATATATACGTAAACATATATTATTCGATTAACTAACATAGTTGGTGTTAATTAATTATTTGGACAAGAAATTATTGGGTGTCGATGGATTTAATAAATTTGCAGACCAGGTCGATTTATGAGATCGATCATGTGTAATAGTTTTGATTAATGTGGGGAGTCATTCTTGGAATTGGGACAAGTTCACAAGTGCAGATGTCGACCTCAATTTGGAAATCATCAAAAGTGGGCAAGGGTCAATTTTTGTACATGATTGTTACACATATTATTGGATTCCAAATACTCATATATATATATATATATAGATTTGAATAAACCCCTTTCTTTTTTTTATATTTTGTGGGGAAGGAATAAAATTATTTCAAGAATGTCAAAACATTCATATCTCAACTTTCATAAATGATTAGCCCACAATTGCAATCCCACACACATTTTTTTGCCCACTTTATATAATGCTTCTTTACTTTAATTCTTACAACTATATTTAGAATCTACCCAACCACTTTCCCTCCCACAGTACCACCAAACTTATACCTATATATATATATATATATATAATTAAGCTATTTCATTTAAAATATGAATAAATTATTATTGAATGCGTATATGCATGCATACGGTCGTCACACCGGGACAAATTAATAATTGATTATTATCATTATTTTTTAATTATATATATATACCTTTAATTCCATGCAAGGTACGATGTACTCAGCAAATTCGATAAAGTGATTATCATTACTAGTGGGGATTACTTTTTAATTCTAGAAAAAAATTATATATATTCTTTGCTTATCGCGATTTAGGAATGTCAAAATATTCATCACCCCTTCCAGAAGAATTGCAAACTTTTTCTTACGATTCAGTCCATACTATGGGCATCTCTCGACATATTTTTAGGATTGTTCGAATAACCTAGCTTTTCTCGAACACCACCACCTACGACGACGACGTTTCGACGGCGCAAAATCGGCATAATCATTTAGCTAATAGTTCCCAATTCGAAGAATATTATAATCTGTTGTCACAAATTATTCGGTACTGTGGAATCGATCAATAATTGTATCAATAGATAAAATTATATTCTGACGTATATGTGCATGTTTGGAAAAATTAAATTATATATATAATTAATTAATCTGTCTCATCTGAAGGGAATGAAAAGTAAGTATACCTTATCCCATTTTAATTTTACAATTGGACGATTTATATTGATTGAAATCTTGAAGAATATATTTGTGTAGTGAATCTAGACTAAAAGCAAAGTGGGATAATAATTAATTTGAGATTATTATATGTATATTAAAGTCGAATAGTATATATTTATATATAATTGTAGAAGAAAATAATTATTAAACCAAATCATATACATGCAATCAAAGTAATGATAAGACTTCATGGGCATAGAAACCCTCCAACTTGTATGTATAGAAAAATATCTTCTTCTTTTTTTTTTTTTTTTTCTTACACTTTTAATATAAATTAATAACAAATAGCTGCTTTCAATTTGAAAATAAGGCCGACGTGTTCACCCAATTATTTTTTTTTAAATTTTATTTTATTAACATGATTAAATGAATATTATTAAGAAATACAATATACACATAATTGTATACACACAATATATCATTTCATTTAAAAAATGGCGCACCATTTATTTTTAGTACGAGAATTTAGATTAATAGTACTCTCTCCGTCCCAAACAAGGTGCAACATTTACTTTTAGCACGGGTTTTTAGGTGGGTAGTATTAAGTATGATAATTTAGAAATTAGATGATGTGATGGAGAGAGAAATATATATTTTATTTTTTTATTTGGATGATGTAAGGGTATAAAGTGTAAGGTAGAAATTAAGTATAATTAATTATTTCCTATTTTGAAAATGTTGCAAGTGTTTGGGCATACCAAAAAGGAAATGTTGCAGGGTGTTTGGGACATACCAAAAAAGAAATGTTGCAGGATGTTTGAGACATACCAAAAAGGAAATGTTGCAGGTGTTTGGGACGGAGAAAGTATTAAATAAGATAATTTGGGAATTAAGTGATATGATAAGAGAGAAGAATGTATCTTTGTTTGAGTAATGTGAAGAAATAAAATGTGAAATTTGAATTAAATATATTTAATTAGTTTTTATTTTAGAAATAGTACATGATATTTAGGACAGACTATACAATTTTTTTATATAATATAAAAAAATACAAAATAAACACACCTTATATAAATTTAAATTTTAACAATTTTTTTTTATTACAGTCTACTCGATTATATAGTGTGAGAACTGAGTATTTAAAAATAAGGGCATAGATTAGCTGTTATCCATTGAAATCAGTATGATACTGATTTGATCGGATTTTATAGGCGTGACCAACATATATTTATACATATTTGAGCATATTTATAATACAATATATATTATATTATAATCGGTGGAATTAACACAGATATGCTGTCTAAAAATAATCATTAAACACATTCTAATTCGATTGTTATAATATTCTTAACAATTCATGGAATATAATTTATTTGGATCAGCAAAAAAATAAAAAACGTAAGTAGCGTTAACTTAAGTTGGGCTTTCTAATTGCACATCCTATTGGGCAATCTTTGACCCATTCAATTATTTAGACCAGATCAGATGTTGGCCCATTAAATTATTTAGGCCCATTAACAACTAGCATATGAAAATATCGTCCTTTTATTTTCATACTGAAATAAATAAATAAATATCTCACTCAGGTTTGGGCTTTGTAATTTGTTATAACAGCACTTTTGCAATTTTTCAAAAATATTTACTAATGTAAATATTTATTTTATAAAATATGATTATTACAAAAACTTTAAACCTACATATTAAAAAATATCCGTCTATACGGGAGCCGTGATTTTTATTGGAATGAAAATAATAAAATAAATGAAATTAATTAGAGGAGATTTAAATGAAATTAAAGTGGGGCAGAAATGCAAATCTCAATAAAATTAGTCAAAGTCATGATTGAAACGGACAGCGAAGATCGGCCGTAATCCAGACTGTATCTTGCTTCGCAATTCAATTTCAAAATCTTGCATTGCCATTAAGGTAATTGCCAAAGTTACTCGATTGCACTTTTCTTTCTTGAATCCCAATTAGGCGTAGGAATTTCAAGAATGGCCAGCGCAAAAAGGGGGCAGTGAGTGAGAGCCCTAAATTTCTGAGGGTGGAGAGTGTGTAAGGTGGAAGTGGTGGAGTCCACAAATTTTGCTTTTTGATTTTCAAGCTAAAGTTGAGAACCCCCCCCCCCCCCCCCCCCCTCTCCCGGCTCGAAATTCGATTGAGGCGGCGCAGCTGTTGAAGCAATTTGAATTCTTGGTTTTGATCGGTCCATGGCGAGCTCGGCTTCTCGGTCGGAGAAATTTGCGGCGACTCCGACGACTTTTGCAACAGTTGCAGTGTCCCCGAGTTCAGTTGCGACTAGGGTTTTGAAAACGCCTTTGAGCGACGAAGCTATTTGGAAACGGCTAAAAGAAGCAGGCTTCGATGAGGAGTCCATTAAACGCAGAGATAAGGCCGCACTTATTGCCTATATTGCCAAACTGGAAGCTGAGGTATGCGTTCGCTACCCTTTCCTTTATCTTCTCTTTCCTGTTTGTGTAATCGTAGATTGGGAATTTTCGCTTGAGAGTTATGATGTTTCCTTGTTGATTGCTACGGATTTGAGATCGTGAATTGTGTTGTTAGTACTGTAACTGTGATTTTTGGACAAGCAGTATGTGGTTACTGTTCTTGAATTATCCGTGGAAATGTTGTGTTTATTTAATTGTTACTTGCTTAGTTACCAATTGATGCTTCATTTGGGGAAAAAATGGTATTTATAGTTGTAAGTTTTCTCATTAATTGGCGTCTGTATTGGTTATTTTTTAGTTTTGATCTGCTGATATGAAATTAGACATTATAGTGAAGAAATCCTTTTAGTTAATGAATTGTTCGAAACTTTCCTATTTGTATTTCTTATACTTGCAATACCTTAATTGATGTTTCTTGCATGTGTGTACCTCTATAAGGTATATGATCTCCAACATCAAATGGGGCTTCTTATATTAGAGAGGAAGGATTGGCTGGCGAAGTACGATGAAGCCAAAGCTGCTGCTGATGCTGCTGAGCTGAATTTTAAGCGGGAACGGGCTTCCCGTGTTTCAGGCTTGGCTGATGCCAAGAAAAGGGAAGAAAGTCTCAAGAAAGCTCTTGGTATTGAGAAGGAATGTGTTAAGAATGTAAGTGTTTGTCATTTGTTTTCTTTTGATCTGTTCTGTGGATCATCTAAATGGTGCATCTGAGCTTGTGAATGGTTTTGTAGATTGAGAAGACATTGCATGAGATGCGGGCAGAATATGCTGAGGTGAAGGTTGCTTCCGAAAGTAAATTCACTGAGGCTAGGAGTATGATGGAAGATGCTCTAAAGAAGATGACTGAGGCTGATGAGAGGATGCGAGCTGCAGAATCACTGGAGGCGGAGGCCAGTCGATATCACCGTACAGCTGAAAGAAAGCTGCATGAAGTTGAAGAGCGAGAAGATAACCTGAGGAAGAGTATTGTGTCTTCAAAGTTCGAGTAAGCTATTGTTCTATTATTATATTGTGTCTTTCGGGATTGCATAGGTCCTTATCTATGGTCCCCTATTTAATCTCTTAGATAGTTGTAGTTGTTTGCCCATATTCAGGTGGATTATTCTTCCCTTTTTGTGCTCACAATATTGGCAATCATTGCTAAACTGGTTGTGCTTTTGGCCTATGAATATTTAAGTGGGCATCTCTGAATCGATAAACATGATTTTGTTTTGTTATCATCATTCCAGCTTTGAAGCTAAGGAAAAAGAGATCAAGCTTGAGAGGCAAGCCTTATCTGAAAGGCAAAAGGCTTTAGAGCAAATGCATGAAAGATTACTGGAAGGGCAAACGCTCCAGAATCAGAGAGAAGAGCATGTTTTCGATAAAACCCAAGAGTTAAAGAGATTTGAGAAAGAGTTGAACAATTTGAAGTTAAATATTGAGAAAGAACGTCAAGACTTAAATGAAGAAAAAGCTTCCCTAGATCTTAGAGCAAGTTCTTTGTCAGCCAGAGAAGAGGTCACTTTCCCTTTTTATTATGCCAATATATCAATATATTTTTTTACTCATGCAGTTCATTTTTATGCTTTCAGGCTGTTGTCAAAAGAGAAAATGATCTCCTCAAGAAGGAACAAGGGCTACTCGTGTTGCAAGCTAAACTGGAGACTAAAGAATCTGTAAGTTCTCAAAGAAAGGTTGATAGTTTCTTGCTATGTGTTTTGAACTGAAAGCTGAAGTGCCGTTTTTAAATCACTTTATATCTGCTGCAATGATGTTTGATCTGTCTCTTCAACTTTCAACCACCAAGTTGGTTTATCCTTCAAATAATGTTTCGATAATTCTTCTGCATATTAACTGGCATATTGAACACATAGAAATTGTTTTTATCTATGGATTGCCTATTTACACTGTGATTATATAAAAATGTTTACATGTGCCTGGTTGTTTAATTTGCATAATATTGATTATCATTCTTAGTTTCATGAAGGTCTACCAAGCCACCAGTAATCCTTGGGATAACATTTTGATCTTGTTCTGTGGCTTGGTACATTTGCAGGAGAGCACTCAACAGGTAATATCTAACCATGAAGCTACTCTGGCAGTCAAGAACTCTGCTTTCGAGGCTGAAGCTGAAATGAAACGCAAAATGCTGGAAGATGAACTAAATGCTCGGAGGCGGGATTGGGAGTTGAGAGAAATTGACCTCAAAGACCGTGAGGAGTATATCTCTGAAAGAGAACGTGACTTGGAAGTTAAGTTGGGACATCTCAAAGAAACAGAGAAGGAAGCAGAAGATAGGCTGAAGATGGTGGAAGAGAAACAAGAAAATCTCATAGCTACTGAGGAAAGCCTTAGACTGAAGGAAAAAGATCTCAATAAAGAGAAAGAAGAAATCAGCCAGGTAAAACTTGACCTTGAAAAGTATTCTCAATTGCTGGAGGAGAAGAAAAAACATGTTACTGATGCAGAAAAGAAGATAGAGGCCATGAGGAATGAAGCAAATGAATTGATGGCCCTTCAAGTGAAACTTAAGGAAGTGATTGATGTTATAAGTGCAGAAAAACTGGAGCTTGAGGCTGAGGCAAGCCACTTGAAAGCAGAGAAGGCAAAGTTTGAAGCTGAGTGGGACATTATTGATGAGAAACGAGACGAGCTGAAAAAGGAATCTGACCGTATTGCTGAAGAGAGACTTAATGTCTTCAAATTTCTCAAGGAAGAGCGTGACAGCTTACAAGCTGAGAAGGATGCATTGAGGGAGCAGCATAAACGTGACTTGGAATCACTTTCCCATGATCGTGAAACATTTATGAAAGAACTTGAGAGTGAACGTAATGAGTGGTTTGTTAAGATTCAGAAGGAAAGATCTAATTTCGTGCAGGATATTGAGATGCAGAAAAAGGAGTTGGATAACTGCATTGAGAAGAGACGTGAAGAAATTGAGAATTATCTCATGGAAAGAGAGAAGGAATTTGAGAAGGAAAAGGAGAGAGAACTCGATCATATTTCTTCTCTCAAGGAAAGAGCAGAAAAGGAACTAGACCATGTAAACTCTGAAATGCAGAGGCTTGATGCTGAAAGAAAAGCGATCAATTTGGATCGTGAAAGGAGGGAGCAAGAATGGGTTGATTTGAATAACTCCATTGAAGAGCTCAAGATACAGAGGGAAAAATTGGAGAAACAAAGGGAACTGCTGCGAGCTGATCGGGAAGAAATTCTTGTTCAGATTGACACCTTGAAGAAATTGGAAGATCTACAACAGAAACTAGATTCTATTGAGGTACATGAAATGCACCGCGCCCAAATGTTGGAAAACAGTCGGAAGCAATCTGTTAAAAGACATGTTCAAGAACAGAAGGAATTTGTTTTGGATCAAAACGGAAGTTTGGGCAATACTCCTGGACGTAGAGCTTCCTTGGATCAAAATAAGTCATCTTCTCCCCTTTCAGCTCCATTATCATGGCTCAAGCGATGTGCTGATACCCTACTTGACCATGGTCAGAGTAACAAGAAAAGAAAGGCAGAGAAAGATGCAATATCACACGATTCAGAAGAAATGACACCACGGTAATTTCTTCTAGAAACTTAACCCATTATTTGTTCAATATTTGTGATGATGGTTTTCACAGTGCTTTTTTTCTTAGTTTGCATACTCACCTGTTGATTCTTTGTTACAGTTTGCCACAGAAGTCCCAAAAAACGTCTAATAATGGAAGTGCAGCAAAATCCATAAGCCAAACCCTTGCTGATCCAGACAGTGATGTTTTTATCGACAAAGTAATCACCATTCAAGAAGTGACAACAATGAGCAACTATCAGGTGTCTAATACATTCACTGTTGTCTTATTCGATCATTTTCATCATGCTCTGGTTTTCATTACTTCTAGTTCATGATTATGATTTTCTGTAGCAGGAACCTATGCTCCATCCCAATAATGAAAAAATCGAGAACAATGGTGTAGTTGAACTGTAAACTAACAGGAAGATGTGAAAGGATCATCTCCCTATCGATTCCCCGGACATCTTAATTGCTTGTTTGAGTAAAATCTAACTAATATTTCTCTATAGGTAGTAGTAGTTGCTGTTGGTTTTTGTCCCTACAGCTTTGTCGGCTCATAGTTTGTGTGGAGTGACGTCGGATGTCTCTTCTAGGTACTGTGTGTAAATGACACTCGGGCTAACATAGTAGCAGTTGATCGATACCTTGGCTGTGAAGTATCGGAAAACTTTGAGCAATGGATGCTTATTCATGTTCTTACAAGGTGTGCCTTTGAGATTTGTATATTTTGAGGAAATCCTACTTAGAACAGCTTTGCTCTTGTTTGATGATGTGATCTATCTCTCAACCTTTTCTATGAATATTGAAAATTTTAATTAATTAATGATATGATATTGCTGCACAATTTAAAATGAAAGCATAAGAATCAAAATTACATTTTATTGTGTATCATCAATTCTTATTCCATTCCCATTTATATAATTTGTCTACGTGTATGAATGAATCTATTCCTTTATTTATTTATTTATTCTTTTCAGTGATTATGTTCATCTATGTTCTTATACATATAAACCAATGATAAATTTATTAATGAACAAATTGTGAAAATGAAATATTTTTGTGCACTACAATTAAGACTCTAACTTTAGTTGTTACAAATAATAGTTTTTGTGTACACATCCCTTTTTCACAATAATGCTGTTTAGAAAGGAATTACTTTATTTATGACTTAAATAAACTTGAATTTATTCCATTATTGACTGGTTTTTACATATATAAATCACCAAATAGGTTCAGGTTTCAGCAACAACAAACACATACACAGTTGCTGCTCTGCTTCAATTTAGGAACTGTATTGCAATGGAGGAGGTTGGTTTTTCTTTTTCTTTTTCTTTTTTAATTTTTTTTTAGTGAATACTACGTGTAAAATACACAATAGCTTGTAATTATTGACGGAGGACATAACAGAAATGAAGAATTTATTACTATTGCATATATATTTAAGCACGATGGATCGATAAAAAACCATGCATTTTCTAACCTTGAAATTTAATTTCACTATATGTACGTGTGTTTATTTGGCTACAGTTGAAAAATAAAAAGGTCATTTAAAATGATTTTAAATGCTCTTAACATATTATTAGAAAGTATTTCGCCATCTTGCAGGTCTATTCATCGTAGCAACTTTTAGAATTTACTAATCTATTGCTAAATAGAAATTTAGTGTGTTCTTTTTTATGTTATTTATTTAAATAGAGATTGGATTTGATTTTATGTAAAAAAAAAGTAATAGTACTATTATATTTTTCTATAATATGAAAATCCGCAGTCGAAAGTGCGAATAAATAAACTCTTGACCGAACCTATACCTTACATAATAGAAAATGAAAATTAATTCTTTATTTGGTAAAATAACGATTTCAGTTAAGAAGGGTAAAAAAAATGCTGCAAATTGATCAAATAATAATAAATAATTAATCGGACATACTTTCTGTTCAGCTAGAAATTATATATATTTCTATTGAGACGTCCAATTACAAAATCAACATTTTATTAAATGTCTCACTTTTCCGGCAAATACTCTTACTACGTCACATCATTATTTTTACAACAACAAAAAAAAAACAATAAATGTGAAGTATTTAATAAACATTACACTACTTTTATGACATTACACTACTTTTACAACAGATAATAGACAAAAATGTCATTATATTACTTTTAATTAACCACTATAATATTATTATTTGTTAAATATTGCCCAAAAACTAATGTTTATTTTGTATGTGAACGGAGGGAATAATATTTATTTATTTAATTTTTAATTTTCTATACTAGTACAAAAACTTATATATGTAATATTTATTTATATAAAAAAGTATTACAATTAAACATATAGTTCTATTGAAATAATTATATTAAAAAAATCCAAAACATTAACAAGTATATCCAATTTTTTTTGGAGCAAGAACTCACAACAACTCGGGGTATTTTCGTAATTTTCCAAACCTATTTTTAAATTGAGATTAGGATGCACTTCGGAGTCGTGGAACTTTTGAATATCTATACTTTTTTATTTACTAAAATAAAAGTGACATAAATTTAGTGAGGAATCTTTCATTACTCAAAAACCGCTTCGTCGTTTTGGAGAGACGGAAACACACTGGTCAAAGCGAAAGCAAACGAGAAATGGAGAGAGGCCCTGCTTTCGCCGCCCTGAATCCCAATCCTCCTTCCCGAAACCTTGTTTTTGGCCATTTACATAGTTCGCTTCCTTTTCGCCCCGATGGAAAACCCTTTCATTCTCAACCTCTTTCTGTGCAGGTAGTCTTTTTTGGCTGCTTCTTGATATCGGGTCTGCATTTCGTGATAGGGCGTTTGTTTGCGCTTTTGTGACTTTTTAATTGTTTCTTATTTTTAATGAATCTTGAAAGTTTGTTTTGATTTCGGTTTGTGTGGAAACTGGAACGGTGTTGTTTGTTTGTTTGTTCGGTATGGTTATTAAGAAAAATGATTTGTGTGCAGTTGCCGAAGAAACTGCAGTTGGCGGCTCTTGGTAATCACAGCAGAAAGAATGTTAAATCTGTCAGTCTGGTATCTACTGCTAGGTACTTTTTTCTTTTTCTTTTTTGTCCAGGTCGATAAATGATGCACAATCTTAGGGATCCGTGTAGCTTTTTGTTGTTGTTGTTGTGGTTTTCTGATTCTTTGAAACTGGATCGAACTGATTTTGCAGCAATGCGACGGTAGAATTAGCCGACATTGATTGGGACAGCCTTGGCTTTTCTATTATTCCAACTGATTATATGTACATCATGAAAGCTTCTCAAGGAGAGGCTTTTTCCCATGGTGAATTACAGAGGTTTGGAAACATTGAATTAAGTCCATCTGCTGGCATATTGAATTACGGTCAGGTTGGCTTCTGTTTCAATTTCTTAAGTTACATATATATATATATATATTGATTCATGTAAATTTTCTCAAACAAACCTGTAGGGATTATTTGAAGGCTTGAAAGCTTACCGGAGACATGATGGAAATATATTATTATTTCGTCCGGAGGAAAATGCACTGAGACTTCGTATGGGTGCCGAAAGAATGTGTATGCCTGCACCATCTGTGGAGCAGTTCCTGGAGGCTGTAAAAGCCACTGTTTTAGCAAATGAAAGATGGGTAATACTATAGTTTAGAACCATAATCTGTTGAAGTTGATTCATTGTTTGCTCAAAATAGTTTTATAAATTTGAGATCACAACTTCTTCCTTGTTTCCAATTTCAGATTCCTCCAGCCGGTAAAGGTTCATTATATATAAGACCATTGCTCATGGGTACTGGAGCTGTTCTCGGTCTTGCACCAGCTCCTGAGTACAGTTTTCTGATTTATGTTTCTCCTGTGGGCAACTATTTTAAGGTAAAAAATGAATTTTCTTCTGCAATGGCCCATAAAGTTGGTTTATTTATGCCACTTGAATCTATACCCTTTCGGATTATGGATTTGTGCTTCTGTCAGATCCTGCTCTTTACGTGCATATGGTTTGTGACCATAAACCCTTAAAAAATAATGCTATGATCACAACTACAAAGGAACATAATGGCCTCTAAATTGGGGAACTTTGTTATCTTTGACTTTGTATTTCTTGAATAATTTTGTATTTGCTCGATGATAGTGATACCATGTATCTTTTGCATACTTTTGTATTGTTCTTTTGTCTCTAGCGTAATGTGTGTCTTGCAGTTGATTATCTGCTCTGTTTTCAGGAAGGTTTGGCACCAATTAATTTATTGGTTGAGACTGAAATGCATCGAGCAACTCCTGGTGGCACAGGAGGAGTGAAGACCATTGGGAATTATGCGGCTGTATGTGACTCATTTATTCTTTCTACTCTGTGGATTTGTTTAATATAATTTATTAATTGTTAGGAACTTATTTGTTTTCTTAAAAGTATACCATAGTCATTTCTTTCTTTGGAAATTTTAGTTTATGGTTATTTACTATATCCTTTCTGAATAATCAACAAGTTTATGCTCGAATTGTCAAATTTGCTACACTGTTTCTGTTGGCCCAAGTAGGAAATTAGATTCTTCACACCAGTTTATTCTGTGTAGTTTATTTTATCTTATTGGCATCGTACCTTTTGGCTGTGATTATTCTTTGACAAATGTGAGGTTATTCTGATGCACCACTACATCTTCAAATGATCCCTTATAGGTTCTACAAGCACAGAGTGCGGCGAAAGCAAAAGGCTTTTCTGACGTTCTGTATCTAGATTGCGTGAACAAGAGACACTTGGAAGAGGTCTCCTCTTGCAATGTGTTTGTTGTTAAGGTAAAGTATCTTGCAAGTGATTTGAGGAAAAAAAATATAAGAAAAAGAAAAGATAAATTTCAAATTTTGTTACTTCACCTTTCTGAATTCCGTACTTTTCTGTTACTGTCATTGTTAGTAGCATATATAAAGCATCAGAGCCTCCAAAACAGAGTTATTCTGGCTTTCTGTGCTTGCCTAAAAAAGATCATTAAATTTCATTCTTTCTCCTCTCTTATATAATTGTGAATTCCTTTTTACATTGGCCATATTTCATCATTCTAAAAATAATAAAATTTAAAATATACGCACTAAGAATCTCTTTTCTATTTTAATTGTTATTTGTATAGGGGAATATGATATCTACTCCTGCAATAAAAGGGACCATCCTTCCTGGAATTACTCGAAAGAGCATAATCGATGTTGCTCGAAGTCAAGGATTTCAGGTATTAGTCGTTGTTGTTGTTGTGGTGTTTTCTTCTTTGAAAAATATCAAAAGATAAACTGGATGAGAAGTTTTCTTCGGCACTGATCTTACAACTAACACTAAAGCTTTTATTGCAATGTCTTATGTCTAGGTTGAGGAACGTCTGGTGTCTGTAGACGAACTGCTTGATGCTGATGAAGTCTTTTGTACAGGAACAGCTGTTGTAGTTTCACCTGTAGGAAGCATAACATATAACAATAAACGGTTAGCCCAGCACCTAATATTATATTTCTATTTCACGATATACAACTCTCAGACTAAATTAATAGCAGTCATGGTTTTAATCAGCTCTTACATCTTGTTATCCTTGGTACATTGTGTTTCGATAATCAGCTGCATAATGCTGATCCCTGTTGAGGACTGTTTCAAAATTAAACAAAACAATGGATTGAACTGCTTGTTTCAAATATGAAATATATAAATTTGTGTTGGGTGCACATAGAAATGATTTCCATTTTCGGGTCACTCAACTTACATAAATTACTTTGGTGCAGGATAACTTATGGAAGTGATGGAGTTGGCCGAGTGTCGCAACAACTCTACTCGGCACTTACCAGCCTACAAATGGGACTTGCAGAGGATAAAATGGGTTGGATAGTTGAACTCAAGTAGGCGATCTCGTACTATCGATATAATTTATAGTAGGTTTTGGAAATGTCAATCTATGGATCTTTCATTTTTGTTTTGTTTACTGCTTCTCTGACTCTTGAGAAGGCAATAGGCTTTATGTTTCCTATTTATCTTTCATTTCAGATTTTGATTCTGTCACTAATGTAAATTTGGAGATATATATGATCTTTTCTTGTGGGTTATCTTGATATTACTTTTCTTGTAGTTCTCCAACATGCTTATTATAAATAGGTAGATAGATATCTAAATTAGAAAAATAAACCATCTGGTTAATTTTGAGAAATATTTAAGTTAAAAGATATTTTGAAAACACATACTACCGCAACCTTCTCAAGTGTCTAGTGTCAAGTCACTACAAAATAAAATTCACTAGACCAACTGATAATTATTGTATGATTGATTATTCATGAATCCAATAATAATAATAATAATGTTCCTAATTCTTGGGGAGAAAATGGAAGCCAAAATATGAAATATGGGTATGGGAAGTGGACCTAAGTATTGTAATAGATTGAGACAAGAGATCATGTTGCAGTGGCCAAAGCTGTCTGCAACCTGCACCCAAGAGGCCTACCATACCAGGTTTAATGAAGAAAGGAAGACACAAAAAAACCCGGACCCGAACCGGCCCGGCCCGATTACCGGATAGTCAACCAGATATTGGTGTGTGTATTATCCCTTGACTTGCTCCTACCTCACCATGTGACTGCAATGTGAATCCCACATGAACCTTAACTTGCTGCCCCTATATATATATATATATATATATAAATCATACATATCATGATTGATCATATTATCATGTTATTTTGTCTTTTCAATTTCATTAATTCTCGAATGTATTTAATTAATTAATTAATTAATTTGGTTTTAAATTGGTTGATTTGTGTTGTTGGGCCATGGAGACCGGTGGTGATTAATTAACTTGCTCGCACAAAACACCAAATAAATTCAACACTCGAACTTTTTAATTACCTCAAAATCTAGAATATCAAAATAAAATCTAAAACACAAATTAGATTGTGTTATATATATCGATTAAGAAGTGGTGGTTGGTTTGCAATGAAAAATACAAACACAATTATAATATCTCAACTAACGTTTATTCGATGATCAATATATGATTCTGTAATTTATAGAGTGGATTCGTATAGGAATTAATTAAGTAATTCTAATATTGGTGTGCGTACATTGCTGCATGCCACAGTGAATATCCTGTTGTAAGAGAAGACGTATAAAAATATATATATTTACTTCTGTTGAACATCTTCATCATTGCCCACCCATATATATATAGTGGACGTTGCATGCAGCATTTACTTGACGAAAACTGAAAAAGGGTATGGTTCTTGAGAAATAATTATGCAATTTGCACCCTAACCACTATACAAGAAAAAAAAATAATAATAAAAAAGGCAAAATCTGAGATGCAACAGAATCTGAGATTCATATATAAATACAAATTATATGCTCAAGTGATTGTAGAAGCACATGGAGATGGGCATTATTTATAACATATATGCCCAATGCAAGAGACAAAATTCTCGAACTCTCTAGCAAAACTCATTACAATCCTGTTTATTGTTTCTTTAAAAAATGAATATATATATATATATATTCAATAAAAATATAATTATTAGTTTATTAAATGAGTCTTTAACAAACAAAAACGAGTCGAAATTTAAAAGTCCTAAAAATCCTATACATATTTACATATGCAAAACCATATATAAATGCAAGAAAAAAAAATTATATATATTCTTGTTGAAGATACGATATCAGTTATTTCACATGGGAATGGATTATTTGGATAATGTAATTGGAGAAAACAAGTATTATATATATATATATATTTTATCTGTATATATGTAGATGAATAATTATATCAATCATTGGTGCTTGTCATCTTCAGAGATACAATTCTGCAACTGGATTTAGGATTAGCTAATTAATTATTATTTAGGAATGGTCAGAAAATATTCTTGTTGGTCATGCATCTTGTTGCTTATTATTTATTAATTGTGGTGTTTGTTACATTGCATTATGTAGGTGATCATTTTATTATTCTTTTGTTCTAAAGTTGCAAAAATTAGGTAGAAATGTTGTTTCAATGATTAATTCAAGGATTTTCTGCCTAGGACATAATCTAATCTTGTTAAAGAGATATACATTGGAATATTTGGGAATATTTCGTCATCATACATAGTTAAGAAAACAACAAATCAAAGTTAGATATATGAGTATGTATATTTTTTTATATTTCCCATTTTAATATATAATCTATAACAAAGATTAAATCTTTTGTCATAATTAGATGACTTATCAAGAACATTTGCACCCTTCTGTTAGTATCCTTGATTATAAAAAATGGTTTTATTATTATTATTATTATTATTTTTTAAATTTGTAAATAAGGGATAACATTCCATTTCCCTTTAGGCTAATTACTTAAACATCTTTGAACACAAGATCAAGCTTTTCATTAATATGTTCATTGTAGCATATTTCACACATTTGGGCTACATTAATTCTCTTTAATTTTTATTTTAATTTTAATTTTTTCAATTTCTCTACTATATAATAATTCATATTATTTTTTTCTTCTAATACATTACATCTCATAATGCCCGATCGATCGATCGAAGCCCCCGCAACATACATATATATATATATAATTTAATGCCCTGTCAATTTAAGAATTGGGTCATCTTAACATTGATCAAGGCACACGTATGAGCTATGACATAGTTTTGATGTTTTCAATAACTAATAATGTCATTAATTAAAGAAGAGGTCGAACAAATGGTGACGTACAAAGAGATTAAAGCAGTGCAGACACTTGTTTAAATGCTGAGTGTAATCTGATCAATTAATTTATTAATAAATTAAATTAAGTTAGTATAGATATATAATGTTATGTGAATGAAACGAAAACGCGTTTGCTGGTTTAATCATCAACAACCACTTTTCGTCGTTACCAATGATAGATATTGATCTTTTTGGACACATAATCAGACTTTTCTTGGTCTTGATTTTCGAAGAAATCTGGGGTTGACAAATTGTATTGTACGTATGTATTTACGACACACACGCTTTTATCACATTAATTACTACTTCATCCTCGTTACCCAACTCTGCTCTTAACACCTGTTTCTATCAACTTATTTAATTAATTACTTAATTAATCACTTTCTTAAAAATATATATATATATATATCATAAGAACACTAATTAAGCATTGTTCATCGACTGTTTATGAATGAAGTGAAGAGTTCCATATAATTAGTTAGATGAAACAAATATTTAATCTGATAATATTAGAAAAAAGTATTAACAATGTCAAAATTTTCAAAATGAATATAATCATAGTCCTGTGATGTCTTGCTGTATGCTCATATATATACAAATATATATCTATTATATTTATGCGGCGGCAGACAACACACAGTTAATGGTCGGCTATTGGACAAGCAATTTGATTTGTATTATGTTTGAAAAGTTTGCCGACGTTGAGAAAACGTCGGCAAGCTAGGCAGCTCTCCGACCGACCAACTTCCACGTATGCCGTCTGAAATCTGACCCGACCCGACCTAATCGGATCGGACCGGATCCGTTTAACTTATCGGGCATGCATTGTGCTCAGCTATTTAGCTGATGATGTGATTATTACAGTATCATGAATTGCATAAAAAATGATGAAAGACATATAATTATATTGCTACAATTGATTTGATATATGTAATGTTTACGCTGTAATTTGGTAATAATACATGATTAATAAAATTAATCATAACAAATTGAATGATTATCACTTCACGTCCATGTACGTGGACAGAGTGCGAATCGATCCTCTCTCTTTTTCTAACCAGAGAGCTGTGAACAACTCCAAATTTATAAAAAAAAAAAAAAAAAATGGGTAACTCAATAGGTATGATTGAGTTAAAAATTTTGGAAGAAGAGAATGAATGGGTGGCGCGCGTCGACAGACACCCCGCCGGCGGCGGACTATCGTCTACCGTTCACGTTCACGGTCGTGAAACGACGACGAGAGTCGAAAAACCCATTTCGTGAGCGCCTTTCTCGATCTGGAATTCTTGGTTGAATCATTCCTGGAATTAATTCGACTGGAATTGATGGAATCGACGAACACTTTGATCCGTTGGATGGCGAGGTTGAGCGTGTCTTCGGACATGTTGGCGAAGCAGACACGGAACCATCCAGGTTCCCGGCAATGGCAGGAAGATCCCGGCGAGATATTCAGTCCGACGTCGTACACGATTTTCTTCCACAAATCCATTTCAGCTTCGAATGTATTGGAGGTCAGAAGGTGTCTCATGTCGACCCAGCAGAACAGGCCGGCGTTGCTCTCCAGGCAGGGGATGCCGGCGGCGGTTTTCAGGCCGCCGACGAGCATGTCGTGGCGGGCCTTGAGGCGGCGGCGGTTCTCGGCGATGTAATTTCTGGCGAATTTGGCGTCGGAAAGCATGGCGGAGAGGAGGTACTGAGTTTGGGAGGAGACGAGGCCGAAGCTCGACATTTTGGTGGCGGCGGCGACGACGAGGGGGTCGTTGGAGTATATGGCTCCGACCCGGAAACCCGGGAGGCCCAGATCCTTTGACAGGCTGTACACCACGTGGACGCGGTTCCACGTGGCGCTGCTGACGTGGAAGTTGCGGCTGGCGAGAACTTCGAGGACGCTGACGAAGCTGGGGGAGTCGAAGACGGTGCCGGAATAGATCTCGTCGCTGATGAGGTGGACGCCCTTGGCGTCGGCGAAGTCGACCAGGAGGTTCAGCTCGGCCCGGTTCAGGGTGATCCCGACCGGGTTCGATGGGTTCGTCACCAGGACGCCCTTCACTTTGAGGTTCCGTTTTTGGGCCGATTTGTAGGCGTCTTCCAGAGCCGCCGCCGTGATCCGGAACCCGGTCGAGCTGCTGCACTGAATCGGCACGATTTCGACTCCGGTCCGCCATTTCAGGTCTCGGTCGAAGCTGCATTGGTAATTTGATTAATTAATTAATTAATTACTATAAATATTTATTATTAATTATTAATTGATTAATGTTAAAAGTTATTAATTCTTACCCAGGGTAGTATGGGGTGGGGAGGAGGAAGGCCTCGCCGGGCTCAGCGAGGCAGAACATGAGTGTCTCGTTGGCTGACGTGGCGCCGGCAGTGAGCACCAGTTTGTTGGGGTCAAAGTTGACTTTGTTTCCTCGGATTTCTGCCATGAATTGCGCCAGTGCCTGTAAGAAAATTTTCAATTCAACTTGTTAGATATATATAAACAAATTAATTATAAAAATAGGGTGGTGCATGGTGCTTACATTCTTGAAAGCAGGAAGACCATGGTAATCCTGGAAAAGAGCAAGCTCCCTGAAAATGGAATCTCCATTTTTCTTGAAGCTGGCGGCGTCGGGGTTTTCTGCCAGCCATGATTCCAGCAGATCGAACGACAGCTGCATATAGATAGATACATAATGGGATTAGATTAAATTAAATTAATCATAATTGAATTGATTTGATTTAATAAATACCTGATTCTCGGCAAGCCCCATCTGGATAATCCCGTTGGGGTTTCGAACCTCATCGTAGGGGTTCTTCTCGTACTCCTGCCATCCCAGGAAGTAGGAAGAATCTTGGCCATGAGAATTACAGGTAGCCTTCTTCGACAGCGTCATTTTTCCTGATTCTTCGATCGATCCTGAGACACTATTAATTAATTATTACTCACTTAGCTTTGCTGCTATATATATATATCAACAGTTGAAATGACGTCAAAAATCCAGTGCTCGCAGGTTTGTAGCTGGAGAGAGAAATATGTGTATGAATAATAATGTAGTAGGAGAGAAAGAAGACTGGAGACTTGTGAGAATTGTTATGCAGCGACGTGGGTATATATACATATTCAGAGAGAGAAAGAAGAGAGAGAGAGCAGCCTGGCAATTGTAAAAAAAAAACGTCACGTCAGGTGTCCCAGTATGTTTCTTACTCACTGAAGCTCATTTCTTTCTAGATAAATAAATATATATATATATATATCATTTTATTTTACTTGGTCGTTTTCTAAGGTTTGGTTTTTGTATGGCAACCAACATTCATCAATTTTATTTATTTATTTATTTCTCAAATTATCAAATTAAATATATATAAACTTTTAACTCCAGTCAAATTCAATCCTTTTAAAAATACCTTATTCTCATCGTTATTTTAAAGAACCAAGCAGCCGTGTATTTATTTATTACAGTGAGGGGTATGGTAAAAAACCAACAGTTAAAAAGGAACAAAGCCCATACACAACCGGGCCTACAATCGTGGTTTGGTCCAAATATTTCCCGCCCAGATGGGCCCATCTCTTACTTCTTTGTCGACCGTTACCCTTCCTTTCCTTTTCAGTTATTTTCATTAATAAAATTTCCTCTCGTAAGTATTAGTATTATTTATTTTTATTTATCCTCCCAAAATTAAATTTATTAATTAATTAATTAATGCAATAACCCAAAGTCAACTCCTTGTGTTCTCCCCTTTTCCTCTTAACGAATTGACTGTTCATATTTTGGCCGCCTAATAAAAGGAAAGTAAATTTATATACGTAATCGTGGTTTTTAATTATAACGCTTTTGGATATTTCTAATTAATTATTAGAAAACCAGTGACTCTGCCGTTAGTATTAGATATTATTTAATTTAGACCAAGGATTTTCTTTGTAATAAAGTAGTAAACCCATAAATATATAAATAAGAGAACTCAAAATATAATAACTGAAATTTGGTTGGTTAGAATAAAATATATCATAGTAGGTGAACATTAATGTGTGATCTAGGGGAAGTCTCTGATTTGGAGGGCCTGATTTTTGTTCTAATTGATTTTTTAAACCCATGAAATATAAATTTAATAAGCTCGAATTAATTATTATATCTCTCTCTATATGGTATGATGAAATTTCTCCATAAATGCAAAATCTTCCAAGGGTGATATGGGAATCTTGTAGGTTTCATAAATTATCTTTCCTTATTTTTTAAAAATAATTTAATAACATATTGAGAAAGCTAGACCCATATATAACTATATATATATATATATATATTATATTGTGTGAGTTATAATAAACCCTAAATGAAAAGTGAAGATAATTATTAATTATATTATGATATTAAATAGTCAAGGCGAGCTAGCAGATCGAATCTTTAACTTTAAAAAATTCAATGAAAAGGTGATTTTATTTGATTTTCCAAATCGATGAGAAATTAGACGCCGATTTGGGGAATAAATTATAGTATTAATAAAAATAAAATAATAATAATGGAATATATATATATATATATATCGATTTTGTTTGTTTGTTTTGAATTAGATCGATCCTAGCTATCCAGCTAAATCCTTGGTCAGAATATTTTGGTTGTATTTGTGACTTGTGTGTTTTTGTTAAGGTGGTAATTAAAAGGGACAAGAATTGTATTTTTGTGTGATTGATTTGATTGAGGTAGGATTAGATGACACTGAATTTGCAGACATGGTTACATTAACCATGGTCTTGTGTTTAGTTAATTTAATTAATTATATATTGACTATTGTATAAGCTGACTGTAATGTAATATATATATATATACATTACATGATCATTCATTCATGTCTTTTTCTGCCTAACCACACAGAGGCAGAGTTGATAGGTTGATTCAACCCTTTCTGACTTTGCAATGGACACTCGTCGACACCTGGGACTGGGACAATAACGTTCATCTATCACTCTAATTAAATATGGTGTCCAAGTATTTTTAAATTTTGAGTGTATTTACTATAGTAAAATAAATAAATAAATAAAAATAGTTTACTGATGTAATATATAAAAAAAAAAAAAAATATTGAAGTTCAATGTAATATTTTTATTAAGAAGTGATTCCAAACTCTAACTTAAAATCAATTGGTATTAAGTGAAGTTATCATTCATCACTCAGTCAACAATTCTAATGAAAAATACAAATTTAATATATACTCCCTCCGTCCCACAAGAAGAGCGTCGTTTGTTTTTTTTACATAAATTTTTTACTATTAGTATTATAATATTAGTATGCAATAAAAAGACGAAAATACCCCTATTAGTATGGTATGTTATAAAAGTGATGACATTTGTGTAATATATTATAAGTTGTAAGGGTATTTATTATGTTAAATAGGTAGTACAGTTACTAAATTAGGAAATGGTATCCTTGTTTTGAGACGAACAAAAATAGAAAATGGTATCATTCTTATGGAACGAAGGGAGTATTCCATTTGTTATAAAAATTACAAACATAATATTACATATATACTTACTTTATACATAAAATCAAGTAAAAATATCAAAAAATCTTATACACCCTCACTAACTAATAAACAACTATTATTTCTTAATCTATTAAAAAAAACCCCAAAGAGTCCATTTGATTAGGGGAGTATATCTTTTATCTTTTTACAAAAAGTTAATATTTAGTATGAAATACTCTCTCTGTCGGTTATAATTTTCTTAGATTTCATTTTTTTTGTCTATTAAACTTATATACAATTCATTTATAGAAAATAATTTTATTATCTCTATTTTAACAAATAATAATCAATTCATCACTATGTTTTCCTTTCTTTTTTTTTTCTACTTATCATATCACACTTTTTTTTTTTTTATCAAACTTGTAATATATTTTCTACAATACATTCACTTTACTTTTTATCTCCCAAATTTTTATATTAAAATATCATTATGTGTTCCTTTTGATTTGCAGGGTTTAAAAAAAATTGTGTGAAATATGAAATAATATATAATGAGATATTTTTTGAGAAATATATATATATATTTTCTTTTGAAAAAACATAGAATCAAAATATTAAAATTTGGGGGTTTGAGGTACACCCTAATCTCCTTACCCAAACAAAGTGGCATAAGCATAATATACGTATAAAATATAATTTTTTATATTATCGACATGATTTCTTATATATTACATAAAAAAAAAAAATACATTCAACCAAAACACTAAACAAACAAACCCAATAAAAAATTAAACACTCTAACATCGGATGAAAGGAATTTATATATTAAAAAACAATTATAAAATAAAATAATGGTGAAAGAGTAATGTCTTAAGCATATATACATACTAAATGTATATATATAATTTATCCAAAAATGAAAAATTAAAAGATCGAAGTAATTGAATAAATTAAAGAAAGGAATGCAATATTGACTTTGTTGAGGGTGGACCATTATATGTACAAAATTTTCTTGGCCTTTCCTATCTATATATATATATATATATTATTGAATAGTATTTATTATATGTGTTATATAGGCATATGGGACTTTTAATTCTATTCACATGTAGAAAACCGAGCAAGAAGAGCACATGCACGTTCCTTGTCAACCCACAAGGCCAGACCCATATACATACATTTATATATAAATATATATATATATCAAGAATATGAAATGATATATCCCATTAATAAAATTATTATATATATATATATATTAACTTGCATTTATATATATGGCCAATTTAATGTATCTCTAAAATTGTTTCCACCATCCCTTCAACAAATTATTTATGTCATAAAATTAATTATTTAAGGCAGAGAACAAATATATACACTGATTTCTTGCAACATAGGGTAGCTATAGTCATTAATGGAGGGAGTGATCCATTTTATTAGATCATATGATCATAGTACACAATCAATGATTATTTGAGGGAGGGCCACGTGGCTTGTTGTGGGAGGGGTGATTAGGGCATGTGAAACCCTTGTCTTAAGTGCCCCCACCCCCCACCCCCACCCCCCAAAATGTATGTATAGCATTGAGGAAGAATGGAGTTATGGAGCTTTAGGATATGATATATATAGTCACTTGCTTATGTTTACGTTAGTGACAAGTAACATGACTACCACACTTAACTCCATTCCTTACAAATTACAATAATATGTACATATATCCATGGACCCTTTGCTCCCTCTTTTTTATTCAACTAGGTCCCAACTCCCCCAATATATATCATTTTTTATTTTTCTATTTACCAATCAATTATTTACTATATATATATATATATATATATATCGAGCATGTGTCATTGATTATGATGCTTGGTAGTAATGGTTGAAAAGAAATCAAATTGCAGTATTGTCACTTTCTAAAAGCCAAGTTGGAGGTCATGGGAATTAATTAAGTAATTATATATATATATATATATACTTCAAGCTAAGATATTTACGTAGTGCATGGAAATTTTGAAGTCAGCATGCATGAAAGCAAATATATACTAAACTAATTCTGAAGTGGTTGACGTGTGACTACCAAAAGTCATGCAAGACACAAATTTAATTTAATTAAATCAAACAAGGAAAGGATCCATATAGGTGTTTAAAGTCAAATTAAGTACGTGTTGAATTTAATTTAAAGTCAATATATATAACCTATATTTAATAGTTTAATATATTTTCGGTGTCGTGAATAATTTAATTTAACCAAAAAAAAAAAAAAGCTCAAGTATATATGGTTGTGTTCCGTAAATAATATTAATATTAATAAATAAATAAAAAAACCATACTGGTTTTAATTTAATTTTAATATCATATCAGTCTAACATTAATAACAATTTTCACATTTGAATGTTAAATAAATATAATATTGCCATTTAATATTAATTCGCAACAACTTTTTCAATTTCCAAGAAATAGTGGTCCTATGGTTGAATAAGATTTTCAACAACTTTTACTTAATAGTGCAATGCAGGGCACAATTAGTTGTCAATATGGACACTACCATGCAAGTCATTGTATTGAAAAATAATACTCCATATTCACCAAAACAGCTCAAAGCCAATATGACATTTATTAAATATTAGTAAATCATAAATTAAATTATCTGTCAAGAGGTAACAATATATTCCAGAAATTTAACGTCAAACCTAATTTATTTGGTCTCAACTGCCCCATCAGTTTCAGTTTCAGTTTCAGACAGGGCCCCAATTCAGAATCTTGGCCTTATATATACTGACCATATGATATGCCCAGAAAAAAATTTAAACAAATTAACTATATATATATATATATATATATATTGCAACACACAAGAAATTAGAAAGACCATAACAGGCAGTCTTCAGCATTAATGGTAATAATCATTTTAATCAATTTCTGACGTGTACGTACGATATTAATTCTGGCAAGAAATTGTGTCATCCCAGGTGGAGAAATAGCACGAGTTTATGTCGAACAAATTTGTAGATCAAGAAAATTGATTTGAGGATAAATAATAATGATAATAACCCATGTTGGTGTTGGTGTTGCCACAGAACAGAAATGGCATAATGTTGGTTGCCTGATTGAATTGCTGATGAAAAGACCCAGCTGGGCATTGTGTAGCAGCTACTTGCCAATTTTGCCACCTTCAAGAAACAATTCAGACATTAATTTCCTATGAACTAAATCAGTAAACAATCAAAAATTGGATAATATAATGATCCCCCACTGCTCAGCACGCCATGTTCTTGTGTCTCGACATGATATGATGTTCCAAAACCAAATCAATTTTGTTGATCAGGAAGAACAGCAGCTATGGCTTCAGTCGTACATCCTCTGCTTGACGACAGCGGCGGCGGCAGCTATCTCGTTGTTTTCTGTGCGCGGCGGGCGCCACTTTCGATTGAAGATGTTCCTTTCCACTGCTTTACATTGTCCCAATTTCTCGTCAATTACCTCTAGCAATTCTTGCAGCCCAACTCCAGTTACCGCAGACACTTTGACTGGGCTGGATAGAGATCGAGAATCGTGGGAATCTACGCTACGGTCCACTGATATCTCATATTGTTGATGGTTCGCCATATCACGTCCTGTGGAGTGAATATTGTACTCGAACAGAGAGTCTTGTTCATCCTCGCCTGAGAGCCAATCGTCGGCACAATCAACTTGTTCGAGATAGACACCATCTTCAAGATTCTCGGAAAGCTCAGTTTGCATATCTTGTTCATTCTCAGCCTGATCAGTTGTCACGCAGGCTGCAGAATCAAATTCTTCTTCTTCTTCTTCTTCTTCTTCTTCTTCTTCGCCTGTGAAACTGCTGTCACATGGTCCACCTCTGTCGAATTCCTTATCCAGGAGATCAACCTTAAAGATTTTGGAGGAACCGACAATTCAGCACTCAATTTCCCTAGCTTTTCTTACATTTCCGGAAAGTAAACACAAAATGAGGTCATGTACCTTGTTCCAAACTTCAATCATGTTCCGGAGCCTGTCCTCTGACACGCCTATCTTCACAAGGACTTCCATTACAGATTTACGGTGTTCATCGAGATTTGGAGCACTCGAGTCCAGCACATGCTGCAACATTTCAGAAACTGTTAAACATCTTGAATTACACCAACTTTGGATCACAACAATAACTATGGCACTATCAATTCATACCAAAAGCATGTCAGCTTCAACGACCTCTTCTAAAGTAGCGTGAAATGCTTCTACAAGCTGCGAAATGAAATTTCAGTCACGTCACATACTGCATGAAGACAAGAGAATATATTTGCCGCTAAGTGCTGAAAGCTACCTGAACAGGCAAATCTGAGATGAACCCAACTGTATCACTAAGGAGCACTTTCCTCCTAAATATTAAGCATTCGATTAATAACAAGACGGGGAAAGCTTACCAAGGTAGAAAGAAACATTTATAAGGTTATAGTGCAAAAAGTATTACCCAGACGGAAGAATCACGCTGCTTAATTTTGGATCGACTGTTGCAAACAATCTGACAAGAAGAAAATAACATTGTAAGGTACCAACCATTGGATGAGCTCTCGAACACACGCATGTATAGAAATCAATCCGAGCAATGAGATGCAGAGCATAAGAGCACCGAAATTTAATGACTTGCAACAGAAAGGACTCCCTTTCCTTTGCCTTACCGATCATCACAATACATATAGCTGTTTGATAGTGCACTAACTAATGTAGACTTTCCCTGAAAGAAGTCAAAAAATGGATCGTGAATTAATATTATGCTGCATCAGTTGGAAGTATGTAAACATGACTATGAGCCACCTACAGCATTTGTATAGCCAACAACAGCAACTGTAGCAATTTCTTGCCCTGGCGCCCCTCCCTGTCTTTTTCGAGCTGCACGTTGCATAGCTCGAGTCCTCCGAACATCTTGGATTTCAGATAATAACTTCTTTCGTCGATCCAATATTCTAAAACAAAAAAATAAGTAAAATGAAATTCTCATCAACTATAAAGTTTGACAAACAAATACTTCTATGATGCATTCTCAGAATCACAGGATTTTCATTTTTTTTTATCTATCCATAAGGTCACTGCTCATTAGACTTATGCCCCCGTAGATCCTTCCAGAGCAACAGCCCTGATGCATCCAGATAATTTTGAAAGCTATCAACATGTAATGCGGGAGATGGTAAAACTATGGGTGGGTAATATTGTCAATAAAGCATCTACAATAGAAGATTTATGTAATGTCTTCGACCAATTCAATTGGCAAGGGTGAAGGGAAGGCATGGATAGGGTTATAAGCTGCATATATTTCATGGCATTCAGTTAATATAAGGAATTCAAGATTGCAAGTACAAAAAATGACAGTTTCCAAAATAGTAACACAGAAAACATAATTCATGAAGAGTAAAAAAATCACTCCAAGTGGCAAAAAGTACAAATATTACTTGAAAAGCCACAATCTGTATACTAAATAATTAGAAAAGACCTCCGCCGTTGAAGCTGAAGTTCAGTTTCTCCAGCACCACTAATGAAGCCACGCCCACCACTTCCTCTCCTGTAAACCAATACGGTATACATAATCAACATAATACCTAAGTGATTATAGTTAGAAGTAAAAATAGTTAGAAGAATTTTCGGAAAGTAGTGTATATCATACACATTCATTTAAATAATTAGGAACTTTATGATTGGTAAATATACTTGCCCTCTAGCACTAACAACTTCAGCTTCTGCAGTACCACCAAATGTATAACGCCCATCAGGACCGCGAACTCGTACAAGCCTACTTCTTTTGTACATAAGAGCTGCTAATTCAGCCTGTAATTTTTTTTTTCAAAAAAAAATGAGTCGTAAAAATGCTAAACTCATTAGTTTAGCCAAACAGGAATAGGACAGCAGATTACAAGATTACCTGCAGTTTGGCTTCCTTTGTTTGAGCATGAGCATTAAAGATCTCTATTATAAGTCCAACACGATCTAGAACAGGTTTACCCCAGGCCCGCTGTGAAGCATGAACATATGGAATCAGCATAATTATTACTTTCACAGTAAGCCGACAATATATATATATATATATACATATATTCAGATAGATAAATCACACTTCAAGATTCCGTTGCTGAACACCACTGAGGATAGCATTCACAAAAATAGCGTCTACTCCATCCTGTCCATAGAATAAGAAAAATGAAAAGTTTAATCCATTATGTTCACAAGATTGATGAAATGTTCCAATGAATTGCTACAGAGTTCAAACATTACATTCCTACCTTTGAGTCCAAATCATATATGTTGCACTTTACATTGTTCACCGTCCCAATTCCAAAATATGTGTCTGTGAAATCATTAGATGTAAATACAAACCCTAATGCAGTCGACAAGGCTTCAACAAGTGCAATTGCTATTACCATTATTTGTAATCTAAACTCAAAAATTAAAAGATAGAGAGTCACATTGGAATCTAAGTTTTCAATTTTCAGGACAGCATATGAAGAACTACAAAAAAGAGTCTAAAACCAACAAATGTTAAAAACAGTATGCCCTAATAAGCTTAAATTATATGATCATTTAGGCTATGTAATAACAGAAATATTATATAATCATTAGAAGGAAACATAGCAACAGAAGAAACAGTAACAAGCAGGGATAAAATGATGAACCTGCCCGAGGTGATTTGGCTGCAGGGTTCTGAACTACAAGATGAGGTGGCATATCCTTTTCCAAAAAGTCGGTCGCATAAAACCCATCGCGCTGTTGTTCAAGAGAATTGGCAAGATTCAACGCCTCCTCAAGCTTCGACTTCAAATGGGCTTCGGGTCTGATCCTGGGCTGTATCACGAAAAGCCTGGGCGGGGCATCGGGATCGCCGTTGCATTCATCATCTTCCTGATCAACGTGCTTTCTCTGTAAAATTGGCGAGCTGGAGAAAAAATAAGAAAAAGGAGGAAACTGCGAAGGAAGTCTTGAGGGGGCTGATGACGATGATGATGAACAAGGGTTTAGCAGCGGCATTAACAGCGACTTCAGGGAAAGCTGCGAATGCAGCTGCCGTATGGTTCTCGCCATCTGGTACTGATTCCTTACGAGCAGTGAGCGAGGAAAAAAAGGCCAACAGTTCAAAACGCGATCAACTCAACCGCGTTGGTTTCCGGCGATGCATCAAATCAAGAAGGCAACAAAAGAAAAGAGTCCGCCGACCAGAAACACGACTTTCATTTATTGCGCGAAATCGTGTTTTCTGAAACGACATCAGCAGTGCATATTTCTTTATTGGGGTGATACTAATAATAATAATTTTTTGTTCATCACACAGTTAACTTCTACTAGGAATAAAATTTGTTGATACTCTCAGCGCATAAAATTAAAGGAAGATTGAAGCCATGTTCTCTTTTTTTTCCCTTGGGTAATTTTAGTGGTGCAATGGAGCTCGAATTGAAGAGTGTAATTTAAATCAATATAATTACCTAAATACAGAATACAATCGTTGCAACATGACAAATTCCCACTTTTGAGGAAGGTAAGCTTCTACCAAAAACAAAAATTAATCATCCATATATATTACTATTATGAAATGGAAAATTCGCCATCTCTGTCCTGAGCTTTCCTCTTCATCCCAGCCTTTTGTGTCCGCTTTGGCCCCTGCAACAAGATGACTTTGTTAAGATTGCACCCACCAAGCTCTTCTCAAATCTAATAAATATGATTGACAATGGATCATGTACCCAACATACAGACTCGTATTAAGTCACATATGACAAGAAAATGATTTGGAAACTACTAGCATGCTGTGTGGTTTTGACAATTGAAGGTGATGAGTCAAATCTATCATCTACCAACAGGGCTTCATCGGGTGTCATAATGAATTTTCCATTAAATAAAGTTGTTGGGGAAATAGCAAATGCACAAGATGGACTAAATGGTCAGAATGAAGAGTATAATAATTTTTACCTCAGCAGAGAATGTTTTCAGAGGATCCCGACTTTTTTTGGACTTCCCTCTAGATCCTCTATGGGGTTTACGGTTGGGATTTCCCATGGCTGCTCTAGCTAGCTTTACGATCTTGCTAGCTTCCTTTGTAGTTGGGTCCAATAAGTACTCAGGCACATCACGTAGGTGGGGAGCCGGGGCTTTCTTGCTAAGTACTTTGTCATGTTTCAACAGGTCTGTTTAAATGCAGGCAGCAGTGATACAGCAATTGTTAAATATTTAGAAAGTTTGATATGGACCCGACAGAGCATTGATATGATTCAAGTATATTCTTACCTAAATCCCTCGGGTTATCTTGAAAATGAGCTTTTAACCTGCAAGAAGGAAATGACCAAATCCCATTAGAAGATTCAACAAAATGTCAAGACTACGACTAAGAACCTCAGTATTTCTTTCAGAAGTCCTTGCAAGGATAACTCACTTTTCAGAATTGAGGATTTCATTCCTTAGATCTTGTGCTCGTGATTCCCTCACTGCAATTTTTGTTACACTTCTTGCAACATCCTGGAAATAACAAAAGATAGAGTTTATGCAGTGTAGTGTTTGCCCTAAAAACTAAACTCAAAACAGTTCATGTTAGCCACTTAGTAGGCAAGAACCCAATACTTATAAAGTTTTTCATCATCTCTCACTACAGAAAATAAAGAGCCAGGCACCGCAGAAAATATCATCTTTAAGTTATGCAGCAAATTTCATATCTAGTAAATCATAAACCGCAAGCAACATAAATTTGTGCACCCTCAAAGAGGATAGATGTCTGTTTTTCAGGCATGCAGGAGAATTATGAAACCCCACCCACAGAACAGGTTTGTTTAAAAGCAGATGTTTGGTGGTTTTGATTTGAATAGTAAAATCTTGAATTTAATAGTTGTTTGATATGATGTTTTGAATATAAAATTAATATTTAATATAATATAAAAACTAAATATTTAATATTTAATTTGATGTTTTTTAAGGGAAAAAAATTGTGACAAGTGGAAAACATAGAGAATTGAATTTACCTCAGCTCTATACCGTAAGGACTCCACAGCATTCTTTGTAAGCAGAGGGAATGGAGCAATAAATTTTGAATCCTCACTGTCGTTTTCACCCAAAACAGATTTGATCTCTTCAAAAATTTCCATCTCCTCAGGAGAAACCTATTCCAGGAGTAAGAACAAATCAAACAATGAGCATTTTGCACTGTGTTGGGAAAAAAAAAGGTTTTAAATACTCAATCAACCAGCTGTTTGAGTTTTATGGGGAGAAACTAGAATTACAGATTAAGGATCTTACTAGAGAGACTGATGCACCAGTGTTGTATGCCCTTCCAGTACGTCCAATGCGATGCACATAACCAGCTGCAGTTTTAGGCATATCAAAGTTCACTACCTGGAAAGAGTAATATCAAGCACGTATGAGGTATAAATGCCAATTACATAAGTATAATAAATAAATCATAAAATAATGATCCATATGAAAAGCATGCGAGTATAGAAAAACCATTCCTAGGAACTAAACAAAACGTTGAAGTTAGAAATAAAAGGGAGGCAAATGTGACTGGCTTGTCAGGAGAACTCATACATTCATAAATAAATTTCTGAGATGACTGTAGCTGGAAGTGAGGTTAGATATTTCAAGCAAATAACCTTTGCGGGTGAGTAGTTGAGCTTATATTGTTCTATAGGCAATCCTGGAATTCTCAACATTTACAATTGCAAGAATATTGGACATGTACATTTCTTGCACCAAATGAAAAAGCAGAAAGTATTTAAAACTAACCAATAAGGATTCACCACATCGTAAATGTTAGCTTATACAAATTCTGTAACAAACTTATAACCTCTTTAAGTTCAACCAAAATATGGATTTTTTCTTCTAGTAGCAGATCCCACATGACCTCACAATATTCAAGTTTCAATAAATCCACACTTTAACTGCTCCAAGTAAAATTAGGACAATATATTTCAATTTTAAGCCATTTCAATTAATTGTAGTCAAAAGAATAACCCAGATATAACCGGATAGGTAGCAAGCAATTTGACAACTACGGGAGAACAAAACTGAAAAAACAAGATTAAAAACCTGCACCTTCAGCAGATATGGACTCACCGTGTGCACATTTTTGAAGTCTATCCCTCTTACTACACCAAATTCTGCATCAAACTTCTGTTTGTATTTCTTCTTAGATTTTTTTGTAGCAGCATGACTTTGTTTTGGATTCTGCTCTTCTTCTGATTTACTTTCATCCGTCGCGATAAGATAATCAAAAAGCCCAGCATTGAATTGCTATTTGAAAAGTTAATAATGAGTCCAAGTAGATATACCAGCACGTGAAATAAAACTTTGGATCAACAAACTTCAACAAATTGATATTTAATCAAGTACCTCGAGAATATGTAGACGTGAGTTTTGAGGGAGTTCGGAATTTAAAACAGCAGATTTGATTCCAAACTGAAAGATCATAACAACAATCAGGGTCATGATTCCAAGTTCATGGAAAAAATATAACAAGAATTATGCCTCAGCTAAAATATATATTATATCCTCAGAACTTGTGCAGAGTCTTTACCCATCCAGGGAAAGCACATCTAATACAAGATAAACGCCTCAAAAAGGCACATTAAATAACTAGAATAAGAAAGCCAATTCCCCAGCTTAAATTTGGACTGAATTAAGAGATATCAATCCAACATAAAAATAATCCATATTGCACCTAGGTAACTAAAAATATAGAAACTTCTTTAGTGCCACTGAAAAATAAAATAAAATAGAAGATGACAGGCCTATCCTTGTACAGTTATCTAATCAAACAACTTTACCTGCTCGAGAAACAGCCTTAACCTAAAACTCGTGTCAGTTGAATTAGCAAAAATCAGCACTTTCTTTTGAATGAGCTCCAGCTTCAAAAGGGCAAGTATATGTACAAGCTTGTCTCCGGCACTTGATGAAATCTTCATAAAAAATATATATATATATATATATCAACGCAATAGAAGCTTATTGTTCATTACAAGAAACACTAAATTTGTAATGAGATATATGTGAAAAAATACTTCTGTCAACAACATCAACAACATTAAATGGCCGATCTAGGTAGAAAGTACTATGTGAAATTCTAATGTACAGGAAAACTTACATAAAATTGTTGAACATTTTTGGGGATGATATCATCCTTTACATTTCCCACCTCAGGTAATGTTAGAATGTAAGGATTATGCAACATAAGCTTTTTCAGCTTTTCAACATCAGCACTGCAAAATATCCATGAAAAGAGACTTCAGAGCTCACAATTACTAGTTCTTCATTCACCCAATTGTTAGATATAAATATATGGACAAAATAAATAGTTTACAAACACACATACATGAATGCACACAGTGTTGGTCTCGTGGACAACGTACATTAAGCATGCATCAAAAAAATAAAGATCAAGTTTGGGATTTGTATGTGCACACATTTAACATTTATAGCCATCACCTTGAGGGTAGTCAAGCTGATGAACATATAGATATTAGCAAATATAACCATAAAAAGGTTGTAATGATTACAAAGTAATTATCGCCACCTTGAAGTAGCTGATATAAGAAGGCATTGGCAACGCTTCGGAATATGTGTTGTCAGTGCTTTTAGATCTCCCTCATATCCAAATGACAAGAGTAGATCTGCCTGTGTTATTTACAAATAAAAATTTAAAAATTAAATTTAAATAAATACCATTGAAATCATACAACTATCATACAGCCTAAGCATATAGAGCTATGAAAAAGTGCTAAATTCCTCTTACATGCTTCATGCCAATTGACAGTAGCGTACAAACAAAACTACAGATACTATAGATACCTCAAATTATTATTTCAGAGAAAATTGAACATATTTTCCCTAGATTATATAATAAATTGTATCCATAATAAATCTAGATCCATATCAATTCAACTTTCTATGTCAACAACTTATAAGAATCTGAATTATTACCCAACAATTAAACTAGCATCTTACTGTAATGAACTCAAAAACATTGAAAGGAGTATAATATGATGATCGACACCATGTTTTCAGTATCCAGGATGATACAAATATTATATATTATACACATACTGACATCCGACTAGATTTGGAAAAATTGCAAGCGTCCTAACAAGGAAATCTTCCACTACTTCAAAGAATGAAGTTAGGCAGTAAGTGGGATAAATGTCGACCTCGTCTAGGACAAGAACTGAAAGCGATTCTTGAAGTGCTTTAGCTTGAAGAATGCCTTTCTTCAGGCATGTTTGTACGCAAGCTGGAGTAGATACAAGAATGTCGGGAAGCCCAGCCAAAGATGTTTTCTGAGAAAATATTTAACAAGGGTCATTTTAAAAAATTATAGCACATTATAATCAAATCAAAATACGTCAAGCTGCAGAAACTATGATTAGCTATATTTACCGACCAAATCAGAATCAGACATTGCACTCGTCAGCTGAGCAACTCTTAACTGCACTCTGCATAATTCAATTAGCGACGTCACTTCAGAGAAAACCTGAAAAACAAATTACAAAACAGACATTTAGCACCAGAAAAAAATAAAAAATAATTGCAGGCTTGTGAAAACGGTTCGAAGACAAGTACCTGCTGGCATAATTCTCGAGTAGGAACAAGAATAAACGCAGTTGGGGCACTGTTCTTTTTCGAAGTTGAATCAACGAAAAGCTTCTGAAGTAGCGGAAGCAAGTAAGCTAAAGTTTTCCCGGAACCAGTTTTCGCCCGGGCTACCACATCTTTGCCTTCCTGTTAAAACACAGTCGCAGAAAATACAAATTAAACTAAAAACATTAATCAAGAAAATTAGCTGATGAAATTGGGCGAAGACATTAAAGAAATAAAATAAAATTACGAGTATAAGAGGGATGGCCACGGTCTGAATTGGTGTTGGCTTTTCGATTGATTTCTTAGTAAGGGCACGGATGAGGCGCGCATCCAGCCCCAATTCTTCGAAGCTCTGCACCTCAGCATCCACTTCTTTTTCTTCTGCTATAACCATGGTTATTCCAATGTCGTTTATCCAAATGACGATAAAAAAAAACTGCCTCTATAACAATAACAGATGTGAAGAACTCAATTTCCGAGGCGAACAATACTGAATCGCTTAATCGACGGGTTCAGGGTTTAGCGAAAAAAACCCCTAACAAGAAGAAGGGAAGACGAGGGCGCTGTTAAACCCTAACTAAAACAAGGAACATTCCAATTTCAATTCAATCTGAACGCAAATTATAAAATATCGTGTAATGGGCCTTAATTTATTGGGCTAGAATTAGCGTACAAAGCCCAATTCCATTCTGATGCGGATGCCTTAACTACAAATCTCTTGGATATATTTGGGTTGTTCTTTTATCAACTATATTTTTTTATTATTATTTAATTATTGATTTTTAATACAAATTATTAAATAAAATACAAATAAAAAAGAAATTATATGCCAAACAAACCCCTTTGTACCTTTCAACTGGACATGATGATTGATAAAATTCAACTGGACATCCATTATCAGTTCATTCCCCCAAACTTTTTTGACTTCCTCCTTTGCTTTCGGCGCAACGGCTCTCTTTTCTTTTTTTCAAGCATTAAGGGCACCCAAAAAAAAAAAATATAATATAATAATAATAATCAAATTGAGAAATTCGAAGAGTAGTAGTACTATCACTGCTACTACAACATTGGTATTGATGAATGTGAGGTACAACAAGTACTGCAATGAAGGTCAAGGACCACATTCTGTTAATAATTTGAGTCGACTTGTATTGTAAGTGTTGAACTGGTTTAGATTTGATTTGATTGATTGATTGTACATGCATTAATGTAATAAAACATCACCAACGAGCTAATAAATAATCTTGTCTGCCCTGCCCAACTCCACTCTTCTCGAGTTCTTGTTCTTTTTGTCCCTTTTAATTTCCAAACAGTAATTAATTACTTCAAACATAATCTTAAAACTCACCCAACTCTCTGCCAAACTTCCCCCAACTTTCTTGTAAATGGTTTTAATGAATCAGATTTATTAGTATCATTTTATTTATTGAAAAGAAAAGAGAGACTGACAATATAACTTTCATAAAAATGTCAGCAAGATAAATAGCATAAAGAAACAAGACATTGTTGATGTTTATGGTCATCATTAGCCCATGTGATCACACCCTTGTGCTAATTTTCTTAATCATTATATTAACTAAGCATACATACCTGCAAAATTAATTGAATCAATAGCAAGTATTATCTCTAAAAGAAATGATCATATAATCTGCAGTAATGAATTAATTAATGAATCAATAATCAGGCATCAATTGGCTGATCTTGCCTTCGTCTTCATCGGCCAATTTCTTGTCTGTAAATCTCAACCAGATGCAGACGGCGGTGAAGCTGAGGACAAGGCTGAGAAAGCCACTCCCAAGTCCGATTCCGACAATGGCCAAAACAGACAAACCTCTGCTCTTCATGGGGGGCAAAGGGTATCCGTACAGGCCCTTGTTCCCCAAATAGGAGCTGGCATTGAACCGGGCCAGATTCCCGGTCCGGTTCCCGAGCGTCGGCGGAATCGGACCGGACAGCTCATTGCTCGACACGTCGAAGACGGCGAGGCGGACGAGCAACCCCAGCTGCTGCGGGATGGCGCCGGAGAGGCGGTTGTCGTGGAGATCGATGACGTTGAGGTAGGCGCAGAGAGCGAGCTGCGGCGGAATTGCGCCGGCGAGGCGGTTGGAGGAGAGGTTGAGGACGGCGAGATTGACGAGGTACTGTAAGTCGGCGGGGATGTCGCCGGCGATCTGGTTGGAGGAGAGGTCGAGGGCCTGCAAATTGGTGCAGTTGGAGAGGAAGGGGGAGATGGTGCCTTTGAGGGAGAGGTTGGGGAGGGAGAGCTTGTAGATTCTGCCATTGTTGCAGGTGGCGCCCTGGAGGAAGGAATTGAATCCCTGGCAAGGGTTTGCGAAGGTAGCTTTACTCCAGTTCTGCAATTTTCGGGTCGGATCCTCCAGGGACTCGCTCAGCCGGGTCAAGCACAGCTCGTCGTTCGGGTCCGCCGCCGCGAAGTACAGCACCACCGCCGCCGCCGCAGCCAGTAGATGTCCCCGGCAAATAGCCATGTGCGCCGCCGGCGAGGTTTGTTTAGTGGGAGGGGTGGGGGTGCATGGCAGGAATTTGGGGGTGGAGTGGTTAAATTGTGTGTAGATATATATATATGTAGTGGATGGGATGGGGTGGGGTGGGGGTGGGTTTTGGCAAAACAGCACTAAATTAGTGACACGGGTCGATGAAGATGGCGACGCCCCAGCTTCTGGTCTCAGGGGGTATAATAGTAATTTCATACTTTAAATATCCTTTAGTTTGCAATTCTTGATTCGACCCTACGCACTATTTATTGAGGAGAAATTTGGGGATATCAAATTGAATTAAGTTGGACTATGCATTTTTTTATTTTTTCTTTCCCTTTTTTTGTAATTTGACTTAAAAGAAATTATTTTTATATTTATTAAGACATTGTTATAGTGGTCACAGTATATATTGTGTGCTGACCAACTTCATATTATAACTACATACAACATGTAAATTATATCTAACACATGATATATATTGTTTAATTAAATATAGGATAATATAACTTTTATATAAAATTAATCTCACTCATATACATAGCTAGGATTAATTGTTTTCAATTAGTGTATTATCGTTGATTTGTAAAATTAGAGACAAGCATAAAATTGGCCATTCTGCCCTGGATTTGGAGGAGTGTTTTTACGAAAGCAATTTGCACAAGAATTGAAGTTTAATAAATTAAAAAATGATCCGATGGAGGATATGATATGATGCAAGCAAACAAGAAGAAGAAGAAGAGTAAATATGATGAGTGCAGAAGGCCAACATTCTGTTGGGGTTTAAGCTATAACTCCATTATTATACGATCGAAGACATATGTAGTTTTCTGGGCCATTAATTACAAAGTGATCAAGGATATCCGTGCAAGAACTTCTTCTTCTTCTTCAATTTTCTTGTTGCAGTCAGTCATGGTCCCTCACATAGACAGACAGACAGGCAGGCAGACAAAGAGACAGTGTGCAATGACGATGGCGATGATGATATATAATAATGATGCGATGAGACCAAATTCTATGGTGGTCAGAATTTCGGACACCAAACCCTAATTTGTCATGACAATTCAGTATGTATACAGCACTTTTGGGATTATATATATGATCTGGGCTGTGAGTTTTGAGTAAGACACATGTTTGATGGTCCTGATTTCCAGGAACATATATATATATATATATAGATAGATAGATACAACAATAATCAGATTGTGATCATCATGAGATGGAGATGCTGGAGACAGTAGTGATGATGAATGGGTCATTAATTGGGAGTGGGGAGAGGAGGGCTAATTGGACAACAGATTTTAATCATGCTTGCCTTCGATGCTGATTTGTAAACTCTCTACAAACACACGTACAAATATATATATATATATATGCATAGAGAGAGAGAAATCTATAGGTGGGCGGGTGATGTGTAGAAGAGAAGAGAGGTCTCAGAAAATGAGTAATGAAAGTGCAACAACCATAAAGTGTGTGGTACCTATTGAACCAAAGTTTCAAAAGACACCCCACAATCCAGAAGACTAGGAAATCATTGGGCCTGAAGAATGGAAACTATATACTCCTTGGTTGATTAGCCCTTTGGATACTAATAATAATATATCCAGCTGGAGATTGATGGATGTTGCAAATCTAAATCTTGATTTGTGTGGATTGAATTTGTACGAAAAAAGGACTTCACCCTCAACGGTCTCTCATATATAGAAATGGTGGTTGTCTAAAAATTACAGACTCGTTGAAATGACATTCCTATTAATTATGACATGATAATCCAACCATCAAGTCAACTTCTTGGGCTATTTTGCATCTGTCTCATCCATCCACTGTTCTTGTTGACGTTCAATTCAGCTGCCATTCCCAAATCTTCATCATCTTCTTCCTTGCACTTACCACAGAACAAAGCTCGACATACGACGTAATAAAAATTTCATTAAAAGATTTAAAAATTCATTAATCTCCCAAAACTCCCCAATCCACCAACTAAAGCAGCAATACATCATAAGATCGATCATGCATCAGTCCATGCAGAAAACAATGGCACCTGAGGCCTCATCTGAGCCACCCCCGGCGACGGCGCAGCCATCCACGCCGTCGTCGTCGCTGTGCTCGGGAAAAACTTCGACGCAATCGGAGACGGAAACGCAAACTGCACCGGCAAAACGGCATTCTTCTCTTGACTGCCCTCCCTAGAGCAGCTCAAACTCATCATCTTCCCCGCTGCCGCTGGCAGCGACGGCTCATTCACGTTTTGCGGTTGGCGCGAGCTCATCATCATTTCATCGACAGGGACGGAGAAACTCGGATCCTTAAAATCGGGCATCCCACATTTGCTGTCTTTTTCTTCCACATTGATCCTAGGAGAAGATATCCTGCTGTCGTTACAAGAGACAATGTCTTTGCAGCGGCGCGCCATTTCACCAGAGATGAGGCCATTGCTTTCCATGATCCTCTCCACGTCGTACCGCGATATGTCGAAGTTCGTCACTGCGTTGACGCCTCGAAATTTAATCGCAGCCACATCATAAGCCTCGGCAGCTTCTTCTTGTGTGCCTGAAAATTACAATGTGTGAATTTCCATTACATGTATAAATATCCTTAAAAAAGAGCTGTTCTTTCGGTGATCTGTCGATCTATGGACTCACTGAATGTGCCGAGGTAAAGATCCTTATTTCCGGCCACGCGGCCAATTCGGGCTTGCCACCGGCCGTGCTGATGATGTCTGCTAAAGAACATTACATAAGGGGATCAGATTTCACCTAAAAAAGATATGTCCAAATCAAGAAGATCACAAACAATTCAAGAGAAGTGATATATCAAGACCTTGTCACTCCTCTGTAAATCGAAGCTCCCCTAGAGAATCCACTGCTTTTCCTACATCATTAAAAAGGGCAGTTTGATGATGATCATTAATTCATTACATCATTAGTTAAAACAATGAAGTGAATTGAACAGGGCCTCAGTCTACCTTCTTAAGTGAGCAACATACTCTTGTCTGCTCATGTTTTGCATATCTTCAAGCTCTTGATGATAATTCTCTAACTGCACAAGGGTTTTGATCAAGAACATCATTGTACTACTTTATTGCCTTAGGAACAAACGATGTTGTCTGAAGGACAAACAATAAGTCAAAAAACACACTGGAAAATTGATATGTGTTGAAGGCCCCCAGTACTTGAGTGCTGCCAAGTCATAAGCTCTTGCAGCCTTTTCTTCCATATCATACCCTCCTAAAGATTGACATGTGCATCAAATTGTGTCCCAATTGTAGGTTTAAGTAGCAAATCTTATTACACTTTATTTAGAAAGCAAGAATTTATTCACAAAAGGCGGGTGGGGGGGTTGGTTACCTAGATAAACTGGATATGTTGTATTGAAGTGTCATCATCCCAGATGAACCAAGATTTTCGGAACAAAAACAGAAAAAACAGGGCAAACGTTAGTAATGAGGAGAAATGTAAAGACAAATATACATGTGGAAAAGAAGTAAATTTGATAAGGTAAGTATTTCAAGAACCTTGTCTTCCCTTCCTGCTCTGGCCCTCCTTCTTACAGCTGTTGTCCCATAGATGCGCCTCATATCTGCCTGTCCATCTGTGCCTGAAAAACAGATTCGAGATTGGAGGAAGAATTATTACAATAATGTCTAAAGATTAGCAAAAAAGGGGGAAAGGAAATTAGTTATTTAAAAATATAAATAAATAAATTGAACCTTGTGACACCTCTATACTGAGAGGTTCTTTGTCCGAATGTATCAATGGATTTCCTATGAACAATCTGCTTCTGATCAACCTTTTCAGGGCCCCTTTTCTTGTTATCCAAAACTAAGCATTCAGCCATGGCTGGTGGGATGTGCTGTGAACCTGTGACACAGCTTGACTGGGAGCCAGGGCTCATCGACAAGCTCAGAGACTGCAAATCGCCATACCCCATCGAACCCATAGCAGCAGCAGCAGCAGCAGAAGCAGAAGCAGAATCCTCGACATTGTCGTCAATACAAATCCCCATTTTCTGCTGCAATCCCTGGCTGTCCGAATAGTTTCTCGGCACCCAGTTCTTCATGTCGTCAGCCATTCTTGGGAGCTGGAGATTGCAATCTTCTCCTCCTGCCTGGTACATTTCTTGGCCCCTGAATGGGGGCGGGGGGTAGTGTGGGAACTCATGAACCTGAATTTGTTGCTGCTTGGAACCCTCCTGATGATGATGATGATGGCCCAGAAAATCTTGGCCGTTGTTGGTGTGGGTTTCAGGGTTATGCTGGTAGTACATACTGTCCAGGCTTAGAGCCATACCTCCATCACTACACCCTTCATAGTTATGGGCCCCCATTGTTGCTCCTCCAAAAAAATCCTCCAGTTTGGCTGTCCAATTAACCATTAGTCCATACAAAAACTAAAAAAACAAAAAAAAAAAAAAAAAAGGGGGTTTAAAATGGGTTAAAAATGGAACCTTGGGGATGTGATCTGTTGATGGCTTCCATCAAGCACAATGATCCATCAGACTTGAGTGGCATGACTGTGAGATGAGAGTACAAGTCGGCATTATCCGCCATGACCCCGTAGTAGATTCCTGGAAAGGCTAAACCAGAAGAAAAGTTAATGGGAAGTGCAGCAGCAGCAGAGGAGACAGCAGGATCATCTTGAGGCTGTGGGTGTTGGGGAGGAGGAGCTGAATCCTCCATTGTTGGAGCAGAGAGAGAAAATCCCAACCAGTTGCTCTGGTTGCTGCCGCCACTTTGATTACTACTCATGTTGTTTTTTTTTTTTTTTAATTGGATTGGATTTTAGATGGATATGTGTGTCAATGATTGGAAGCAAGTAAACTAATCATACACTACACTACACTGGTTCTGGTTCTTCTTCTTCTTCTTCTTCCCTCCATATTTGAAAGAAGATTAAAAGAGGAGGAGGGGGGTTGGTGGGGATATGTTTGTTTTGTTTTGTAGCGGCAGAATGAAAATCTAAACCAAAATCTAATCTAGCCAAAGCCAAAGGGGCATCTCTTCTTCTCTCTGGCTGAATCTATGGCCGTTTCTTTTGCTTTCTTTAATTTAGAGAGATGTGTGTCTGAAATGAAAGGATTTCTAAAGAGAACAAAGCATGGCCCTTTAAACTAAACAAAAAGAATGAGTTCCAGCAAACAATGCTGGGCATCCTTCCTGCATTCCATTGGGATCCGAGCCCGAGAAAGACACCTTCTTTTGCTTTTTCCACCTCCGCTCCTCTCTCTCTCTCTCTCTCTCTCTCTCTGTTTCTCCCTCCTCTCTTTTCCTTTTTACACAAATCAATCCCCTTTTTTCATTACATACATACAGACAGACAGACAACGTGAGACTATACATACATACATTAATTATTACATAATTGATTTGTAATTCACAATTGCCATTTGAAATTCTCCTCAATTTTTATTTTTTTTACTACTACCACTATGTCGATAAGGCTGCAACGTCCAAATTTAAAGCTTGCTTCTTCATTCCAAGTATGGAATTCTGATGGGATGCAGGAAAACAGTTCATTGTTGCCCAGAGAAGCCCGATGCTCTGTTCGGGAAAGACAATTATTACACCAACAATGCAATGTAATGCAATGACATGTATTAGAAATATCATCCTCATCCATCCAAATGGATTCCACGAATTATTCACCCAATCCAATCCAATCCAAGACAAGAGTTTTAGAGAGATAGAGAGAAAGAAACAAAGAAAAAGGGTGGGTACTATGCTGTGGTGAGCAGAATTAATACGACATGATGTAACAATCAATTGGCCTGTCCTACTCCCCTGCAGCCACCCTAGACGATATCTAACATCCTTAACTAAAAAATTTCCATTTTCTTAATTTTAGGTTATCAGATTCAATGCTAGCCAAAATCTTTACATGGATTTCTCCAGGCAGAGGAAAGGAAAACTCGATCCGGTCATTTCACACATTCTTGGACAGTCCCCGGACCTCAGTTCCCGGATCCCTTCACTCCTCAGCCCAATCAACGGTCTACCTACCCCCGGTTCTCCGCACCCTGGACTTGCTAAATATATATGTATATGTATATATGTATATCCAGCCCCTGTTCTGTGTAGCTCTGGACGACTGCTGCTGCTGGTACCTACAGTTGGTATAGAGCATAGGTATCTATAATCTATTCTAATCTAATCTACTCTTCTTATTACACAGAGGTACTATATTATTCATTACCACTCGACCATCCTCCGAAAAAGCGACTCTTATTAGAAAAAGAACCAAAAGCGTGTTTGCAGCGGCCGCGCGTACAGTAGGAAAGAGAGAAAGAGAGAATACTTACATTATATAGAGCAAGAAAAGAAAGTGGTTTTGACTGAAAGGAGGGAGAGACTAGAGAGCATGCTTATGCTTACGGGGTGGGTGGGTGGGTGGGGCAACAATTTAATTTAATTTAATTTTTAATTTTTAAAATTTTAATTTTATTGCAATTGTTTGTACTATGGTAAGAAAAAAAGGGAAGTTAGTGTTTGTTCGAAGTTTGAAATAAATTTGAACTTCTTTCTGCACTTTGTCCAAATTTGGGCATCCATTTTCTTCACATATTTTACTAATGACTTTTGTTTGTACATTCTTCGGCTCTGTCATGCATTTATTGCTCTCTATAATGAATTAATTATAGATGTATAGATATACATATATATATATACATACATACAAAAAGGAGTATGTTTGTGTGTATATATATGATGAATTATTCCAAGTGCTTTTGAGACTTTGATCGATCCATCTTTTGGGATATTGATTAATTAGTTGTTCACAGGCAGACACGAAAGACAAAACCACAGAACAAGATTGGAGCATTATGTAGTAAAATTTCTTTTTCTTTATCGGTGTGTTTTTTGACTTGGAAAAAGGGCTTTGGTTGGAACCCTTTAGGCCTGCTGCCTCATACTAGTGTTTAGAAGAAAAAAAAAAAAAAAAAAACCATTTTTGTTACTCTATTTCATTTAATTAATGCTCCATAAAAATGTACTTATACAATACACTATATACATATCAAATGTCAAGTTATATATTTCGATTAGCACATGTTGTGTTAATTGAACCAAATCCATTCTTTATCATCACGCTGATTTAATTAAATTAGGATCGTAATATCTATCATAGTTCAAGAAATATTCTTTAACTATTACTTGTCTTTTTATTGCATGCAATCCAATGCAAAGCCGAGTTTGTTTAGATAGGAGTTTTTGTTGGTTTTTGAAAATTTGAAAGTTAAAAAAAAATAAATAAAAAATTAGTATTGATTTAATATTTTGTGAAAAAAAAAAAAATTAATTCGATGTGATATTTTTTTTAAAATAAACAGTAACAAATAAATAGAAATGTATTCTGTAAATAGAGCTTTAATTAGCTTAGGTTTGTTTGGAATAATGAATAGTAGTAATAATTTTTAACAAGGAGTTGGAGTTGAACTTCAAGTTGAGCCCACAAAATCAGGAGCGTTGAATTCAATTAATCTTCCGTGGGGTCCACCCAAATGATGGATCGTACTCCCGACACGTGGCATTCTGTCCGATATGATTAATTAATTAATTAGAAGCAGTAGTATTAGGACCAGTTTAATTAAATAGCTCTGCTATCATCCAAAAAGGACAGACATTAAGATTTCAGAAGCTTTCCATTTCAGGACATCACAAATTCAGACCATAAATATAAATAAATGAAGAAACATGTTTGAGCACAATTAAATTAAAATTAATTAAAAGTGCTATTTTTATTAATCAATTAGTAGTATACATACGTTAGTAATAATGATAATCATTAAGAAATGAGAGCAAATTAATATTTCATGTGTAAAATGGCAATAAAACCAAAAGGGCCTCTACCCTGCATGCCCTAAATTATCCTAATACTACAATAGATCCCATGACACGTCATCACTGGCATTTTCTGCATGCATGCTTTCACGGAGACACTTGATCGATCGTTTTGGTTTTATACTTTTATTTATCAAAAAAAATTATTTAAATTATCATATTAATTTTATTATTATTTTATTTTTTTCAAACTCACGATCCAAACGTAAAAAAATAAATAAATAAATAAATAAAATTGAATTTATATAATTTCCTTGATTTTTAGTCCAATACGTAATCAAGAAAGAACAAAATAGGAATGGGGAATTCTTGTTCTTGGGAGGGCCCGGGAGTGCAACTCCATCCCACCAGACGACAGAGCCATCCGCCCATCTGGCGCGGGACGCCTGGGACCTCGGAAGAATGAAGAAATGAAAATTGGATTTGAGCATCAGGAGATCCAAACAAGATCTAGCGAGAGAAGACAGGTTAGAGGGTGAAACAGGAGTCAACTGTGTATAAAGTGGATTAGGGATAGCAACATAACTGATCAGAATGAGCAGCAGCAGCAGCAGCAGCATCAGAAAGCAGAAGCCTCATCTATATATATATATATATATATCTGTGGATGAGAGAGAGAGAGAGAGAGAGGGAGAGAGAGAGAGGAAAAGGGGTCTGAGTAATTCGCCCTTTTGGTAGGGCCCGAAATTTATTAAAGCAATTGAAGGGAAGGGAAGCATTTATTTAAAACTCTCATGGCAAATTTCTTGCAGCAAGGCTCTACACAATTAATTGGGCATCACCTATATATATATAAATGTATATATGTATGTATAGCCTAGCCTACTATTCTATATAATCTATTCTATTCTCTCCTCCTAACCTTTTAGTAGTAGTCTCTGAAATGTCCTACTCCCAAGCATGACTGTCTTGTCATATTCACCCCAAGATTCTCTTTCTCTCTCTCTCTCTCTCTACATATACATAAAGACTTATATGTATATTCATGCATGCACGTCTTCTACATGGATTTTTCAAAAAAAAATTACGAGTAAAAAAACATTACTCTATTACTTTTTTTATAAATAAATAATATTACCTCCGTCCGTCTTCTAATGTCCATATTTTTATTTTCGTCCGTTTTATTTATTTTATTTTTAAAAAAAAAAAAAATTATGCACTTTAATTTTATTTAAAAAAAATTTAATTTATAATTTTTTAAATTTTAATTATACTAATGAGTTATTTTAATTTTAATTTATAATTATTTTTATTATACAATAATTATTTTTATTAATATATTTTAAATTATTTACTAATTATACCCCTCATAAATTCTCGTGTCTACGGTAAACCAAATAAAATATCTGGGACAGAGGGAGTATATATTAAATTTTTTAATAACATTTATACAAAATTGTATCATAAAAAAAATATTAGATAAAAACACCATAATGTAAGTAAGATGAGCATTGCCTCTCGTCTTGTTAAAACAAACATCGTTATCTTATGGAAATGCACTTAGTCATATATTTTTTGAAAAACTATCACAACTTCATTTACGTAGAGACTTTTTAAATTTTAGAATTTTTTTAAAATAATAAAAATTAGTATTTTTGTACTTAATATATTTTTTTTTAAAGTATTGCTTATACATAATGTCAACTTAAAACATATATATACTATTAAATAACAATATATGATGTAAATCTACATAATATATAATCCTTCCGTTTAAAAATAATAGAGACATTTGAGATTGACACGAGAATTAAAGAATAATAGTATTATATTGATAGTCGGTGTAAATATATTTTTAAAAGATTAAAATGTTCATACTTTATATAATTATTATAAAAAAAACGAGAATAGTTTTGTAAAATAGTAAAAAAATTATTACCATAAATAAAAATGAAACTATTATTTTAAAATAAATAAAATTAAAAAATTGGACTATTAATGAAGTATATTCATTCAACACATCTACAAGTATCAACTAACAATGTATGATTTACAAGTTTCAATTGTGTTAAATAGAAGTCCATGTTGTCCGGGTTTTTTACATGTGTTGATGTGGCCAATCAACACCGTAGTCATTCTTATACAAAATAATAAAAACTACCGAACTAAGGTTATTTTCAACCCATCGTTTTATTTTTGCAGTTGCTACAGTACAAATGCAATTGATCTACCGTACTTTTACTTCAACTATAAACTTCAATTTTTAGTCCAAAAA